TGCATCAAACAGTAACTTGATTCGGTTTATGAATGTTTCTCTCGACAACTTAAACGAATAGAAGTTTAATTGCTCAGCTTATTTGGTGATCAAGTTATTGATGTAAAACTTAGCCATCATGGCTCTACCGATGATCATAGTTGCAGTTTTGATGGCTAAAGTTGATCTGATTCTAACCCAATTTACCAACAATGTTATGGATATTGTTGAAAAATCTAATAAAAGCAGCATAAAGTATCAAGTTTGGTCAAAGGATCCTTTTATTGGCACATTTTATTGCGTATTTAAGCTCATCAGTTCATGCATTTATTTGAATGCAATTATATCAATGAAAGGTGCGAATTGTTCTTGATTATTCAGTAAAATTTGTCTAGACAAATGATTAGATGCAAACCTTATTTAATTTAAGATTCGTTCAACTCTCACAACTATTGATGTCAACGTTTTCCAGTTAAAATGTCTAAATTGAACAAGAATTAATTTGTTTCATTGTATCAAATTTGGATGCTCGACAATGCAAAAATGGTTAAATTAGCAACAATTAGGAGGAAAAATTGTGACAAAGCAAATTGTTGTTTGTTCATCATTTGCTTAATAAGCTAAATAAATAATTTAATAATTTGTCATTCATTAATATTTCTCATCGTTGAGATGAAATGTTAAAAAAACGAAAGTTTAAGAGATGAAACAAATATTATGATAATGTTGTATAAATAACAATGCAATAACAATTGAATAACAATAGCAATAATCATAATGATAAATGCTATTTAAACAGATTTATTTCATTTCTATGTACATTTTATTGCTCTTGTTGTTTTAAATAACATCAAAGTAAATTTATACACATCAATATTTATATTTTTCATCATCACAGATGCATCAATGTGAAATGTATAGATATTTTTGGGTTAATGAAAGAGTTGCTTTTCTTTGTTGTTTTTATTTATGTTTTGTTTGATGGATTATGTTACTCACAGAACCGGATCTGGTTTCATTTCAAATCCATTATATTCATTCATTCGGTGAAGAAAAGAGCTTCCAAATTTTGAAACTTTTAGGTAAATACAATATCTGAAAATAGTAAACTCATCAGCATTGCCAAAAGTGGGTTTCATTCCGAGTAAAATATGAAACATTTTCAACATAAAAAATGAACGTTACATTACAACAAAAGACCGACATAAGGTTTTACTTTTGATCCGACAAGAGTCACTGTTAGGTTGAGATTCTGTGACTTATGGCTTGAAGTTAGACGATCGTGGGAAGTAAAACTTGACCCTAACTTGAGAGTAAATTTGGTCGGAAAAGAGTCGCTTTGTCAGGTTGTGATTTGAAGACTTATGGCTTAAGTTAGGCGATGAGAAAATATGAAAATGAAAATTGTGTGAAGTGAAAATTGACCCTGACTTGAGAGCAAATTTGATGGGAAAAGAGTCACTTTCTTAGGTTGTTTGAAGGCTAACCTTTGGCTTGACTAAATTTATGCCTAATGTATTTACTGGTGGCGATGAAAACTGCATTATTGTGATTTATTCATGACTTACCAGTTGATATTGATTGCTTTTTTTCCACCGATTCAGATATTTATCTTTCATCGTTACACACTGTATCTTGATTAAACTCAATTATCATGACAATATTATTACACATCATGTTTATTCTAATCATCATCATCTATTCATCTCTCTGCCTTGGTCTTCATTCTTATCCAAGTAATTTGATTTGGCTTCTATTCTTGACTTTTGGTTGACTTTCAAATGACATTTTTAACACTCAATTGATTCACATAACAATCTCATTACCATCATCATCAATTTTATTACTATCATTATCATTATTATGTAGCTTATTGTTTGTTTGGTCAACCCTGAATCTTGCAAATTTCAATCCAATTTCAATCTTCCCTCAACTCTCCACCTTGAAAATGTATATTTCAACAAAATAATCAAAATAATTTGAAATAATTTCAATCTAAATTCTTGACTATTCAACTCACTGACAATTATCACTCATCATTATCATCTAACCATCCAAGCTTATTTGTTATATCATTAAAATAATATCAACTATTTGCTATAACAACTGAGTAACTCAATCTCAATTAACTTTACAAAAAAAGTCATTATTTAATTGCAGATTCTTTCGATTCTTGAATTCAAAGATTGCTATTTAATTGCAATTGATTTGATTACAAGTCAATTCGTTCAATTTAAGTGAAAACATTTTGATTATCATTTTGTATCCCTGGTTAAATAGCAGATGAAAATTGGAGTAAAAAAGTCAAAAGTTTATTAAATTGAATAGTTGAATAGAGTTGTATTCAGCCTTTCAATTTACCCAGACATGGAGTTAAACTCGATGTAGCTTTCAAGCTTTGAAACCTTATTTTAACATTATTGATTTAAATAAAACAAAATAGTTATCATTTATGGATATATATTCAGGGTAAATTGATGATTTAAAGAAGCTTATGAAACAGCTTAAGCTTTAACACTTATATTTTTGTATCAATATTTTGAATAGTAAAGGGTTTACAGTGAAATCTTACAAGCCAAAAAGTGTCTTCTCCTTTTGCTAACCAAATTAGTAAATTTAATTCATCCTTTCAATAACTTCATTATTTAAACTTTATCCATTTAAAAGCCAATTAATCAACTGCGCAACAGATACATTTTCATCGAGAATAATTACTCAGTTACGAAGTTAACTAATTAATGAGAATATCCATCGATTGCTCTTTAACATTTCAAAACAGATTCTCTTAGAACATTAGCTGTTCAACTCAATATCCAGCTCGTATTATTTGGTTATTCGTATTATAAGATTATTTGCTTTACTATTGTTTTCTCGTGTTTTGGTTCAATTTTTAACCGAATGTATCCTCAGCATTTCGTTTAATTGCAGTTTAGTTAGCTTAAGTTGTTCTAAAAAGCACAGCAAACACAATTGTCACATTTTGCACAACTTGATGCAAACCCTGAAAGACTAATGGGCATAAACGGTCAAGAATAAATTTCTCGCAAGTTTAGACTCCGTAAGTTGATAGATGTGTAAAAACTAAACCTATTTATGCGAGTTGAAAGTTTCTCTCATCAATAGTTCTCGAGAAGATCGAGTTCGAAGTCTGAACTTTGAAGGCTTTTTGTGCGGTTGTGGAAGCAACTCAACTCATGGAACTCAGTTTATCAGTGTTACTTTTGCTAACCTATCAGAAAATGCACTTATTTTGGTCAATAAAATTTTCGATTTCCAGCAAAACAGATAAATTCGATTTTCGGTTAAACCGACCTTTTTCTGTAACCGTTAATTTTAGAGATCTGGAACTTATTATCCCTGCATAAAAAAAATCTGTAAACATCAACAATCCAATACTTTTTTCAGTGCACCAATGGTTCTCTTGATTTTGGACATTTGTCGCAAAACTTCAGTCCTCAATATTTTGAAAACGGCATCACCTACAATCATTATTCTTTCACCAATCATTAGATAGCATCATTGGCTATAATATATTGAAATTTTATTTGCTTCAAAATCTTAACAATAAAAGTTATAGCATTGCATTAGTTATGATACCAGATTTTAGCTTTTTTTATGAAGTTGAATAGTTATTCAAACACAGAGATTTACTCTAGAAGGATATTCATTCTTAAATTAGTTAATCCAGATTTTATTGGGTATCATATCATAGTTCATAATTGTATCTAATTTTCGGTCAAAGAATGCTGACTGTAGGTTGAACCATTCGGGAAATATCGAAGCTCAAAGTTTTAAGGCCAATGGCCAAAATCAAGAGAACTGTTGACGTTTTGAAAAAATGATAAAATCCATGATGTGTAATGACAATTTTTATGAACGTATTATAAGTTACAGCTTTTTAAGTCGCACGGTCAGTGAAAAAAGTCGGTTTAACGGACAATCGAACTTATGGGTTTTAAAGGAAAAATAAAATGTTTTTTCTAAAAATAATTGTATCTTTCGGTTGACTAACAAAAATAACATAAGGAGAATGAGTTTCATGCAAAAATCTGTTTTCATTGTTGCACAAATAGCGATCGAACTTTCAACTTTCAACTCGATTTTTTCGAAAACTATTCATCGGAGAAATCTTTTAATCAGACAAATAGACGCAGTTTTAATGCCACTACAAACTGGCAGAGTTTAAACGCACAAAAAATTTATTGTTACCCGTTTATGCCCATTTGTCTTTCAGGATTTGCATCAAGTTGTGCAAAATGTTACAATTGTGTTTGCTGAGCCTTTTTAAACACTTTTTGAACAACTTGCACTAATTAAACTGCAATTATTCGAACTTCCGAGGATACAATCGATTAAAAATTGAACAAAAACTTGAGAATAAGTCTGCAGACAAAATGTTCATATCTAAACACCAGTCTTGATCAGTTATTCGCCCATTTGAGCCCAGTTTTCTTTCAATATTTGCGTCAATATCTGCATAAATGTTACAATTGAGTTTATTGTGTCTTTTTGGTAACAAACTTTTAGGTCTAAACAGTTAGTTGAAGCCCAAGAGTGAATCTAGTTTGACCGACAGAATTTGTACTAACTAATCAATTGATTTCTCATCATTATTGTAACAAAAGATCAAAATTGACTTAATTTTTCAATTTACTTCAAATAGCTCTTCAGCTATTCGACTTTTATGTTATGTTGTGACACCGCTGTTATGAACGTTTAATGTAGCAATTGATCTAAGCAAATAGTAAATGCTCAACTCTGTTTTTGGTCGCAAATTTTGCATGATAATTTGATAGAAAATCGCTTGCAACTGAAATGCTATCCATTATAATTTAAAGACTTTAACTTAACAGTTTAACTGCGCTTGGTAAACTTGCAACAGTGTTAGAAGACCTTATTACGATGTAATAAATCAAAAGCTGGCAATTAAAATGATTATATCATCACTAACTTTATCAATTTTTAATTAACTCTTCTATTCTTCCCTGTTTTCCTCTTCTTCCCTGACTCTCTTAATACAGCTAAACATTCCCCTGAGGCAACCTTTCGTGGACAAGAATTTATTTACTTTAATAACATAACCAAATCAGTGATCAGTTCGAGTGATGAGATTTCACTGTACTTCAAGTCTCGCCAATCAAACGGCCTGCTATTTTATTCAGGTGATGGTTACAGTGATTATCTTAATCTAGCAATTAGAGATGGTGGAGTCACTTTGAGCGTTAAATTGGGCAACAATTTATCGGAGCGAACAGTTAAACCAGCCAGAATCCGATTTGATGACAATCAATGGCACAAAGTATTGGTACACAGAAAAGTTCGTGAGGTAAATAGCAACTCAACAAGCCACTCACACAGTGAACGGCAAAAAAGCAACATTCATCTACCAATATTTGTTTAACCAACAACCAATTTCTCGAAACCCAAAAGTAACCCAATTAATTATTATCATTATCCTTTTAATAATATTGAACAATTATTTCGATAGCAACGATCACGAAATGTATTTAGAAAATTAATTTCTTTTTTCTATTGATTTTATATCTTCTATTATTATATAAATCATTAGCTAAATTGAATTAACCAGCAACAACATGAAATTGATTTTGCGATTTTTTCTTGTTTCTTTATTCGACATTTTTCATTTAGTATTACAAATATTTTTATATTGATAATTATTCAGGGAAACATTTATCTAATGATATTGATTTTATATTTGATGAGCGAACTTTAATTTTTGTCTTTTTTCCCTCTTTTTTCCAATGTTTACAGATGAATCGGGCAACAAGCTTTTGTCATGTAAGTTGTTCAATCAATCACTTGTAATGTTGTTCATTATTGTAATAACATCTTTGAATTGCAATTACTTTTCACTGTTGTTGAGGTGAATGATGAAAATGATGCTCGAGTCGTAATTGTTCATTAACAGGTTCATCTTAACAGCAAGTTGCCATGAAAAATGATTATTGGCCAGAGTAAGCGAAACAAAAGTCAACCAATTTAAATTGCCAACAAGACTTTAAGATTGTGAACCAAGAAAGGCAAAAAGATTGATTAACTTTGATTGACCAAACGTTTCTTTAATTAACCATGACTCGACCTTTTAAATTAACTTGATTGGGTCCGTTGAATGGCCATCAATTGAACCATTTCATCTCTACCTATTTAAAAAAGAGACAATTGAAGAAGTTAATCAGAAAGTGCAATGACAAAAGGCAACTAATACAATTGGCTAAATTTCTTAAATCAAATTAATATTATTACATGCAACTATTTCATCTTAATTTGTATTATCTTCCTTTCTTACCTTTTTCACATTAATTCATTGCAATTGTATACCTCATTGAGTATTACCTCTTTTTTTTACACACTCATATACACATTTGGACACATACATTTTACCTTGATTTTGTTTTACCACGTTAAACAATTCCCTTTAGATTCATTAGGTTTGTTATAATTTAACGATAATCAAGGTAATTGCGACTTCTAATCAACTAACAATTCAAAGTCATCTTCCCTTAACTCTTAACCTATCCTTCATTTGATACCCTAAGTAAATTACTTTGATTCACGCTAATACACATGAAATAACAATGAAAGTAAAGAAAAGATTTCTCATTTTTTTCCTTCCCTTTTCATTTCTCGTTAAAGTTAACCACAATAACAGCATTATTATGGTTATTACTATTACAGTGATTACAGTGATTATTAGCAAAAATTCATGTATATACAGATATACATTATAAATATTGTATAAATGCTATAAATATATGTATTCATATATTGATTTGCTATTGATTGATGGAAATCATTTTCAATTCTCTCGTTCCTTTGTATGTGTATAAATGTGTATGTTTGTGTATTACTGTTCACCTTTCAATGGATCAACCATAGATTATTGTATTAAATTACGCTGGTTGATGATAACTCTTTTTTTGTTTCTCCCTTTTCATCTCTTTTATTTTCGCCACCATCATGAGAGTTTCCTCTTTGTAAAATGTATAATAGCTTCGAGTAATATTTTGTTCACTTCTCCTCATCTTTTTGCCCGCCTCCTCCGCCTCTTCATCTGCGTTTACCTCCTCCTTTACATTGTCTGTCATCACATTTTCAATGATATCTTAATCGTGATTTTCAGTCATCAAGGGAAACTTTTACATGGTAAAAATGAAAGGCAACATTTCATCCACTTTTACACATCGTATTCAAGATTATATCTGATCGTTCCTTTTTTTTTGTTCATTTATGGCTTTTTCTTTTTCTTTCTTCTTTCATCAACGGTATTCATCTTCATTTAGATTTTGTCTTTTTTCTCTCGTTGTTTGACTTTTTCCCTTTTCCAAACTATTGAACTCCATCTTTTTTCCCTCTTCATCTCATCTTTACTTGTTTTGCTTCTCCTTATGAATTGCTTTTATAACTTCTCATCTCGTTTCTCTTTCTCTTTGCTTTCGATCTTTTCAGTTTTCAATAACAATTGACGGTGTTTACACGGAAAGAGGTTCAACTACAGGTTCATTTTCTCTATTGTCCAGTTCAATACTTTTTATCGGAGGAAGTGACCATTTTGAACAGCTTCCGGGCTCAAGGGTACAAAGCAACTTTATTGGTTGCCTTAGGAAGGTAAGTTAAGCATAAACCAATGCAAGATACAGGATGATGATAAAAAAAAGAAGAGTGAAAGTGTGTCTTCAGGAAATCTGTAGTAGGTGAAGATAAAATCAAGAAAAGTTAGTCAGGAAAAAAGTAATGGGTAATAATAATGATAATAATAATGTATAAAAAAAGATGAAGAATAGTAAATTGAAAGACTTACTCTTTTTTTTCTGCTTTGCTGTCACAAGATGAATTACGGTTTGCTTGACCAACTGTAGCAATAATCAGACATCAAAGGGAGGTGAATATGAAGCGATATAAAAGGTAGAAAGTAAAGTTGTCATCTTGTTCAAGAAACCTTTATCATTAGATATAAAGTTAAATTGATAAAAAAAAGATGAGGAAACGATGGACGAAAATTTTCTGTTGTAACTATTTTCACTCCCAGTAATTTATTTGGTGGAAAAAATGCTTACCAGAAACTCCCAGTAGATGACAAAGGGGCCAGAATAGTAAGGGAAAAAACAGGTAAAGGTATCTGTAGAGAAGAAAGAAGATGAGAGATGATATTAGAAAAAGTTTAAGAGGAAAAAGAGATGATAATTTCATTTAATGTAGGAAACATTTTCTTCAATCAAATGAAATTCATCCAATAAACTTACAAACATCCCAATCAAATCAATCACTCAATACCGGTGAAGCACAATAATGAAAGCAGAAAAGAAATATTGTTCTAATCTTGTGAAGATAACTTAATCTTGATCATTTTTGCTTCATTTTATCTTTTCACTTTCCTTTTTCCATTCTCTGATTTTGTTTTTCCCTTTTCAACATTTTTCCTCCTCTTTTTTCTGGACAAGGTTGAATTCATTGGAGACTCCATGGTTCTAGATATACTTGATTTAGCCAAAAGTGACCTCAATTTGTTCCAGGTAAAGGGAAACATCGTTGATTCATGCCAAGAGGTTGAAGCTGCTGATCCGGTAACCTTTACAACCAAAGATTCATTTCTTGCCTTACCCCGGTGGGAGGCTGTTAAGGGAGGCTCTTTATCACTCAAGATGCGAACAAATGAACCAAATGGTGTACTCATGTATAGTTCAGGAGGAGTCAATGGAAACAGCTTTTCATCAACATCTTCCGTCTCATCTTCTTTAACCTCTTCCACATTTTATTCATCACCAGGTCCAAGTGACTTTTTTGCACTTGAATTACTGGATGGACAAATTTATCTACTTCTTAATCTGGGTTCTGGAGCAATTAAGGTAAAAGCTTCAACACGTCGTGTTGATGACTCCCATTGGCATGTTATAACCTTATTGCGTACAGCAAAATCGGGTCGAGTTACGGTTGATGATTCAGCTGTAGACTTTGTAACTCCTGGAACATCCAATCAGCTTGATTTAGAGGGTCCACTTTATTTAGGTAGTTTTGGACCTTCTCAAAGAAAGGCTTTTAATGAGGTGCCTCCAGAACTTTGGGCGGGTTCTTTGAAATACGGTTATGTTGGCTGTATACGTGATTTAGTTCTTAATAATCAAGCCATTGATATTGCATCGTTTGCCCGAAAACAAGATTCAGGTTCAGTTAAACCTTCATGCCATTCATTACCAAGTCACTGTGATAAAAAACCTTGCTTCAATGAAGGTATCTGTATGGAAGGATGGAATCGATTTGTTTGCGATTGTCGAGCCACTAGTTTCACTGGTCCTGTTTGTACTAAAGGTAAGAAGCTCCTTGGTTATTTAGATTTACCATAATCATGTTTCCGTTTTCAATTATGATAATATTTATGCTGATTCTCGTTTGAAATAAAAACCACTTAAAGATGTATTTTACTTTCGCCCTGTTGTGGCTGTGATCTCAACTTAAGATAAGAGTCCATTAACAAGCTTAGATGTATCACAAGGAATTCCCTCCTTTTTGCTGCTACCTCTTAAATCTCAATTGTAATAGTTTCCATGATGATGATGATGTGTTAGCATTATAATGAATGTTAAAAGGAATGATAATGATGCAGATAAATATTCACATTAACAGGCCAAAAGCATCAAAAAAATTTTCTCCTCTCATTTCCTACAAGAAAAAAGGAGAAGAAGGAAGAAGGAGGTGAAAATTGACGATTCAAATTAGCAACTGATTGTGATTATAATGGTGAAAATTAAAGATAAAATGGTAGAGATTGCGATAGAAATTCATTTAAATATTGAGAGTATAAAATATATACCAAGTGAAACAAGGCAATCTGAATCAAATATACATTAATTTGTAAATGTAATAAATGTTCAAAGCTGTGTTTCAAAAGGCAATGTTAGTATTATTTGGAGGCAGGAAGAAAAAAGAGTAAAGAGAAGAGAAAAAAAGATAAGGAGAAAATGAAAATGAAGAATAAGATGAAGATGAAGAGAAGAGTAAAAAAGAAAAGGAATCAAAAAAGACTAATCAGAGAACCATGAATATCGTTAAATGTCATTATCATTGATTCTGTTGAACCTTTTACTTTCTTCGTTACAAACATCATCTTTATCTTGTTCTCAAAAAGTGTATGATGGTGATGAAGAGAGGAAAAAATTCACAAGAATTTCAAGTTTTGTCAAGAATCTTTTTCACTTAGGCGTTTCTCACTTACTTTTTTATCGTTGCTATCAAGATGAATGTGAATTGAGGAAATCCTTTTGATTAGCTTTGATTCTTACCTTCTCTCTATCTCTCTTTCTTGTCTTCCAAACTCCCAAATTCCCTCCCACACTCACCTTAATCTCTATCAGAAAAGATTCTCACTCACTTTCATCAAATTCCCAAGATACCTTTTCAAATAATGTATTCACTAAAAAGTATAGTAACTCTTTCTAACATACAAAATGAAGAAAGGGAAAGTTAGTAAGACAAACAAGGAAGACAGAGGAAAAAGGGAAACGAGTTAAAGTTGTTTTCAAGCTTGAACCAACACTCACAGTCAATCGCATCATTTTACCTGTCACTTCTTTACTTACCTCGCCAATTCTGAGTGAAAAGAGGGTTGCTTTGAAACTAAGAGTAGTTTAAAAGTGGTAGAGACGGTGATGATGATGATGACAAGGAGAAGAGAAATTAAATGGGAAGAATCTGTAAGGAGAAAGAGAAAAAGAGAGAAACATTATTCAGTATGAATTTCTACATCATGAACGGGAAAACTTACTTCCCTGGAGTCAATCTATGAAATATCCATCTTATTAAACGAATGAGTATATCTTTGCTTTCTTTTAGATTGAGAGTGAAAGTGGAAAGATCCATCTTCTTCTTCGTCATCTTATTCATCTTAGTTTTGTTTTTGCATGCAAAAATTGTTTTGCATAGTCAACAGAAACAAAAAGCTGCGCCTTTTAAGCTTTTACCCTTGAAATGGTACCTTTCCAATGGAAGTAGAGCAAAAAATCAAAACTAAAATTGAAACCAAGTTTATCTATACATTTCTCGAAGCCATTTTTCTTCTTGGATTCCACCTTTCTTTGCTTTTATTTGCTTCTCCATATTCATTTTCAACTTTAACCTCATCATCAAGTTGCTTCTTATCTTTATTTTGTGATCCTTCTTTGCTTTTCCTTTTCTTTACTTTAGTTCATTTCCATTCCAGTTTTTTGGTTCATGTTGAATGTAGACACTTTTGTTGGCATCAGTTTAAAGTAACTCGCGAATCAAAAACCAATTAATTGAAAAGAAAAAAAAAAACAATCTCTTCAATTCTTTTTTCCCCTCTAAATCTTGCAAGATTCTTGAGTTTTAGGCTTTTTTCAACTTCTTTTATTCCATCTTTTCCTCTGTTGTTCTCCTTTTCTTCATTTTTCCATGTTTATTCTCCATTTATATGTATATAACAGCAATATCAATGACTCACAAGTACCTGGTAAGAATCGCTTGACTTCATCTTGAAATTTCAACATTACTTGAAATTTACCTTTTGTTTTTCATTTTATTTCTCCTCTCCTTTTTTGTCTTATCCATTATCCTTTCTCTTTTCCAGCTTCCTTTTGATATATCACTGTAACTCGATATTGTCAGTTGTTATTTTATTATAGTTGGGTTGAGCGAAAGTCAAACATAGCTGGTAACCATTACCTAGTCTTTTTGTTCAGGTAGCATTTAAGTGAATGAGAGCTGAGTCCATTTAAGTAATGGCGATGTTTAACAATTGTTCAATTCACATTGAAAATTCACTTTTTATACTCATGTGATTGATTGAAGGTCATCAATTATGATCCTATTATTGTCCTTAAAGTTTTATCCTGAGAGTAAACAATTTTTACTTCCATGGCCAACAAAGACATATAGTTACAGCTAGATCAATGCAAAGAAGGGTAACCAGAAAAAAATGATCGACATTAGAAACTAAGAACGAAATAGAAATGGCTGAATAGAGCAAAATAAATACTTACAATCAACTTGACCTCTTGATATTGCCTATCATATTATCATGTTTCATTTTTGCTTATGATGTAAATTTTGCATTCAAATTGGAATCGCGTCAGCTGAATTTACATATGGAAAGAGACAAGATAGGATTTCAAAAGAAAAAAATGGGTTATTTTATGAATTAATGAACTATACTGTTTCATTATTGTACCTGCTTTACTGTACAAAAAGATTTTGTTTTGTAAATTACTTGTTACAGGGTAAAATTTGTTCGACAATTAATGAGTAATAAACTAGAAGAGCAAAAAACAAAACATTACAAACCGTAACTGGAGATTCTTTTGACTTGTAGAGCTCATATAACTGTAATTCAACCAGTTTTTGACATTATGCGAGTTTAAATTCACTAAAATGAAAAAACTAATTACTATTGATTTAACTAAATTAACAATTATAAAATATTTGTTAATCATAACTAAATGATGAAAAGAAGACCTTAAACAACTGTTAATGAACGAAAAAAATGAAAACAAAAGAAAAATCATTCATTAGTTAATCAAAGAGACACTAGCAGATGGCGTTGATCGCGTTTTAGTCTAACGTTGTTTTTGTTGCTGTTTTTGATTCAATTCAATTTATTTTATTTTTGGTGTTTGAATTTTTCTGGTGATTTCATCAAAGGTTTGATTTTCATTTAATTGTGTCTAAATCAAGGTAAGAATGTGAAAAGCCATTGCGGGCATAGTCTATGTTTTCATATCAAAATCATTGGAGAAACCAATTAATTTAATAATGTAATTATTGATAATTATAACTAATCTTATAATATAGAAAATTAAATTATACAAAACTAAAATTATATATTCCATATTCATGTAATAAGGTGAATAAGTTGGAGATGTTTTTTTAGTTTGCCTCTGTTGATTAAATTAATTGTGATTTGGTTTTGTTCTTCTCCATGTTTTGGATAGTTTCTGTATCATCTTACACATATCCATAGTCAACTGAACATATCAACAATTTGAGAAATTTAATTATGAAAATCTTTACTCAATTTAAGTGAATTCCTTTGGCAACTTGTTCAGAGCAAAGGGGTTAATAATGAAAGCCTAGCTTAATGAAATTAAACTAACGGATGTTTATCGATTATTTTCCTAGTCTCTCATCAAATATCTAAACATGGCTTGTGAGACATTATGATCAAAGTGTTGTCGACATCATCAAATGAGAAGCCATTACATTTACATGGTAATCAAGGAATCTGAGAAGAGGAAGGAGAAGAAGAAAAAAGGTGAACAAGCAAACAAAAGCAAGGAAAAAAACTGTTTGTGAAGCTTTTAAACATGTTGATACCTCATTGAAAAAAATAAGAGAAGATGGTTTCGTGATTGCTGTTAAATTGATTTTGTGAGCCGTTCATTTTTTTCACCACTCGTTTTTTTCATCTTTACAATTCTCATGGTTCCTCATTAACCATTAAACAAACCAGATTGATTATCAAGAGGCGAAATTTGTAAACCTAAAAGATTGGAGTCTATCAGTGAATGGAATCAGTTTCATTATTGGATCTCTTTAACCAGCACTTCAGATGGTCAACCAGTTAACATAAACCAACAAATGTGCTGCCCATTTCAATCATGATTGATTTAAATTAACCATACTTTTTACGGAATACTTGCAGGAACAAGTCGAAACACCAATTGAATGATTACAAAGACAAAAGTCACCCTGAATTGTGATGGATTTTTCCATCAAGTTTACATTAGTTGAATTGTAATGTACATCTTTTTACAAGCAAAACAAACTAGTGTTGCTGTGGAGATGCAGAAGAATCTTGAAACAGAGTCAAAGTTCAGTTAAATCTTTGCCTTTTTTTGTCTTCTTAGGCTCTACATTTACACTCATTTTCATGTATATTTTCATAAAATTTACTGAAACAAAGAGGGATGATAAATGATGATACAAGGCAAGATCGACGCCGTTCACTGAACACGGTTAAAATTTTACAACATTGGTAATATGTTTTGATGGGAAAAAAGGCGAAGAAGGAAAAAAAGAAGAAGAAAATTGTTGCAAACAAAATTCTGAACCAATAGATCAAAGAAAGAGGAAAATGATGAGGATGGAAAAGGCAAGACATGATTGAACAGGAGGAACACTTTTTTGATATGAATTTCATGGCAAAGACTTATTGTAATAACCTTTTTTTTATACTCAACTATGTAACAGAAGGTACAACAGTTATATCAACAACAACAACAACAGCAACTAAATTCAAAAGGAAGACAACATGAGCAAAGGCAAAAATAGTTGCATGCGAGTTACACACCTCATTTACAATGAAAAACTTGCCACATCCATATAACATTTCATGTCTACCATGACTATCGAGCTTTTTGTTTTGTGCATTTTGAAAATTCCTCCAAAAATCAAACCATCATCCATCTCACGTTAAACCATCCGCACCATGTTTTAAAATTTTGTTTTCTTGTATTATCATCATTCATTACACCCTCTGCCTCTTCTTCATGAATCACAATTTCTTGGGCTACTGTTCACCATCATTTTCATTATCTTCCTCTCAATCGACTCAATATTTCCCTTTTTTGGGGCCAAATTCATTCACTCAATTCTGTCTCTCTTTTTGGTGATCACTTGAATGAAGCAAACTCGGTGAAAATCTTAATATCAATTTTCACTTGAAGATATCTCAAGATTTGATAGGTTTCCATTTAACTTATCATCAATGTTGCATTGGGATTTAACTTGACTTGAAACCAACGCTCAACAACTTTTATTATTATAACAACCATCTATCAATAGTCTTTTTACATTTTATTGATAATTTAAAATTGAACATTATGTCTTTTCTTGGAGTTTTATCATGAAAGCTTAACATGGAAACCTTTACTCTGACAAACAATTTTTTTACCTTTATTAATATGTAACCTTATAACATTAACTTGTTAAGAAGGTTATTGACATCTGGACAATACAGTGTAACAAGATTTACATGATTGACCCTTTCAAATTCATTGAGCAAAGAGGAGAATAAAATGAAACAGAAGATGAAATTTCTGATTATATGATGAGTTGCAAACTGTTGGTTAACTGATTAATTCAGAAGAGTCTGTCTTCTTGGCAGACATTGATTGAATTCAGATATAAATGAACATTAATCTTGATCAAATGGTACCCTTGTAACCAAAAGATATATTTAATAGACTTGCTTTCGCCATGTTAAAACTGTTCATCGACACAACAGCATCTTATCAGCTCTTCAAATCTAACCGCAATTTTGAAATGTGACTCATTTAGCTTAATTTTTGCAACTTATTTTTGTTGCAATTTTTAATTAACCAATTTTTGTTCACCAATCACAGTTCAAGTTTAACCATTAAGCCAGACTGTCTTTGTTTATTCAATTAGTCCGACATTTTGTTGATAACAGATTGTCCCATGACTGATAAACAAGTGATCATTTAATGGTTTTGCATTTTGTTAATGTTGTCTCATAGTTCAATGTTGAGAGAAACCGTCTCATGTGGTTCAATGTTATTAAAATGAGAAAAGTAAATTTTCTGTATTCAACGATTAATCTTATTAATTAACAATCTTTTCTTTTTTTCCATGTTCACTACTTGCTCTACTTTCAACCTTTAATCCAATGGATTGCCATTTACAACGTTAGATGCCACAACATTAAACTTCAATGGAGAGGATTACATGTTAATCGATCTCGGTGAAGAGGCAATAACTCAATCAGAGGATCTTAACCTTCGCTTTAAAACATCTACATCAACCAGTTTTTTGTTCATGGCTTCAACAACTGATCGATGGACATCTTATTTAATCATCTCTTTGGAGGGTGGACGTCTTAAGGTGACAATCAACCTAGGTGAAGGGAATAAGGTTACTTATATTGGTAGCTCGCTGGGAAATGATCGCTGGCATACCATTCGTCTTCACCGTCGAGGACCCAGTTTGGAGGTTAAATGTGATTCTGAAAATGTGATAACTGAGCTTACCGGTCAATTAATTGATTTACATTACTCTTACCTGGTAATTGGATCTTACATTGATTTAAGGCCTGGTACTGTTCGACCAACCAATTTAATTAATGCAAGTGGTAAACAAAATGAAACTCCTAACTTTATTGGCTCAATTCATAATTTAATCCTTAATGGAAATGATTTTATTGAACTTTCTAAACAAAAGATTGACCTTAATTTTACTGTAACAGCAACTTATGGCAAAAAAGACGGGTCCATTCATCGTCCTATCACCTTTAAATCAAGGCGTACCTACATTGGTTTACCTCAGTTGAAAGCATATTCAACAATGGCTCTTTATTTTCAATTTAAAACAACCTTGCCCAATGGTTTAATTTTATATAACGGTGGTAAAGATGAAGATTTTATTGCCATTGAATTGGTTGCAGGTCAACTTCATTACACTTTCAATATGGGCGATGGACAAAGACGACTAAAATCATCAACTCGATATTCACTTAACGATGGACAATGGCACTCAGTGGCTGTGGGTCGACCCTCTCTTGGTCAGCATACTTTAATGGTTGATGATATGGTTTCCTCATTTACCAATAATGGACCAAATCTCCATCTTGACCTAACTGGATTACTCTACTTAGGAGGATTACCTTCAGATGCCTATTCTACTTTACCTTCATTGGTTGTCTCCAGTCATGGATTTGAAGGTTGCTTGGCCTCATTAGATTTTAATGGTGAAACCATTGACCCTACTGGAACTGATGCAGTTGTAAGGTCAACCTTGGTATCTAAAGGCTGTTCTGGTGAGGGATCAGTTGAATGTTTACCAGGCAAAGAGGATGGTTCATGTGATTCATTAGTTGCTCTTGGTTCCCCTGTAAACTGTATACCATCTGAGGATTGTTCATGTGATGATAATCAATCATCATCATCAAAATGTTCACAATCTCTTGGTAAGTTAATCGTATTTACATTTTACACTGTCACACTATTGCTTGTTCACACAGCAATGATACACACAAATGTCTTCTCAAGTTGTCCTTACCTTTATTAATTCATCTCTTCGTTTTTTTTCCTGGTTCACAATTAATTGACTACACTTCTAAATATATAAATGATTTCTCAAAGTGACATTGAGGTTACCATTCAAGTTAAAGCTGGAAAAGTCTAAAACATCAGCAGTATCAAAGACAATCATTCAATTGTTGTACACAAATCTGATTTTTACTTTGCTGACCGTTTCCTTTTATTTCAAATGAGTGACACAAAAATCAAGATAACCTTTCAATTCAACTTTTTGGAGATTTATCAGGCAAAGGGAAAAGAAGAAGATGGCAAAGAAAAAAATGTTGATTGAAGTTTATCAACGAATCCATTTCAATGTCAAACTCATGTATAAATGATGTAAAAGCTCTTTGACTATTCGCTTCTTGTTGACTTCTCTCTTGATCAATCTGTCTACCTATCTGTCTACTCTTCTCATCCCTTCCAACATCCACACACACACATATAACTAGCCATTGGTCAAAATAATATGTATTTAACCTTTATCATGTCCATTCTGATGGAATGTAATCTAAAAGAAACGATCGAAATGGTTAAAGCAAATAACATGATATTTAGGTTGCTAGATTAGTTCTCGTCATGACGATTCATTGTCAACAAAAGAGTTATAGGAAACTGGTGAATGACTTTGAAGATGATTGCTGTTGATGATGATGATGGTGATGATGTTGATGAAACACAAAGGTCTTGATACATAAATATCTCATCTGTCAGAAAGCATTTAGCTTTATACTCATTGGAATCAAATTTTGGTGTCAATCGTTTAAAATAAAACGACAAGAGTTAACTTTACATTTGTCAGCTTTATGGTTATGGTTTGAAATGTATTTTAATAATTTCAATCCATTAACCACTGATGATTGCATTGTAGGATTGAAAAAAATTAATAATTAAACATGAAAAGCTAAATTGTTGGTTTGTTTACCCAATTCAACTGAGCTTCAATGAACCTGATTATTTGTTAGCTTTTTTTAGCTCTCTTCTTGCCATCTAATACCTTAGATTATTTTAATTTGCATCACTTAACTCTACACTAAATGAGATGCAATCAAGAAACTATTCAAATCTCAATTGCAATTCAACCTTGTTTCATCACAATCATTACAACTGTTTGACAATACAGTTAATTAAATCGTTAAACTGTAAAAATTTACTTTGCAGCTTTAATTTTGAATGTCAACCTTCAACTTACATTGCTGGTAATTTAGTTGAGATAATCATCAAAATGGTTTAAAACAATATTCAAAGTGTTCCATCATTTAAATCAACTTAAATCTTCATCTTTTTGCTCATAAAAATTGCTTTTCCTTGTCATTTTCAGCAGCTTTTTAATGTAATTTTTTCTGTTGATTATATTTTAAATTTCTAAATGATTTATCGTTACTTTTTTGTCAAACCTTCAACAGTTAAATTGATTTTAAATTGAGTTTCAATTTTCTTAATGCACCCAAAATAATCTAATTCATTTTGATATATTCACAACTAGTTTCCATTTCAATTGATGTAAAAATTCATTGATTACTGACATCACCAACATGAGGTATAAATTAGTCTTTTGAGACTCTCGTCATTCCACCAATTGTTTCAATCAAATTAACCTTTTCTCATAGATAATAGTTTAAATTTTTTTTCAATTTACTCTTACAATTTCATCAAGTTGCTCATTTTATTGTTACTGGCTACAAAAATTGATCACAGTTAAGGTAAAGAAACTGTATGATGTAAGTTTGATTGATTGTTTCTGCCTTCAGTTTCCCGAAAAGCCTTTGTAACTGCGATTCTTTTTTTGTTTCCATGTTGACAGAATTGATTCTTTGATTTAATTCAAAGACATAAGCAAGACAAAGGGAAAAAAATCAACAACATAAGACGAAAATAAAGTTGAAAATAAGAGAAAAAAATGATAACTTTACAATTCTTCAAAATCCAGAATTGATTCTTCTTCTCATGTAATAACATTTTTGTATTATTAACTTGGTTTACTTTGCTTTTGCTTTCAAAGACAAAGAAATAGTCAACAAAATAAGATTTTTTCTTGTTTCTCAGTTTGCTTCAACTTTTAATGTTAATGTAATTGTGAATCAACTAATATAATGATATCTTTGAAAGTAAAAGGTAGACATTGTTTCTCCTTTTTTCACCTTAAAAGTGACTTGCCAACAAGATTACTGTTGAAGATGGTTAAAGTGGAAAATTTTGTATCATTTTGTCGAGACTTTTCATTTCCAATTTACTCTAAATTCAATGCAATCTATCAATTTTACAATAGTCACCTTTTAATTGCTTAAGTTGACCATCTCAATTTTGTAGCCATTTTCACTGATCGTTTTGAAACGTATTTTGAGCATTAGCTTTGTAACAAGCTCTAGATCAAAGATCATTTCATAACGAACTTATCAACTCCAAGATTTACAGATGCTTTGAGTGTGTGTTTTTAGTTGTTGAATTGTCCAGAAGCGCAGTTAATCAATGATTAATAATCATTTTCACTTTGAGATTATCAATTTGAGAAATAATAAGCTTTGTCTGAAATTGTTTGAAGCTGAAGGTAGATGAGGTTTTTCAGGATAGGTAGTCGATGGATTCGAGAATCGTTTGAATTATGGACATGAGTTGTAGTTCAGACTTGCATTATTGATATCAGGCAAAAATAGAATGTAAATTTACTTATTTGTAATGAAATTAATTAAATTCAAACTCAAATCATTAAAGATATGAAAATAAATTTATTTGGTGCCCATACTGTGGCGCCATCTAGTGGTCTAAGTATTATAATTTACCGATATTTTTGATTTGAATTAGTTTGTTGTTATTTATCTTTATTGATTCTGATTCAATTGACTCGTGAAATTGCCAAGTTCTTTTAATTTGCTGAGCTAATTTTATCGTATTTAATTATCTCTTAATTCAGGAAGTGCCTCGTATCAGTGGGGATCAAAAGGAGGTTTGGTATTGTTTACTTTTCCAGATAAAAAGTTGGACACGAAAAATGATCATCTTTCAGTTGCCTTTTCAACGGAATCGGACAATTGTGTCTTATTCCGTGTGGATAGTGGTTCAAGTATTGATTATATGGAACTGTCAATATTTGATGGAACCATCTTGATGGTTTATAATCTAGGAACAGAGGATCACGATATTGGCCAATTAGATGTTAAAGTGAATGATGGTAAAGTGCATCTAGTTCGATTCACGCGAACTGGGTCTAACTCAACATTACAGGTTGATAATCACAATGTTGTTAAAAAGACACCATCTGGAAGAAGACAACTTACCGTTTTCAATAGCCATCATAAGATTCAAATTGGTGGTAAAATGAATACCGTTAAAGATTATCTGGAAAAACCATTTACAGGAATTATCTCAGGATTATTATACAACGGTTACAGACTTTTAGATTTAGCTATGGATAATGATCCTCGGATTGAATTTAAAGGTGATGTACTACTTGTTACATCTACTGGTAATCCCCGTAAAGAATCTAAAAGTAAACCAAATGAATCCTTCAAACCTGAGGTAAATACATATTATCAATCATATTCAGTCTTATAATAGTCTAATTTTACCTCAAGAAAAATCGATAGTTTTTATGCTAATTCATGTTTGTTTGTTTGTTTTCTTAGGATAATCTTGTGGAGAATACTTCATCAAATAAGGAAGATTCTGACTCACTAATATTTTCTGGGGAAGGGTCTGGTGATTGTTTCGACGAAAATGATGATGATGACGAAGGTTGTGAAATCAAAACCGTCAAAGAAACTGAAATAGATGAACTGATAACGCCGAAATTGGTAGAGTCTAGTGAAAAACCAACATGGACAAATGAACCTATCGGAAGCTGGGCAACTGTATCAACTAGTCCAACAATCGTACGTCCATGCAATCCAAACTCTGAAGATTGTTCCAGCTCAACTTCAAGGTCCTTTACACCTCAAATAGATGGTTCCACTGTCCAGTTAGGGAGTCCGGAAAAAGTAACAAGCATTTCAGAAACATATGAACGAGTACCTCAAAGTAGTACTAGCCTCGCGCCATGGATAGAACCTGAAAAATCAACTTACGGATGGTATCAGCCTTCTACTCCATCAACTACAAGTCCATCTACACTCTTCCCAAAGATTCCAATCCTTCCTCCTATTCAATATCAGCCGATGCGACCTAGGCCTCAGACACCCACTCGACCTACTGGAAAACCTCCTATTAATGTAGTTCCAATTCCACAAATTCCAAATATTCCAAATGATCTCGACAAACGTAATCCAAACATTGGTACCTATGACAAATCAAAACCCAAAACATCCTTAACTACAGCTTCTAGTGCAGATAAAACAGCCTGGTTAATTGGTTTTGTTGCTGTTACCTTAGTCATAATAGTTATTCTTACTCCTATGATCCTTTATTCTTACATTAAATATCAAAACGATCATTATTATAAAGGACAACCAGGAAATGATTCCATGGCTGGTGCTGATTTGAACAGAATGAAATTTAATCCAATTACAGGCGTGCCAACAATGCTTTCAAGTGATGCTGATCTTGAAGGTAATATTTATCACGGATCATCTCGATCAAATGTATCGCACATAATATCTGTTGAAACAGCTAAAGCCTCAAAAAAGAAAGATACAAGGGAATGGTACGTGTGATTAGAGATGAACTAACAAAGAAACATTTTAAAAGCTGCTTTTCTTCATATCAAATTAAAATTGTAAATAATGATATATTTTTTTTAACAAGAGTGTTTAATTGTGTACATATTATGTAATAAAAAATCATTTTTCTCAATCTTGATTATACTTTATCATCTTTCACTTTTATAATCACAATGATTAGAGGTAAAGTTGAATTAGATAAGCAACATTCAATTAGCAGCTGTACATTGATTATCAAGAGATTAGGTAAGCCTTTAAAATGTTGCAATAATTCAACTTACCTTCTAAATGTCATTGGAAATAAGATGATTTGTCTTCAAATATATTGAGTAAGGGATTCAGTTTAAACTAAATCAATCATAGACATTCAACGATGATTCAATCTAAAAGCCTGACGTTGAAAAATATTTCAACATTTGAATAGTGAACAAAAACTCACGTTGGTTGGTGAAAAATTTGTGTAAGTCATTGTCATAGTAACCGCGCCAGTTTAATTGTAATCTGTTGTTTCTGTGTTAAAGGTTACTTTTAATTTTCTAGTGAAGTTCGATTAATGATCATAGTCAAGTCAAAATGCAAGAACCCAGTTTATCGTTGTTGCGACCACCCCAGGTCACTGAATTAATCCGAAAATGTCAAACTGGATGTGTGAAAAACCTGACCCGCTATAATTTACAATTCTTTCGCAAGTTGATTGAAGCTGATGAATTTTATTTTAGATTGGTTTATAGTCATATTCAACGTGGGAAATTTTTCCAGAGATTTGACAAATTATTTGTCCACAATGGTCGCCATGTTTACAATTTACGTTCAGACAGGATCAACGACTCAACTAGACTCTACTCTATCGAGCAATATGTGAGAGGTTTAAAGTTAGCTGACCATAGAGTGCTTGCAATTAAATCGCCAATCGTAAGTATCGTTTGACTTGCTATTTCTTTTCATTGTAATGAGTTGTTTATTCTAATTCTTATCTCAAATTCTTATCCCCATAAAGTATACACCTACAATGCTTCCTCGGTCTAAATATCGACCCATGTTACTCATTTTAAATGACCACAATAAACTTTTGGTTATTGATTTTGACACTGGTGAACTTATCGACACAATCTACCTTGGCTCTATGGAAAGGTGCAAATTCACTTACATTGGATGGGAAAAATATATGGAAACTATTCTAATACAATCGACTGATTTAATGGCCCAAACAGACGGACGAGTCATTAGTTACAACATATTAATGTCGATTTGGCCTCTTAAATTTATTGCTTGTTTCGATATAGAGTGCCATGTAAGTTTAATTATTTCCATAACTTTGAATGAATTACATTTATTCAGATTAATAATTCCTTTAAAATTTAACCTTTTTCAGATCTTTGAAAGACAAAGAAGTACCAACATTTCGGAAGGAATGCTGATTCTCAGTAATCCTCAGCCTCCTGATCAATTCGTTAATATCTACAGTCTAACGGACATTTTGGATCCCGAGAATTACAAATGGTACACTGATATTGATAAACACTGTACAAACGAAGAAAGGTGCGATGAATGTTGGCGATCTGAGGCAAGGGTTGTAGGCAGAGATGGCCATGGATTTCCTACCAATATAATTATTAAAACTAAACCAAGATTACTTTTGTCAATTTTAACCTGTTTCCCGTGCATTGAATTTGGCTATAATCCTTTCCATTATATATACTCTCCTCCTGGACAAAGAGACACCTTTAATGTGGAACGTTTAGAGGGTCGAGTTCCAGTTATAAATGGTTCAATTACATTTGATAATTATTTGGAGGAGCACAATAAATTATTGTTTCACGATGACCCTGTTGAAAATAGAATAATTTCAATTGAATCACATAAACTTGCATTTTATAAAATAATCAACAATGTTCTTACCAGACGAGGTGAATTATCTCCAACTCCACCTGAATTTTTTGACGATCTTCAAGTGAGAATGAGAAACCAAAGGAAAGCAAAGAAAAATGACAATATGTACAAAAGCTTCTTCTCCCATGTATATGACGTCGATACAGAAATCTTTTTTGTGCTTGGAGTTGACCTTTCATCTGACAAACCAACCACACCTGTGATGTGCTTATTTGACAACTTTAATGGACAGCTGTTGAAAAAATTTCCTCTAAATTTTAAAGCTGAAGAATCAAACGACTATGATCTCTGGGCTGATCGTGATTTACTATTCATTAACGAAAACAACTCATTTGGCCCAAGCAGAGCTATGTGTTATCGATTAGAAAGGTTACCAATCGAAATCTAAGCAATATTTTCCTCAAATTTGTGAACAAATATCTCTCACGTTGGAGCTACCATTAGTTTACTGTGACTCGATTCTTGCAATGATGTGTCAATTTTAAATTATTTCACACTAACCATTTGCCTAACGACCAATCAATTGTGATAGTTGTCTCAATACAAGCCTTTATAAAGTACATTTGCCAATTTACTCGTTTTTTGGTGTCTTAACAGTCATTAAAATTTTTGAAGGTTAAGAATTGCGCACAACAAATACATAAATGAAATCAATAATGAAATGGTATGGACTATTATAAAACAATTAGAAATTTACGATCAAATTTAATGCTATTTAATGGTCTCAAATATTTCAAAGAAAACATTACCGTTTTCTTTCGCTTATAAGAAGGCTTAGATTGGTACTCATACTTCAGTTAAAACTTCAGAATGGTGATATCTCAATCTTAGACTATACAAAAACTCAGGTAAGATTTTTAAGCTATTCATTACCTTAAATATAAATTAATAATAGTTTCTTATTATTTACAGATCAAAGTCAGTCAAAAGACAGTAGCAGCTTAATTATCTGCAGCGGAGGACAAAATTAAATATTGCAAATCCAGCCATTTCGCCATTTCCCGTGAATTCAATACTCAACAGTCTTAATCAAAGTATAAAAGGCTTAAACTGAATCTTTTGGCTTAATCTAGCTGACTAAATCCACTTTATGGTGCTACAAGATTTAAATGAAAATATACGATTGGTTGTAGAAGAAAACGAGCGAGGAAAAGCTGGTTTTAATCATTTAACCTGAAAACACATGTTCATTTGTAATTTACTTTAATACAATTGTATGATGATCCTCTGTTAATTTGATTGACATGACCTTGACAATGATACCAAGCAGATTGATTAACTAGGATAGCTTATAATAATGATCATCTAACCTGTCTTTTATTCAATCAACTTCATTAGTACTAACCCAATGAATGAAACATGTTAGGTTAAAAAATTTGAAAACAAATTGATTAGCATTCGCTGTGAATTTTTTTCAAAATGTTTTAACCTTAATTTTTACCCAATTCAGATCATATTTCTCATTTTCCGTATCAACTTAAGTCATGTAATTACAACCAGATTGAAGCATTCATGTAAAAAATTGCAGCTTCACCCAATCAACCAAAAAGACTGAGCAAAACACTTCTATTTGTTAATCTATTTAGATCATCAATTAAAATTTCCGCTCTTAAAATACTCTATTCTGGTTATCAACCCAAGTCATCTCTCTAATATTTACGCGTTTAATTTGAGTCCGTTTATGGACAATCAATGTAACCAATCAGTTGATATTTTAACTTTCATTTAGATTGTGAATAAGCCATAATTAAATCAATAACTAATAGTTTGATATCTTTCGTGTGGTTTCATTTATTACTTACAACCTGTTTAAATTTCCATCATTTGAAGCTTACAGTGTTGCTTTTTCATCTTGTTGGCTATAAAATGAACACTTACTTAATTACATTTTATTACATTGTCAACTGTTAATTAACATAAATTAATGACCTTTTCAAACCAAACTTTAAATGAATTATCTATTGTAACACCAGAGTAATCAACATCAACTGAATAAATCATCAGGATTGAAGCTACATTGTATTGCAAGTTAGAGACCAAATTCACAGGTTGAGAGTGTAAATAATAAATCCTTTTTTTTATCTTTCACAACTTTCAATCAATTCCAGCATAGAGAGATGTTCATAATAATGTTTCATGAGAATTCCAAGGTTGTATTTCATTATTAGGTTATAATAAATGAAACAAAGGTAGATGCACATGTAATGAAGCTCAATTGAAGATGAAAGTGGTTTTTTTGAAGTTTGTATGCAAAGTTGATTCAAAGTGAAAGCTTTCAATTGAAGATTAGCATTTTTCAATTTTTCTCATTTGATTGTGATTGTATGGGTTACCGAATGAATGTATCGCGATTTAGCTTGGATTGGGATTTGGTTCCATCTTGTTGCTCGGTTGGTTACTTTGATTATTACCTGCTTATCCAATGACAATAAACAACAGGTAATGAGCCTTATTAACACCGAGGGAAGCCAAGTGTATGGAAGCGAGTGAGGACCAGATAGCAATAATAAGACAATGAATATGATGATGATGATGATGAAAGAAGAAGCGAGAGGAAAGTCATTTCTTAATTGTTTCAAGCCAAACTCAGTCAGTAGTGTGACCTTAAATGTTAGGCCTAAAAAACAAGTTATCCCAGTCTCATTGAGATGTTCATCCTAAAACAAGTGATCACAGTGATTCCAAGTAGCAGTTTTTTTTGTTTTATCAAGTAACGTCCATATTAATCAGCATACCAATCATCACTGAAGAGCAGGAAGATAAATATAATAATGATAATAATGTTATTATCACCACTATTATGCAGTTTTGTTGGTATAGTATAAAGTTGAACAAGGTCAATTGGAAATTGGGTTGCAAGGTAAAAACAGTGAGAAGTGCCTTAATTTTAGCCAAAAGTAAGGAAGACGTAAAGTGTTGATGGTGAAGATGGCGATTTGAGAAATATTAAAATATAGTCAGGTCAGGTTGAAGTGGTCAAGAAGCTCATGATGCCAAGATGAATGGGAAGATAAGATGACCTGAGAAAATATTGTTTGATTGAAGCCATTAACCATTGAATGATCATTATTATTGTATTAAATATGGAACCTGTTGTTTGAGGTAGAAAGCAAAAAAAAACAAAGTTAGATGATTGTAATTGACATGAGGATATAAAAAGAAGTCATTTGTATTGATTGAATGAAAAAATAAAATAAACCTTAACATCAAAAAAACAAGTTTATATCCATCTATTGTTATTGCTATTGACAATTCTGATGATATTTAGCATGAAACATTGTTTCCTGATAACATTTCAACAGTGTTAATCAGTATAAATGAAGTTAAGGCTTATTATTACAACACGTTCAAGGTTTACCAAAGGTTTTAGTTTACAAATTGTCATCAATCATGTTCAATTTGAAATAGGTGAATGTGAGAGAGGTTTAGTCACAGATGAACTGTTCTGAACATCCCTAGGCCTCGCCATCTTCCTCATCTTTATCATCTTCCTTCCTCAGTCTCTACCTGCTAGGCCTACTTTTGGTTTGTCCCATACAACACCTTCAACCTTATTGAAAGTAACACCAAAAAAAGCTGACAATAAACTGAACATTTGACACTTAACAATAATCAAATTGTGTGGATGAAACAAATGTGTTCAACAACAATTGATGGTGAAACAATAAACTGATTACAGGGAAATGATCATTTGTTAATCAAAATAAAAAATGATTAAAGGTAACTTTCACTCTTCAATGCATCCAACAATGGCTATTTGAGTGACTATTACAATACAAGTTACAACACAAATGCCTTGCTATGCATGGTAAGTGTTGGTTACAATTGATCATAAATCCCTTAAATCAATGAGAGTGAACAAGTTAATTATTCAACAACTAAGCCTAACAGTTGTAACGTGTATGGTAATTAATATATTACATACACTAATTTAGTTAAACACGTATATCACACAATTTGATTATTGTTATTACAATTGTCATTACAATTAGTATTTATTGTATTGTCTTCCGAATCAAATGTTGAATGTGATCAAAATGGAGAGAGACTTTTCATGTTGACTACAATAATTTGAGGTGAAAATAACAATTAAGGTTATTAGTCTCATTATTGTATATCTTTTTGTGTCTTTTTCCTTGGATTGGGTTCCATCACTTTCATTATTGTTAATATGATTGTTGTCATCATTATCATTCCCTCCTTGGTTTCATTAACCATGAGTATTTGGCCTCTTCCATCCGGTCCTCTGTCAATAAAATTAACCCCAACAGGGTACATAAATGCATCTAGTTTGTCATCTAACTGGTTAATTAGTGTTGATGATCCTGATGGTACATTCAGCAGATGAGTTGAAACCCTGAAGAGGAAATAAGGTAAAAAAGGTAAAATTAGCATAAAATTTTCAGAAAAAAAATTGGGTAAAAATTGGGTAAAAGATGATTTATTTCTGGTTTCAAAATTGTTTGGGTTAATGTATTAGTTGTAAGTATTGGTTTGTGTGTCTAAATGGTTGATGATTATCAAGGGATAATCAATGCTGAATTCAGCAGAAATAATTTAAATTGTTTATGGATAATTCAAATTGATTGGGATTTCATGTATGGCAAGGTTAACATTGGTATGACAAGTTGGTGAGTGTATTTCAAAGTTAATACAAAATAATCTGATGATGACAAACAGGAAGATGCGAAAATAGTTAATATATAAATTAACCATGAAAAATTTGATCATTTTAAGGGAATCAAATGAAAATTTCATTGACAACGAGCAAGTATTTAATAAATTGTGACTTCTCTATTTTCATTATTTTCAACTCCACTTGTAATCCTTTCATATCCTTTCAAGTTTTGTCGTATTTTATCATTTCACTTGAAATAATTAAAATTAACCATTAAATTATGATTTAACCTACAATTCCTGATCTTAATGGTTTTCAATCAACAATAAAAAATACAAGTAAGACAATAATGGTTAAGGTTTTGTTGCTTACTGAACAGTTTTTATGTGAAATTAACCAAACCAGTCAAGAGGACAATAACAATGTGCATGATAATTAAAGACAGATTTAAGATTGATTATTGAATTAATGGATTAAGCTGGCTTGACTAAAATTAACTGGTGTAAGTACACTAATCGTAGACTAGTTAATAATAGTAAATATAAAACAGTTGATTAAAAATAAGCTCAACAATTTAACGCAGATAAAACGAGTGTAAACGAGTTTAGAAACCAGAAAATTTCAGCAGCAACGATCTTTAACCAATTCAGTGGTTTTGGAAAGGAAAAAAAGTTAAATTTCAACAAATTTTGTTGACTAAAATGAAGCTAATATGAATTAAGACAGGAAGACAAATTGATAATTCAAATTAATAACGTTAAATTGTTAAGAAAAAAAAGAGTAAATTATTAGGCCAAGGTTTTTTTCGCTATTTATTGCTAACTGTAACCAGTAGAGGCCTGATAAATTTAATAGTTTAACTTAAATTAAGCTGATTCACCGTGTGAATCATTTTCTTTGAATTTTTGCTTAATTTAAATCAATCAAATTAAATCATCATTCAGGATAATCACTTTAACCAAGATGAATCAGTGAGGAAACTGAGGCATCGTTTTGCATCTCATGTCTCTTCACAGGCAAAGGAAGAAAAGGTTTGATTTTGTGATTTAATTTGATCAACCTTTTGGTCAACTGTTGATCAAGTCTTGCAAATGTCAAAATAGTGATTAATCCAATGATGGATGTAATCAATTGATTAGCAAAAAACGATTCTGGATGATAATCTGCTGTCTTACGGAGCGTTAATATGGTTTGACAATTTTCAATGAAGGTAGAGTAAAAAATGCTGATATTGTATGTACCTTTGATGGATTAATATTGTTGACTGGTTGTTGTTGTTTATGTTGATGATGATGATGATGGTAACTGATCATGATCATGATGATTGAGTTTCATGTCTTTTTTTTGTATTTATATCTCGGTTGTCAACATTAACGGATGACACGTTTTTCATTTCATTTACAGTTGATTGTTGGGAGAAAGTTTTGTGTTAACTGTTACCTTTAGTATCTTATTTAGGACAAAATGAAGTAAAATTTTCAATTGAAAATGTCTTGTTGTGAAGATGAAGTTTTGTCAAAATATCCAGCTTACGGTAGGTTGGTTTTTGATGACAAGGGAGATGATGAAGAGAGTTGATGATGATGAAGCCAAGGCTGTAATTGAAGGGGAAACCAATTGATGAAAGTTGTTGTTGTTAATGACGTTTTTAACTGTTTATAAATCCTTTAGCAATTCATTGAAATACCTTTTTTTTCAACAAACTGTTTACTGGTTACATTGAAATGAAGTCATGTTGTTGTTGTTGTTGTTTGTATATTAAGGGTGTGTGATTATTTTGAGCGCTACTTTTGGAAGCTGATTTGTAACGCTTATACATTAAAATTGAATGTATTTTTTGACATTAAGCCATTATTTATCAATGAAATATAATAATATGATAATCCAAGGTAGGCCCAATGTTCATTAAAAGGTTAACAATTTATGTTTAAGCAGCATGTTTTTATAAAAACACAAAAAAGGTTACTTCAGGTTGAAAATCCAATGGTTTTTTACTCTATCTGGTTTGAAGAGAGTCATTATTTAAATTAATTCACTATGGAGGTTTAAAGTTGACTTTATTTAACTAGACAATTAATACAATTTAAATTGGCCATTCGTGATTAAGGTTGTTAATTTAAAAATAATTGAATAATGTTTAGTGAATAAAGAAGCAAAGAAAATTAAGAAAACGACAAAATTTAAAAAGGGTAGCGTCTTTTCTTATTGGCATTACATTGTGTAACCATTAGCGACGACAATGGACAAGACAACTTGTGATTTTGCTTAAGATCTTATTAATGTTTGTTGCTTGTGTTACTGTTAACAAATTGTTAATTGTTTCTGATTGTTTACCATCAACATGATTATCAACACACCCTCATGGTAAGTTTATGCTCATGATAGAGGGAGTTAGTGTGCCAACTCATTTCAAGTTGAGTTACATGATTGTGAATTCATTTCATTCATTCATTCGTTTTCATTAAGATTGATTCACTTTTTTTTTGTTTCGTTTGGTTTCTTTATTGCTACTTTTTTCCCCATAATTTTATTTCAGTTTTTAATTTTTGTTCTTTGTTTTTATTTCTCTTCTTATCATTTTTCAACATGTTTATTATTTATACGTTAATGGTTTTACTTACCTATTCTGTTACCACCATAAAAGCCAATCCACTTTTAGCGGGATGTGTGGTGCAGTCCAGTCTTCAATTGACCGAATGTGAAAGAGATATACGATTTCGTTTTGGTTACGCTAATAATACGGCCACTGATTGTTGTGTTTACTGGGGTTTATATGATTGTTTCCAGGATGAGTTATCTCGTCGTTGTCCATCTGATCGTGTTAGTGACTTGAATCGCTATCTACATGCCGATCATACGATTAAGGTTACAGCGGATTGTAAACGGTTCCCATCGCGATTCTGGTGTGAGCTTCATTTCATTGGATTCTGGTTTAGCATGATATTTATCATCTTGGCCATCATTGTGTTTATCGTGGTTGTTGTTTTTATTGTGTTGTTCTTGAAAAGGCGATTTTTACGACGAAAGGATCATCGTCGACCATTGACCGCAACAATTAACAATGCAACCAACAATGGTGCCAAAGAGATTCGCACAGGAGCTCCATTGGCTAACAGTAAAATTGACGATCTTTAGATTAGACCTTTTTTTAATCATTTTTATTTCGTTAACATTACACAAAGATTTCACTTTTCTAACAAACTAGATTTGAATCAAGACAAGATAGTAAGAGTGCGTTAATTAGAATCATAGTTTATCTCATTTTTTTGCGGTTACTTTACTGTTATTTGGAAGATAGTTTTAAGCAAAGCATTTATCCATATTCATCGACACAAGTCTCTCAAATTGCAATCAACCATCAAGCCATCACCACAACCACTATCATCAGCATCACATTAATCATCATCATAATCAACAACATTTGCCATCAACAAACATTGACAATCATAATGATCGCGAATCAATTCCATATTCAAGTGACCTTTTCTTTTGATCCATTTTGTGTGGTTTTGATTTGGATGGTCAAAATTATCAACAACAAAAATGGTCAATTATGATTGCATTTAATCCCACCTTTTCAATGGTTTCTTTCATTGTGTCCAAATGTGAAAAGAAATGAAAAAGGATGAGGATTCCAAAGGTGATGAGGAAGAAGATGATTATTGCTAAAAGCTAAGGATGATGATCAACAATAATAACAAGCAATTCTGTTAAACTTTTATTACTTCTTGGCTTTTGTTTTCTTTGAACAAAATCAAAGTTAATCAAGGAAATCGTCATTTCTACATCCATTCAAGAGTCTTCTCTAGTCATCTAAAGATTCATTGTCATCACCATCAGCCTCATCATCATCATCATCATCATCATCGCCATCATATTTCCTGAGCAGGTCTCAATTGACTTTATCATTTTTTATATTCAAAATGAGTCTTCGAAAGCTTAGTACCAAAGTATTTTGTTCAATTCATTATCGTTTCAATTGTTATCATTAATAACAAATGGTCAGACTTTTATTGTGTTAACATCAATTATTACTTGGATGATTTAAGGAAAGTTGTTCAAATATTTGAATGATGATGATGATTATGATGATATTATAATTATGATTATGACAACAGTAAAAGGATGTTAATTTGAAGCAACCTTTTACATGTTGATTTTTCATAATCTTTTCATTCAAATTTTGTTCAGTGAATTATTGTTACAATTGTAATCATCAATTTTGATTATTCAATCTCGCTCTCTTCCTCTCCTAAATCATCAATTATCTCATCAATCTTGGTATTAAACGTTTTGGTCACAATCGCCTTAATCATCATCACCAACACCATACAACTATCAACAAATACAACAAAACCAACATCAATAATCATTTTCATTCCAAAGATCATCAAAAATCATCATCAACATCATGATCATCACATCACACAATGATAAAGAAATTAATTAAGAATGCAATGGAAAGAACCAACAATCAACAATCGCCTTAACAATCAAAGGATACAAAATTTGTTATTTTAATGACAAAATGTAACATTTTTTGTTTGCATTTTTTTACACTTCTATTCAATTTACTATCACTTTTTTATTCTTATTAATATTACGATTATAATTCATAATTATTCAAACAACTGTAAGCGAACTGCCCAAATCGACGTCTTTTTTTCTAATATTTATTTGTCATTGTGAACATTTGATTGTACATTAAATTGTTCACTGCCTTTTGATCACAAATAAAAATCATCAAATAAAAAATGCAATTACTTTTCACTTGTTTTCACAAATCTGGTTTGCTTTGGTTATTTGAAACCCAATTTTTGGGCTTTCAAGTTACATTTGAAATTTGATTTACCTGTAAATCCCATTGAACCAGAAATTATGTTTTAAATTGACTCAACCGCAAGTCAACTGTATCCACAGATTGTGGGTAATAATGAAACATGATTTACCTTGATTGCTACTTTAAATTCTGGCTAATTTTTATGTTCAAATAAAATTACTTTAATAGCCTACAAATGGTCATTTGTGTAATTAATCAATCCATACTGATTTGGTCCACCATTTAATTAAGAAGAAATGTGAAAATTGCTATTTTCATTATCGCGCCATTGGTTAACCATTTCTAATTGGCTAAAAATTGGCTTTCATTTTCCCTCTCGTTTTATTTTAGGTTTTGCTTATTTTTGATCTTCAATTTTTTTACCAGTGACAATAATTAAATTAACCTTGTTTCATTGTTCATAAGTTGACTGATAATTTATCATCATCATTAATATTACAATCATCTTGCCTGATAATTAATAAGTGTTGAACAATTTGCCGTTGAAGAAGCAACATGACAAAATAACTGTAACCAATTTTCCTCCATGTGAGTTAACACATAAGTTATGAAGCCTCTCTCGTCTGGTATTATTAATCTTTACCCTTTTATTGCTTAGTTTAGAGTTGAACGTTGGTTTGGGATATGATTACTCATTGGTATGGTTTAATTGTTAATTATCGCTGCTATTATTAAACTGGAAGTGAAATTAAAGTTACCCTAACAACTGAATTATAAAGTGGTTTATGTAATAATCAACATATTTCTCATCTTCCTGTGATGTGTTTACTCTTCCAATTAATTTGATATGGCTAACAAGGTAAATATTGTATTAATGGTGATAAAAAATGATGAATAAGTTGATGATAAGAATTTATGAGAATCTCGAAAAAAGCCGTTTACATTTTACAGGCAACTTTACCACGAGTAAATCTAAATTTGATTAATTGTTAACAAATAATCAACTAATAACAAATGGATATCATTATGGTAGTGTTTAGTTAACCATGTAAATTGACCTTTGCTTTATTGTTATTTGCTGAAAAGCAATTTTTAGGGCCAAAGCATAATTTTAAATGTTAGTTAATTTGAATCACAATATTTAAACATTCTTTCAAAATCACCACACAATTTAGTGAATTTGGGTTAACCGTAAACATTTAAAAAGGTAGATTACCTTGGTTTCCATTTGGAAACAAATTAACTGTTTAATTTGTGGTCAATTTTTGGCCAATAGTTTTGATTCACATCAATCAATACAGCAAAATGTGAGCAGGTATTTGACCATCTTTTCTGAATAAGCTCTGATTCATTCAAATTTCATGTCAAGCAAGATAAGTCTTTTATTCAGATTTTCTTTTAATTACTTTCCATGATAGGTTACTTTACTCAAGAAACGTAACTTTACCATCAACAAGAATACATGATCCAAATTAAATGGTAACTGTTCCATTACATGAACCATTTAATCAAGATTTCAAGTTATTCTCTATTGATGATTACATTTGAGAGTAACATAATCCAAGTATAATTCATATCATAATGATTTCAAGTTTACTAACCAATTTAAAATTAACGAGATGCTGAATATTACCTCAAGCCAGTATCTCACCCTTTACCTCTTCATATGCAGTCAAGTAAAGGTTAAGTCCATCTGTTGACCAAAAATCATTTGAAATTTATTCAAATTTTAAGGCCTTGATATGATCAGTAACTATAATATTTGATTCTGTTGATCAAATAAATCACATTTAGACATTCCAAGATCCCAATTTGCTTCTTCCGCTTAATTTGCCCATTTCACCTCAATCTTTATGAATAAGATTTTCTGGTTTCGTTTAATGAATTTTATATTTTTTAGTATTTTGATTTGTGTCTTCACACTTTTTTGCTGCTAAGTTGTAAGTTGTTGGACAAGCCTGTCGAAATTGATTATCATTTTTTAATCACCAATCAATTGCGATTTATTTTTCAATCATTTTAACCTTTTTTTCTTCTTTTTTCAGCTGAATCAAGGTAAAAATACGAAATGTACAACTTCAACGCCAGCAAAAATAATCAGGACAAACTGTTAACTTAACGAAAGGTAAAGTTCAATTGATTGAGGTTCACTCGAATATTATAACGATAATTAAATGGCCTCAAGGTTGTCAAAACAAGCTTTGAATGAAAGTTAATTTGCTTTATTAATCGAAACTTTTCCTTTTATATTCTTCTTTTTTTTCTAGCCATTTAAATGATGACCAAATCAACATTCATATTTTTATTGTTTTTCATCAAAATTTACAATTCAAATTGGAAATGAAATCAACTGATAAACCAGAAAGCAAATGAAAATGATACAAGTCGGCGAAGGCGTAATATGGTGGAATCATTCAAAACTAAATTCACTTAATGTGATAATTTATAATCAAACCTCAGCCAAAATCAATGACCCAACAAAGATAACACCAGGAAAACATGATTTTGAACCCAGCCAGGATTTTACATCATACATGTATTAATTGACTTGAAGCTCATTGTTGATATCACCATGTTAACAAATAATTTTTAGGTAACTCTAGTCTTGTTGCCTGGTTTATTAATCTTCCGATTATTCATAAGATTAATAACCTTTTTTAGCAACATTAGGCTATTAAATTTATCAGTCGGCTAAGAACTGGAATTGTCCAATGTCGTTGATAATCAATCTAAACATGAGTCTAAGATTACATGTTTTCACTTTTACCGTTATTGCTATGCTAACTGTAAACTTAATTAACTGAAGTGTTACTCAAACTCATGTTTTCTGGTTTACTTGTTATTGTGCTGTGTTTTTGATCATCCTCAGGCTGAATTATCATCACAATTAAAATAACTTGCTCAATGAAAGTGAAACAAATAACAGAAAGTTGAGTTTGAAAAGAGGTTTACCTCCATTCATCAATTGAAAAATGTTAATAAGCCAACCATGTAACTGGTATAAGTCAAATAGTAGATTAATTACACATCTCAATTGATTTCTGGAGTAACAATACTGTTATTATATTAAGATGAGTCATTAATTTGATTGTGTTAATACAAGAAAAGGAGTTTCACGCATCTTAACTATATCATTGTGTTTGTCACTCAATGAGTAATACACATGTCACATAATATAAGTCATAAACAGGAAAAACGCACTTTTGATTTGTCAAAAGCATTTGATATTGTTTAATCAATCGTTGATACAATTATTATATCAAATGAAATTAAATGTTTACATCTTAACAGTAAAATTGGTCTCATCTCAGTCCTTGGCTCAACCTAACAAAACCTTAGGTTAGGTCAAGGTAAGCTTAATGACCCGTAATAATTTGAAGGAACTGTTTAAACATTCATTCACTTAACAGTTAATTTTTACTTTTACCTTTATTAATTCAAGGTTAGTTTAGGCGATTCAACAATAATTAACTACTAATTAGAGGATAGAGTTAAAAGAAAGGTAATAAATATGTTAAGGCGTAGACACACAACCTTTAAAAGATGACCATTTCAATGAATGTAAACTCAATTAACTTGATATATAATATTTTATAATTGATTTTCTTCTGGATACTTTTATCAATTTTGTATCAAGTTATAGAAATTTGATTCCAATCAAGTTTCCTTTAAAAATGGCAATACAAGTGTGTTTCAATCAACCAATTGTTATTTTCAACATTGATTAGCACTTCACCTTGACTTTATTGATCAAATTGTAAGACTTGAAAAATAGTTGAGAAAAATTAATATTTTTAATCACCAAGAAGCCTACATTATAATGATAAAATTATTCAGACAATTGAAAATAACAATGAAGCACTTAAACAAAAACGTTGCCTTTTATAACTTACCTTTCATATGAATAACTATTCAAGTTGAGGTAACCAAGTCATGTAGTCAATCATTTTACTAAAGTTAAATATTTAACCAGTTAATGATTGACTCAACTAAAATAGCAATCACAATCAATGGTTATATTTAACTGGATAAGCGCATCTCAGGTTAACTGTTATATTGAACTGTATTAAGGCCTGACTTGATCTTTGGGTTGAAACAATTTCGTGTCAGTGAATTAAGATTTGATTTCCAATTGTTGAATTTTAATAACAGCTAGTTAATTAAGCAATGAGGTAAAAAAATTACGTGAAATGTTGGACAATTTTGCATTTGCCAACACAATCAAGCCTAATGATGGTTTCCGAACCGGTGAAACTGTGTAAACCTTTCTGAGATTGCTGCTGTTTTTACTGGTGATTATCGTGATGACAATTGCCAAGGTAATTGGTGAATTGAGTTGAATTGTTTTAAATCATCAATGGGAAGGTAAAAAAAGGGAAAGTTAAATTGTTAATAATGATCAACTTGAACACAGGTTTTGTGTTTGCCGAGTAAATAATCATTTGTGAGCCTTTTTTTCACAACAAATAATGAAAATAACATGAAAGTTATAAATAATGGCAGCTATTATGGGTTAAAATGTACCAATCAAGGTTGACCTTAACCAAGAAATTAACGTTAATTCATAATCTCATTTGATTACACTGACGAGTTGACTTTTACTTTTTTACATTAACTGTGGAAACAATCAGTCAACCTTAATTAATCATCTTTTTAATCACAAATTATTTATTAACATGCAAACTGTTAATTTTTGGTTCAACTCAACATTGGAGTGGCTGAAGATGGTTAACTTAATGTGTATTTAGATGGTTAACATTTCGTGAGCTTAATTTTTGCATAGTTTACGCATTTTAATTTTTTAATTGGTGAGAATCTGAAAACCAAAGTGAATCGACTAATTAACTAGAAAATTGCGTTAATCACAATGACAAGTTAACTTTGCTGTATTATTATAAATTAGATGTTTAATCAAATTTGATGTGCAAGTGTTTTAACCTTTGCTTTGCTTCTGCTATTGACATTAGGATTTCACCTTCACAATTAGGTACAATTTGATTATTTGATGGTCTAACTAAATTTTAAAATTATCAACGAAAACAGTTTTTGATGAAAATGGATTCAAGGTAAAAGTAAAGCGGTTGACGTACAATTTGCATGTTAAATGTACCTTATTTATTCAGCTGCTTTTTGTTTAGCTTGTGAGTGTATTAATAAGGATTAGCTATTGTAGTATTGAGTGATGGCCAATGATTACCCAGATTAATATGCTATCTTATTTTTGATGTAGGTATAAAAGAGTACTGATCTTGGTTAACCTTTTACTTGTAAGCCTTAATGGCTAAATTGATTGGAAGCTCTTGAACTAATACTTTGCTTTTTTGGTTTTTTTCATAGAAATGCTTCAAAATCTTTGGATAAAACGGTAACCCTTCGACCGGTCCAGTCTGTTGCATTGCACCTCCACGAAGAGATGGCACATTTACCCGAATGACAGCGGAAAAGGCCAAATACGCAAGGATCGATTGAACAATGTTTCTCATCTGATTGATCAACACAGTCATACCTTTGATCACACCTAGATTTCCTAGGAATACAACGCAAATTGTCTGCACATTTGAATTCATAGTCGGCGCACATTAGTTGGTCGGTATCTTTATTAACAGTTGAATGGTCGTTACTATTTGGGTGTGTTTCAGCTGCCGGATCGACCAAATGAAGAGGTTCGTGTGTCAATGCAACACCTCTGTCTGACATGAGATTTTGAGGATAATCCAGTTTCTTAGGACTTGCTTTAGGCTCTAAAGATCCATATGGTTCAAAGGAGTTGCTTAAATGTGAGGGTAAAGATGATATTGATGAAGACGATGATACTGCTGATGGTGAAGGTAAATGGTTGACTGGTGAATATCCTCTTGTCTTGGTGTTTTCTGGTTTGAAAAACCAATCTGATTGTCGCTTTGATTCACCAATGGTATTTTCCCGCGGAGTTGCATTTGCCTCTTTGGCTGGATCTCTGATGTGGTCTTGACATCGATTTTCATCATCCCCTCGAGGACAATTGACTTTACCTAAACATAAAAGAAGAGAGATTAAAAAATGATTAATTTGAAAAGGGTGTTATAATAAAAGCAAGTTTAAAATGTGAAGTCCACAATACGTATGTTTTTGTTCATAGGTTTGCTACCAGCCTTGTTAGACTGAAAAGCGTGGTAATTTTGAAATTGTGTTTCATTCACCATCGCCAATCCACTTAACCTTGGTTTGTCAATGAAATCGGATAAAATTCATGCATTAGGTGATATTTCAAGTGTTTTGGAAATCAAATTATTAACAATTTTTGACCATTGGTAGATCTTATTGCCAACTGGAAGAGTGTTTATCAATTGAATGGAAGATTGATTTTGAAAATACGTGCAACTCTGTGAAACCAACCGAAGGACATTCATAACATTTTAAAAATAGATATTTTAGTTCTTTTTTTAACAACAATGGTATGAAAAGATTTGATTGGTATATGCTATTTTTGATAGTCGTGATTATTTATCGACATTTATGGCAATTGTGAGAAAAGCTACCTCAACAATAACATAACAGTATTTAAAGAACACAAGTCGGAACTTTGGAGATTATTGCTGAGATAATGTCTAATGTTAGTATGAGTTAGACTGTTTTCAAGTTAATTTTTGGACCTTTATTGTTATTCCAACACAATCTGACTTGATTTTTGCCTCTAAATCTTTTCCTTTTTATGGTACACATGTATTTAAATCATCATCTACATGACAATGTTACATAAGGCAACCATAATGTTATCAAATCAACATTTGTTGGACTATCATCATGGTTTATCTGACCTTGTTCATGTTAATTACTTAAGTACCTCACTTCCTGTTCACTTGGAGGAAACATTTTTAATAAGTAGCACCAAAACAACACATAAAGTTTTCCGGTGAGAGTGAAACAAAGAAAACGCATATCAATATTGATATCAAGTAATAAAGCTTCAATATTGGTTTACCGGTTTTACTTTTATAACGGTTACCACTGTCGAGCAATAAATCTGTAAACACTTCTCGTAATATTAAGTTTCAACTGTAATTTAAAGTTTTGAAAAATGAGAAAAATTCTTAATCACAGGCTTAAAATATTATTAGATTAAACAAATTGTCATAAGTAATAAGATTGATTATTATGAAAATAAAGGTTTATCAACATATGGTACCGCCATCTCTTGGAGTTTATAGAAAGTAAAAGTAGTTGCGAATGGACGTCTAATTGTTTTGTTTGTTTTTATGAATTATTTGTTAGTTAAAAATAATGATTAAATGATTCTAGTCAATCTTTTCCATTAAATTGTGTAATGTTTCCTTACCATCACATACTTGGCCCAATGAAATGCAAGGTCCTTCCTCACAACGATACGCATCCTGAGAACATGGAAGTCTCTCTATTCCCAAACAATGATAAATCTCATCAGATGAATCTCCACAATCATCAAAGGAATCACAGATCCATTTACGAGGAATACATTTGCCGTTGTTGCACCGAAAAGCGTCACCTCGACAAGAATTTTCACATTCCATTTCGTCCGAATTGTCAATACAATCTTGTTGATTATCACAGACTCTAGCTTTGGGTATACAACGGCGTTGATCGAGGCAAGCCACTTCATCTTTATCACATCTTGTGGTATCCCGAGCTGATGCCAGTCCTAAAATTGGTGGAAAAAATGGTTGATATTATGGATTAAACTAAAATGTCCAAATACACAAATACGTTACTCGGGGTTTAATTTGGATAGAGTGGTGATTTCATAAAATAGCTGACTCTTTGGATCATCAAATGACCAGAATAGGATTACCATATCACTTTGTAATCCTGGCTCAGATCTCAAGTTAGTATTTATTTTCGTATAAATATTGACTTCTGACTTTCTATAAATTGTTGACCTTATCAGTGGTTAATCCAAACCCGAATGCACAGAGTTTTACACTTTTACTCACTTTTATCCAATAGGGAAGATTCAGTCCAGACAGGTAAGAAAACCAAAATGAAAAGACCACAATAGAGCAACATTATGGGCAAATGTGGATATGGAAACACAAATAGTTATGTTGAGATACTAACTTTCTGGTTACATTGATCATTTGTTCATTCCAGTCTAAAATCAAAAGTCTTGAGTTATCTTTTATTGAAATATAATTCATTGATTGAAGAGGTCTAGCGATGACAGGATAAGGTCATATTGATAACACTTTTAATCATTTATTTCCCTTTCTTCAATCGACATCCATCCCTCTTCTCATTTTTTAAACTGAACAATATTACAATCCTTTTAGATTCAGTATTCATCTCCTAATAAGATGAACAGTCTCAATCATTTGACTCTCTTTTATTATATTTATGGATCAACAAAAGACGATACTGAGCTATCAGTTTAACTGTTCATTTATCAATCATTCTCTGTTTACCATAATTAAATCAGTAACAAGTAAACATGATATTGTATCAGTATTTGACAATAATTTAAAGATCAATTCAAGAGCTGAATAACCCTGAACTTTACAAACCTTGACTTCTTCAGTTGATAAAATAATCCAAGGTAAAATAAACTCTCGAGTGAAATCGAGTCTTTTCGTAATTGTATGAAACTGTATTAAGATTAACATTCAACTGTCAAATTGTTGATTAGTATCAACTCTTTTTGCTCAATTGGTTCGGATTGTGTTAGCTATCTTTTGATGCAATCTTTTTGTGTTCGTTATTTACTCTACTTGCTGTTAATAAACAGATTGTTTCAGAGTTTTATTGTCAGTCAAGAATTAAGAAACTAACTTGAAAATTTTTAATCTACAAAAACAGTCGATTCCTTATTTAAATCTCTCATTTTTCACCTTTAATTTCCAATGTTGACATGTGAATTAGTGGTTATTAGTGAATTGGTTTCTCTACAGAGAAGTAAAGCTTAACTGTTCAACATTAAATTTCTGTTTCAACCAGTGCTGAGTTTAACCAAAAATGATACTGATGAAATTCAATCTAATTGTTGATTTGCTTTTTCATATCGTCTTCTGTCTTATAGTGTACAGTCCACCTTCATTCACCACCTCAAGTGCTCAACCATTGTTAGCTACTGATTCATTCCTGGATGATTACATAGACTCGGAAGATGTGTCTCGTTCCAGTGGAGCTCGTGATGCTTATGGTAATCAATTATCGCAAGGATATGCTGGTTCAGGTTATAAAGCTGCTGATTCTTCATCTGGACGTCTTTCGTCCGGCTCTAAAGGACATCAATCTCACATAGCGTCTTCAAAAAACAAAGAATCGGATGGATCTGTTAAACATAGTGAAGGATCTATTGAGGCAGAGAAAGATAAGGTTGTTAAACACCAATGGGATCGAGGAAGTGGTTATGTGAAAGAGTGGAATTGGGATAAAGGTGTTCACTACGAGAAGGAATCAGGGTCTTTATCAGCCTCAGATTTGAAACATAAAGAGTCGGAGCGAATGAAAGAAGCTGCAGAGAAAGAAAAAGGTTCAGCTGGATGGCAACAACATAAAAATAGTGACCATGAAAAGTGGAGAGCAGCCAATGGATATGATAAAAAAGGTTATCGGAATGAAGATTCCAAGGGTTATTCAGACAAACAAGGATCAACGGGTTACAAGAAATATGGGTCTTCCGATGATCCATGGAATGGAGGTTACATCCCACTGAAAGCAGCTGCATCTGCTGTTAACCAACCCACCAGTTACAATCATCCACCTCACTTACCTTATAATGATAGACGATATGGATATAGTGAACGACCAGGAAAAGTAAATCATCGAGACAGAACTGAGTATAATAATAGTTTAAGAGAGTTAATTGAAAAGAAATATATGCCCATTTATCGAAGGTACAGTTTAGCTGCTAAACGTGAAGATAGAAAACCAAATGCCTATTCAAAGAAAAATCAAGAACCTAATCGTCGTTATCCCGATTTGAGGCTAGCTTTATCTAAAGAATTTCTTGGACCGCAGGGTCGTTGGAAACTAGGACATCTTTTTGGTAATGGTTTAGATGCATTTTCACCTTCAAGTCGTTTCATTTGGCAGTGATTCAAGATCCATATTTATTAATGTAATGGGTCTCGATCTCTAAGAAATTACTACTTATTTGAATATCAATTGCTGAAGTGAATCGAGCTAATAATTTATTTTTTAAACAATTTGATACTATCCAGATGAAACATTCAAATAAGATTGTGAAACTTTCTGGTCGTTTCTTACTGTTTTATGTTCGGAAATTAAAAAAAGAGTTTAACTAAAAATGATCACTAGATCAGGTGATAATTTCAAATTATTTTTAATCATTATCGATTTAAATTGATTCAATGTTTCGCATTGATTTGACCGATGAACTTAAAAGCGCAAATGTAGTTGAAGTTAATAAAAATTAAACAATTATTTTCATTATTTAAAACTTTGTCTTAAACCTAATATTTCAATAAAATAGTTAATTATTCACAATTAAGCTAAGTTCATCAATTATTTATGCTTCCTTACGCGAAATATTTTTATTTTAAAATAATTATTGACAAGAAAAATGAAGCTTGAATTGTAAAGTTATTAATGAGTGTATTAAAATAGATTGAGATTAAAGATTCGGATTAAATCAGAGAACTAATTAAAAGATTAAGCTGATTAAAGTTACAGTCCTAGAGTTGTAAGAGTAAAAATATTCAGCTCCTAATGTTTGGTCGCAGCCAAGAGTAAAGGAAGATCAAATTTAAAGATTTAAAAACTGCGCCTTCTTTTGGATGGAGCTTGAGTGTCTCCTTGGCTACCTTTAGGAAACGGAAGATACAAAAACTGAGATCTGAGTTTTGTATTGGAAACTGTGTCTAGAGAAAATCTTCTCGTGTTTATTCATTTTCTTGTTTTTTAATTGGCAATTAGTTAATTAATCAATTAAATAATCAACCATGGGTCGTATGCACGCACCAGGGTAAGTTTGTGTTTTAATCTAATTTAAATATCCAATTCTTAGTTGTAAAATTGAAATTCAGAATTGAAGCTTTTTGATTCAGCATGACTATCCTTTTTGCCTCTTTGACCGGTCCTTATTTTTGATTAACTAAGATGTTGTTCTAGTATCAAACTCTTCTAATATGTTTCATTTCTTTCTATTTGCAGAAAGGGTATCTCCCAATCAGCTTTACCTTACCGGCGAAGTGTTCCTTCGGTATGTATTTCATCTATACTGTTTTTATTCAATTTCATTCAATTCGTGATTCTCATCATTTTTTGTTTCTTCATTCCAGTGGTTTAAATTGACTCCAGAGAAGGTCATTGATTCCATCTGTAAACTCGCAAAGAAAGGTTGTTTACCATCACAAATCGGTGTTATGCTCAGAGATTGGGACGGTGTTGCTCAAGTCAAATGGGTTACTGGTAATAAGATTTTGAGAATCTTGAAAGCCAAAGGATTGGCACCTCAATTGCCTGAAGATTTATACCATTTGATTAAGAAAGCCGTTGCTATCAGAAAACATTTAGAACGAAACCGAAAGGATAAGGATGGTAAATTCCGACTCATTTTGGTTGAAAGTAGAATTCACAGATTAGCTCGTTATTACAAGACTAAGAGAGTATTGCCACCAACCTGGCGATACGAATCATCTACAGCATCTGCATTGGTCGCTTAAATTAAATGTTACTTCAAGGAAATGAATAAATTATGATTTCCGTTTATAAATCTTATTTGGTCTGTGTTCAATTGAATTCGCGTTTTCATCACAAGTATTTTTTTCAGGATCAGTATTTTTATTTTCAATATCTCTTTTAGTATTTACCTACTTGCTAACGATTACTTGAGTAAAATTCAATAGAAAATTCGGCATAAAAATAAATTATTTATCAATAGTAATTTCGTTGGAGTACATTTTGGTTTACAATTCAACAGTTTAAAATTCAACAATTTTTATATTAAGATTTGTTAAGTATAACAGAAAGACCAGAAAATTGGCAGATTATGCGTTTTGAAAAACAATGTCATGAATCTTATTCATAAGGAAGGTTTCTGCACAATAATTTATAACATAAATAAAAGTCTCTGAAGAATATTGGTAAATCACTTTAAATACTAGGTTTTCCATATAAATCTTTTGCTCTTTTAAGGAAACAATTAACAGTCTGATGAACTAATTGATCGAATATTGAATGAGCAACTCGAGAGTAGAAATGATTCCTAAATTCAAAGTCGATGAAAAAGTCAAGAGTACATGATCGTGGGTTACCAGGTTTGCCATCGCTAAATTTCCATTCCGTAATCAAATGTTTAAACAAGCGTCCATCAAAACATCGCGCTCTAACCAGATTTGGACGGTCCAGATCAACATGAGAAGTATATTTTTCAACGATCATGGGTGGAAATCCGATGACTAGATCAGCTTTGATTAGATTGGGTTCACGATGAGTGACCACTGATTTAGTACATGCTGGTAAAAATAAATGATAATCGTCCACACGAGAGACTATATTATAAAGTTGTTCTTTGGAGTAACCTAATAACCGTTTTTCCCGATACGTTTTCCTGGCTGAACTGCAGTACCGTTGGCAATGTGTAAAAGCAGAACCAATTTTTATTCCATATCTGTTGATAAGTATCATTGATGGACTGATTTAATAACATAAACTATTAAAATAACTCTACACAAGTTAACATGACCAAATAACAGCAGATTAACAGGCAAGTGTCACCTCAAAAACATTTGCTTCCAGGGAATGTATTCTAATCTAAAGAGATAAAATTTTGATAAAATTTAATTTTATAGCTTTGGTTATTTTATTTTGCCATTGACCTAAATGGCCTGAAGCTGGACCTTTGAAGCTTATAGAAATTTATTTACACAAGAAAGGGCAGTCTAGCAAGTATCCTTTGGAGTAATCAAGTTAGTAGTTGAACTTGAAGAAAAGTAAGTTGTTTACTCTAACATAATTATTTATTTTATTGAATCGTTGAATATTACCTCATTGAAATAATTTTTCTACAAGTGTGTTTAGATTACGCTTTTAAATCGTAATAGTTGGTTCAGACAACATTTATTAATTCATTAATGACTGGCTCTGTAACAATTAGAAGAAAGGTTCATAGATAAATGAATCTCTTTCAGGTCGACGTCCAAAATAATCTTTGTAACTTCGCTCGCCATCAAGCACTTGACGAATCCTTTCGGCTTTAATTCTCTTATCTCTCAAAGATGCTTTTGTACCATTCTTGCATTCAAGAAAATCCATTCGAAAAGGTTCGCAAGGAACAAAACCACGAGTACGACCATATGCTTCTATACATTCATTGTAATTCAAGTAGAACTCATTGCAGGTCTCAGCTCGTCCATACCTGGAACCAACATTACGGTATTGTACAGTTTCAGGCTTTCCAATCCAATCGACAAGTATAGGAGATGTAATATTATAACGCATTATGAGATGGAATTAAAGATTTGATTTCCTTAAAATTGGAACCAAATGCAAGACTAAGGACAAATAGAAAACGTTCCAGAGTCAGATTCAACTGAATAACATTTCTAATAGAAATAGAGGCTGAACAAAGATTGTCACTTACTTTGAATGAAGTTTAAGATGATAAAATCACTTGATATTTGAATAAAATAATCAAAACATTTAACAAAACAATAAACCAATAATTTGAGTGATTAAGAAGCTTGGATTTAACCAGGACTTGTTTTGAAATTTGAATATCGATATCCTAACTTAAATCTATTATCGATATCACTGATATGACAGAATCTAGCGTTAAACTTTACTTCAAACTTGACATTTAATTTCTATTATGATTCCCCATTATGAATCATCGTTACCGGTCAAATTTAATTGAAAAAAATGTAAAATATATGAACAATATATTGAATCTTTAGTCGATACTTTACAAGATACTGTTCACATTTACCGGATTAAACTGTTTCCATAGCGATAACTGATAATACATCAAAACAAACATTGAGTTCCAAGGTAAGATATTTAATTTTCTTTACTTTACTGTCTTATTAATCTGACAATCATTATACTCCTTTTGATTCATAGATAATCAACTTTCATCATAACTCATTTCAACATTGCTTCAAATAATGTTTAAAAATACGTTTCAAAGTGGCTTTCTCTCAATTTTATATTCCATTGGATCTAATCCTCTTCAAATTTGGGACAAAAAAGTAAAAAATGGAACCATCAAGCGTATTATGGACAATGATATCCAATCGAGTGTCATTGAAGTTACTGGAAGCAACATATCAACCGCATTCATCACCTGTCCAAATATTCCTAGACAGTCGCTTGGTATCAAGCTTCCTTACCTTGTTATAATTGTGAAAAATATGAAGAAGTTTTTCTCATTTGAAGTGGAAATTATGGATGACAAACAAGTTAAACGTCGATTTCGTGCATCCAACTTTCAAACCGTAACCCGAGTTCGTGACTTTATATGTACAATGCCGTTGCGTTTAGATGAGGGTTGGAATCAAATAGGCTTTAACCTGACTGATTTTACTAAAAGAGCCTATGGAACAAACTATGTTGAAACCGTTCGAGTTACAATTAATGCTAATTGTAGACTCAGAAGGATTTATTTCTCTGACAGACTGTATTCGGAAGATGAACTTCCCCCCGAGTTTAAGCTCTACCTTCCGATATCAGCTAAAAATTGAGAAAGGGCATATTTACATGAAGAAATCATTTTAATGTTTCATGTATACAAAGTTGATGAATGAAATTAACATTTGCCACCACCTGAATCCTCATCATTGGCTCTCGCTGCCTGTTACCGGTTTGTTTAAATTCCACTCTTTGATTTATTCTATGTATTGTATTCATTTTGTATATTTTCTGTTCACATTGATTTCTTTGTAACCATTTCATTATTAGAGTTTTCATTTTTCCTTTTCTCCTGTTAGAAATTGAAAAAACAAATAGAAAATAAAATCTCAATATTAATCTAATCTATTTACTACGCCTTAACTAAATCAAATCAATAACTTACCATGAATTTATCAAAAGTAATTGTATAAGCGACCATTTGGTTGAATGTCTCCACAGTCATATTCCTGTTGCAGTTTGAAAAAGATTTAGAAATGGTTTTCAAACGAATTGAGAGTTACTTACAATTTAGTGATGAATTGATTGACGCGTTTAGTTTTCATCTCTCGCAATTGACCAACTTTAGGAGAAATCTCTTCATCATATTTCTTGACCACCTGAACAATATTTTGATGGACCAAATCGGCTGGATTTTTCTTGATCTCACCCATACTGGATACATTTCCAGTGATAGAGCGTATATTTTTCCGAACCTCTATAATTTGCTTTCGTAGTCCTTCATTGTACTGATTTTTCAGTTGCAAATTTTTTCTCAGATTTTCAACTTCACTTTTAAAAGCAGCAATTGCTTCTTCACAATTCATTATAAACTTTGTTTGTTTCACCGAATCAAAGAAAAGAAAGAAAAGATATTAAAAAACTAATGAGTCAATTAGATTGTTGAATTGATTAATCAAATGAAAAAGCTAACAAAGATAAAAGCTATTTACTTTTTGGTTTGGAAACTAATTCTAAATCGAATTTTTCGACACAATTTAATTGCATAAAAGCGACATCTGGTGATAGGTTTTTGCTAATAGAAATTGTTCATCTCCTAACTAGAAACTTATCTGTTTATTGAATATGTATTGTGTGTTGGTTTTTATAATAATTTTCATTTAGGTACATATTTGATCCAATAATAAACTCAACATTTATTGGATTATCTTTAGACGCATGGATTTGTTTAAAACGATGGCTTGGTTTCAAAAGTTATTTAGATAAAATTTATTTGCAATAAATAAGATGATTGACTGAAAACAGTGATTACATAAAATTATGTGCTTGTGTTAAATAATGGGAAATGGATGCAAAAAATGGATTACATTCACCAAGGATTTACAACATGAACCAAGGTAAGAGATTATTTTACGATGGACAATGGTTATAGTGTGTAACACACTACATTTAATGATATAACCATTTAGTTTTCTCACCCTCAGTTTAGATCTATTTTTGCACAAAGATGAAATCAAATATCCGTCGTGTTAAAATGAAATAGTCCAGCTATGGTACACAGTTGGTGTAAATAATATGTTTATGAGTGGCGATTAATAGCATACATTTTATCGACCAAAACCTCCAAGGCCTCCAAGACCACCAAGACCACCTCCATATCCGACTCCAGCCCCAGCAAATTTACCAAATCCACCATAACCACCCCTGAAATGTACGAAAATAATTGATTAAATGATTGATCGGAGCTCTGAAATAGATTAATGTTTAACTTACCAGAATGGGATACATGGATGAAGAATAACAATTTTCTCCTTGATTTTAGAGCCTTCCAGGAATTCATGGATCACCAATGTGATCAACAAGGTGACAATTGAATTGATGAGCATATCTAACTTCATATTTCAAACGATAATAAATAACTTGATTATCTCATTTGGTGGTGAAATTACTTTAACTGAACACACTTTACAATGCGTTGAAGATCACAAAATGTTCACATAAAATAATTTGTTCAACAATTTATACTCCGATGAAAATCAGTTGGTTTGTGCTCTAAGTGAGTAAGAAGGAAACAAATTAACATGAAGTTAATTAGATTATGAACATTATTGAACCATAGATAAGCATTGATTCTTATTAATTGTGATCAATTGTTATCCGATCAATGTTTATTTCATCCTTACCGGTTCGTTGGTCAACCCTTGAGATGGACTAAATTTTGTACGGCATAATGTTTTAAATTTACTTTTACATTCACTATAAGCTGAGTTTTATCTGAACAATATAATGAATTGAAATAACTTGAATGTAGTTAATGACCATAAAATCTGTCTAGCACCCTTTCAGTTAAAACATATAATAGTTTAATTGAATCAAAGCTTAACCCGGAATTGATTTGATATGCTAATCAAGATATTAATAATCTTTCCTTTTCCTATTTAGGCCCAATTAATTGCCATTAATGATCAACTCAAACTTAATAATCATTGAAATACGTCCATAAGAGCAAATTGAAATAATTATTGTCAACAATTGTAATTCAATAACATACCATTCATCAAGGGTCAGGTCAATAGCAAAAGAGTTACTTTTGTTCGTTAACCTCTAATACATGGAAGAAATTTAAGTTTAAAGATTATCGATCAGATATCAATTGCTAATTAATCAAGAAAAAATTGGAAGAAGTTACAGTCAATTATTAATGAATTAAATAAGTTCCAATTGTTTCATCATTAAATTCATATTCACTGTGTTTGTAACGAGTCAACGGTCCCTTATTTTAGTGGAGGGAAAATTTGACTTTGTGAACAGAAATGGCTCCAGATGATTTACTGTAGTTTACTTTTCTCTGTTTACATTTTTGTTTCTCTAAAATTAAATTGTAAATTAATTTTCTTTTTTTATTAATTTGTGTGGTAAACAACTCATAACTCTAACTTTCATCTTTATTTCAGTGCATCATGGCTGAATACAATATTCATCATCATGTCTGGAAATTAATGCAGCTTCTTGATGTACGTACCGATCGAGGAGACATGGAGACAGCTATTGCTGAAAGATTACTTGAAAGTAAAACGTTACAAGGTAATCGTAAATCATCTGCGTCAACTAAATTTGTCAAAAAATTGAACAATCTCAGTAAGGGTGAATTTAAAGAGAAATATGAAGAGCTCAAAGCAGCCAATATTATGGAAGTTGATCCATTGGTACAGCTGTTGGCACGAATATCCGAGTCTGAAGATGTGAGGAATTTTATCAAATTACAAAAAATTTTTAAAGAAAAGACAAGATCAGCTTCTGTTGGACAGAAAAGTGAGACGCCCAATGAAAAAAGAGCTACATCGTCCTCAGTTGAATCTGTCAATCGTCCATCCAAAAGGGATGCTAGTTCCACTAAATCAGATCGAAAGGTAGATTTTTCATGTCTCACATATGACTTTTCTCCTTTTGATTGGCCTTCCGATGCAATTGTTCCTCCATTATCAAGTATGTCTATTACTGATCAAGAAAGTGCCCTTATTGATGATCTCCTCTATGTTCTTGTTGTAAGTTTCGATATATTTTTTATTGAATTCAATACTGACAGCTGACTTATTCTCATATTTTTGTTTTTCTGTTTAAATTTAATGCAGGGTATTGAAGGAAGATATATTCGTCGAACTGTTATTTCAGAAAAGAAGTTCCGCCTGGTAGTTGATGATGGCACCGATAAATTACTGAAGACGCTGGTTGAAAGAATCATCATTATATGCCCTTTATACTCTGGTGTCATATTTTTTATCGAGCATCATGACTTTGGTCTCGTTAACCAAGCTCTCATTGCATTTATGAGAGGAATAATTCACGACTATTTCCTTCTCATCACTCAATTGGAACATCAACACCGACAAGGAGATATGACTCTTCAAAAAATGTGGTTTTTCCTACGAGATGTCCACTCTGATCTTGAAATTCTCAAGCAAGTTAGCTACAAAATTAGACAGGTAATGAATATATTTAAAGCTAAAAAAATTCAATTATATTAATTGTCTTTTTTACTCAACGTAGGGTAAATGTATTGGTGGAGCTGTTTTAAGCATATTACATGAAAAAACTGTGAGCCATACTGGAAATATTCGTGCTTCTCAATTCTGTATGAAAATGACATCGACTGCTTGCGAACCCTATTTTAATATACTTGAAAGATGGATCTCAGAAGGTGTCATCTGTGATGAATATAAAGAATTTTTCATTGAAGATACAGAAACAGAATTAGGAGAAGATCTTTGTTCAGAATCTAATGATGACTCCTATTGGGAAAGTAGATACGAAGTGGTATCCAATCGCATGCCTATATTTTTATCTCGTTTTGCTGATAAAATAATGAAAACAGGAAAATATTTAACCGTTATCAGAGAATGTGGCAAAGTAATTGGAGAATCTCCCGAATGTGAACCTCTTCAATATACTATTGAGGATAGAGTTTATGCTGAACGTATTGATACTGCTTATAATTATGCTAGTAAAAAGTTGCTTCATATGCTAATAAATGAATCAAACTTAATTGCTCATCTCAACTCGGTTAAGCACTATTTCTTCATGGATAAGGGTGACTTTTTGGTTCTTTTCATGGACATGGCTGCTGATGAACTCAAAAAAGATATCGACGATATTGTACCCACAAGACTTGAATCTCTACTTGAATTGGCAGTTCGAACCAGTGTTATGAGCACAGATCCTCATGCAGATTTTCTCGGAATCGAGCTTCTCAATGATTCAGTGTTGTTCCAACTCTCTCAAATTTTAAGCCACGGATCAGCCTCTTTCCTCGATAACAGTGACAAACAAATGGAGTACCCTGAAAGTTTAAAAGGTTATGAAGCATTAGCTTTCAAATACAAAGTAGAATGGCCATTATCTTTAATTTTAAACCAGCGTAATATTGCTTGCTATCAAATGCTGTTTAGACATTTATTTTACTGTAAATGGGTTGAAAGACAACTTGGTATAACCTGGAAAGAAAATAAGATCTCGAAAAGATTCGCTCTTAAAACGATGAAATCCTATGCTGAAGCATTTGGTTTACGCCAAAAGATGTTAAATTATGTTCAAAATTTAGAATATTATATGATGGTTGAAGTAATCGAACCAAACTTCCATACATTTTTGCAAAAAGTCAACTCTAAAGTAACCAGTGTAGACGATATGATTAATGAACACACAATTTTCATGGAAGGATGTCTTCAAGATTGTATGTTAACACAAAAAGTTGCCCTTCAATTAATGGTTAAATTACTTAACCTTTGTATGGATTTTGCTTCTTTTATGCATGTAAGTACTAATGAGAATCAGCAGATTATTAATTAAATATTATCACTAATATAATTATTATTAACAAATTCAATGTATTTCTTTTTCAGACAAATCATCAGCTTTCAGCTCAATTTGAGCTTCAAGGTGCAAGTGAGCAAATCAGAAAAGCTTATGAATTCAAGCCTATTAAAGAAGATGAACAAAGTGAAGTCTTACCAAGTTTCGAGCAAAGGATAAATCAACTGCACACAGAATTTAATGACAATCTACAACAGCTTTTAAATGAAATAATTAGTCAACAAAATGATCATTACACCGGAAAAATGCTTCATATTCTTTCAAGGCAAGTAATCGTCAAAAATACGTGTTTTATGCTCTATCTGTTCACTAATTTCAATTTTGAATTCTTTGTTTTCAGGCTTGACTTCAATGAATACTACGGAAAGATGAATAATGGATATTCTTGTCCAGATCAGTGAAAAAATTTTGTAGTTAACTTAATTGTAAACTACAGTTCTACTTACTGTAATATATTTAAGTTTCTTCTATTGATAATTTTCGTCACTTATTATTGACAAAATGTCGCGAGGTTGCTCATTTTACTTATTCAATCAAACGTGATCCTTTTATTGAAAGAACCATCAAATATATTTTGGCATATATAATCCATTAGAGTTTATCCCTTCTGTTTGAAAATATTACAGACCAGATAATTGAATTATTGAAGATATGAAACTGAGATGATGCACTGACATGATAGAAAATCTCCATTAATCAATTCGCTATACTTAAGGCTTATAACACCTTGTCTTTGATAAACATTGTATTTGCACGAAATGCTAAAATTATTTAGTAACCCGAAGTCGTGAATCGCCATTCGTTTAAATCAACAATATCAGCTATCTGATACTAGATATTTTCAAAGAACTTCAAAATTGAACATGAAAATCTCCAAAATTTCATTGAAATCAGAATTGAACGGTAATCAGAAAAAAGATCAACAACCTTAATACATATGCTGAAGGAGAGTAGCTTTGGAAAGAAAGAAGGAGAAGAAAAATGATCAAGATTTGCCCGTTTTGCTGTTAAAAATGACGAAAGAAAAAGAAAGATGCTAAAGAAGAAGATGATGTTGGCCCTGATTATCCAGGATAAGAAGAAAAATAAAGATAAAGACGGCGATGATGGTGATGGTTATGTTGATGAAGAAGATGAAGATGAAGATGATTTAGATGATGAAGATGATGAAGACTAAATGAAAAGCAACCTCTTTGCTCCCCTAAAGCCTACACAAAAAAATCTGAGAAATTAAATGAGGAAAAGAGGATGATGAAGTTGAATTAAGTCTTGACCAAAAGCAAATGTCGGGTGGAGGCTGACGGGATCTGAATATGATAATATTATCAGCATTTCTCTTCTTTTATAAAGCAAATCTAGCTCAGCCCAAGGTCTGGTTTTGTGGTTTCTTGTTGCCTGCCCTCAGTTGACCCTCAGCTCAATAACATCACCATAACCATTCACATCATCTTCTTTTTCTCTTTATTATTCTTCTTTCTTTTCTTTCTTCTCTTTTTCCCCAATTTTCTGTCAGTCGATTCCTGTTTAGTTAATACCGTTGATTTTAAGGATGATCAAGATTGTGCAAGTGCTAAGTTGAATAACAACAATACTTAAATTTAGTGCATATCAAACAAGAACTAAAACGATGTTACTGTTTCCTTGATTGTCAATCCATCACACCAATGGTTGTTGCTACAGATTAATTGGCTAGCTTGTGGACAGCAATTATTTTTTCTACTTCAAACATTATCGGCATTCAATGTCCTCAATTCATTGAACTTCTGCAATTAAATACTTACATATGTACATTCAATAAAATTTTAACTTTTACGCCTTATGTCTTCATGTCTAACGGAATCGATATGTTGATTACCCATTCATTAAAGGTATCAATTGAGTCTAGTCCATAGCACAATGAATGGTTTAATTAAATGGTTAATTTAAGCAAGCTTTATTAGATCTTTATTATCCTGTTCATTGTTTATTAATACATACTGAATTCAATTGTTTCAAAAGCCACCGTTTGGATCCACCCTTGAGCCATTGTTAAAGCACTCTAGTTTGATATAATTAAAAAGGTTTTCCTGTCAATGTGATTATATACGGATGATGAAACTCAAAGTCAGATGAATCAGATGATAATGGTGAAAAGAATCTAAAGATAAGCCGTAGACAGGTAAACAATTAGGTAGGGTCAAGTTAAAAGCACCAAAATGAAAGGTCACGTAACTAAAGTAAAGCTGCAACCTCTTTGCCTTACTGAAAACCTCATTCTATCCATTTTAACCCGAATCTAACCATTCTTCGCATTGTTTTACCAAGGAAAATTAGATAAAAGATGTAAGTTATTAAAAAATTATCAGAATGCAGTCAAAGAGGTTCCAGCTTGGTCAAACTTCCAGGAACTATTATCTACCTTGAAAACTATCTCGTTAATAAATTTCATGAGTTTATGTCATTCGGATTCTATGCAAATTGAAAACTGTTTTTCCAGAAGAAAAACATTGTTAAAATACAAATTAATAAATTGAGTTCTGATTATTGTTTTTTGATAGACTTTTAGCAAGCACTTTGATATCACAATTTTATATTGCAAATTTCATGGAGAAGTTCAATCTTCAAAAATTATGAGTTAAATCAGTGATTCCAGTAGTCTGGTTGTTCGAACTTGGAGCTAAAATTACAGATAACCTGAAAACAAATCAGGTTCAAGATTTTTTCATACAACAAATGATCTTACGAGAGAATCGCACAAATTGATGAATCGATATTTCATTGGTACCTTTCGGTACATTAGGCCCTGTTGAAGACCAACATAACAGGATTAGCTGCCAATTTTTCGGTTTCGGCCTTTTATCGCCTTTTTTCTGAAATTTGTATACTTTTCTATGAGAATTTGTATTTGATTTATTAGATGATTTAATGAATACTATTGTTGTCCAATAAAAGTACATTTTTTGTTTCAGCAATTTACAAACGAAAAATAAGCTACTCGATGTCGATCATCAAATCGTGCGGTGGTCTCGTTACATCCAAAAAATTGAGCCAATTTACTCAACAGTTTCGTCTCTACATCGAAAAGTATAGCGACTCCAAACTTTCAAGCTTCAATGTACAATTCAAATTTACCCAAATGCGAACCAATTGATGCTCTTTGTAGTCATTAAAGCCTAACACTGGACTTTATTAACCAAGTTTATCTTTAATTTTAATCACTAACAAGATGATAATTGAGCAATTTACATAATTAAACCTTTCAGGTGGTTGTAATAATTGAGATTATTAAATATAAAACAATAAAGGAATCACTTTTTTCAAATCAAAGTATAATGTTGATACAATTAATTGCCTAAAGGTAACAATTTTCTAGCCTTGTTCAACTGATTGCTTTTTCAAGTTGAATATTATGAAAAGCATTGATTACCATTTTCATCATCATCAACTTAATCATCTTTTTTGAAACTCTCATAATTATCAAATCTTGTAAAATCATGAAGTACCATTAACTAGCTTCATGTGTTTTAAATATAAAGCTGTTTTACTGACACAACAATTAGCGAACCTATTTAATAGATGATTGCTAATATAATGTTAAATAATTTATAGTTACTTTTATGTATCAAAGTGTTTTACAGTTAATTAATTAAAGGCGAGAAGCCTGTAAACAAATCAATACTTGCCCTAGCTCTGAATACTAGCGTTTACAATCAGATATCAAGGTCCACTGTTCATAACTAATGCGATTGTTCATCAGTTTCAATTATTTCATTATGTTTAAGATATCATTTATAACAATTATGGATGAATAATTTGATTATAGCCCTTTTCGCTAATCATTTAATCGTTTTACAACTTAAAATACAAAACTAAACTTGCAGTTCAAAGATACATTGAACCAACAAAATTTTCAATAACTTATCTTTTTCATCTTAAATTAGCATTTGGCAAATTAAGATCAATCTCCTAGTAAATGTGACAATTTGAAGATTTTGTTTCTTCATAATTAATGGGAAAATCAGGATTAACCAAATGTTGACACTGAATATAAGGAAACTTCATTGGAAAACAAAAAAGACAATTTTGCCTGTAAATTGCAGTGAAAATCAATCTATTCAAAAGTGTATTGAAATCGAGACATCTTGTGTTTGTTTTGACTGATGGTTAGCTGAAATTTGTTACTTTACAAATTGTCTTTGCACAGTTGAATGCTTCAGATCCTAATTATAATCATCACAGTAGACTTAAATCTATTAAATCTTGATTTAATGGTCATTCCATGATTACTTCAATAGTTTTGAGAAATAAACCGGTTCATTGTGAATTTTATGGATCCTTTTTTGTTACCTAAAGTAGCGTTCAATTTGCCAATTGTGAGGCTCAACCTTGTAACTGGGTCAAAAGTTTGATCCTTATTTTTAACCTCATTTCAAACTTCATTTTCTAGGAGATTGATTAGTTTTACCTTGTTAATTTGTTGTTTATTAAAAATAAATCAAATTTGGCCACTTCCTTAATATTGTTGTTCAACTATTGACTGAAGGTGACGGAGTAAGCAACCCGATTAGATTACATTTGTTTTCATTGTTACAACACCTGATCGTGTACCTTGCTCAACCCAGATTGAAAGCCGATCGAGAAAAGCTCATCGAGCTCATTGCTGTATTATAATTGAATTGGCGATTTTTTAAGCTAGAACAAATTATCAGTAAAATGCTTTAATATGTTAAATGCTCGGGAAGGATCAACAGGTAAGTAATAAAGGAACTGTGTAATCATTCAAATTACAATGGATGGCATCACATGGATATTTGATTTACATTTACATCATCTTTACCTTAACTTTTAAAAATAATCAAAATGAATCAGATATGATATTTTAAGTCCTCACAGTACCAAAGATGGGTTAAGAACGTTCTGTATGAATGTGCATTTGTATTCAACCAACTTTAGAAGATTCAAATTTTCAATTTCAATGATGATACTGAGCAATTTTTCATCATTGCAAACCATCAAAATTGACCTTAAACATTTTTAGAGGTCAATTGTTGTCAATATTGATCTTGAACTTGACAGGAGACAATTTAATGTGAACGAATAAGGACAAATAAGATTAGGTCAACTTATTATCAATATTGACTGAAGCTTATTTTAAAAGATGCAATGAGAAAGGTAACACGCAATGCTACCGATTATGAGTATTTTAGTCGTATAAAGCTTGCACATGCAATCGTAATAATGTTGATGTTTTAATGATAAAAAATTTATGAGAAACTGTAAAAAGAAGATAGAAAAGATGAAAAATTATTGGGAAAAAAAGATCAACAACCTTAATACATATGCTGAAGGAGAGAAGCTTTGGAAAGAAAGAAGGAGAAGAAAAATGATCAAGATTTGCCCGTTTTGCTGTTGAAAATGACGAAAGAAAAAGAAAGATGCTAAAGAAGATGATGTTGGCCCTGATTATCCAGGATAAGAAGAAAAATAAAGATAAAGACGGTGATGGTTATGTTGATGAAGAAGATGAAGATGATTTAGATGATGAAGATGAAGACTAAATGAAAAGCAACCTCTTTGCTCCCCTAAAGCCTACACAAAAAAATCTGAGAAATTAAATGAGGAAAAGAGGATGATGAAGTTGAATTAAGTCTTGACCAAAAGCAAATGTCGGGTGGAGGCTGACGGGATCTGAATATGATAATATTATCAGCATTTCTCTTCTTTTATAAAGCCAATCTAGCTCAGCCCAAGGTCTGGTTTTGTGGTTTCTTGTTGCCTGCCCTCAGTTGACCCTCAGCTCAATAACATCACCATAACCATTCACATCATCTCCATCTCCATCTTTAGCTCCTTTGGCTCCTCCAGCATCTTGTTCATCTTATTTCTTTATCCTCTTTCTTCTCTTTCTTTCTTCTCTGTTTCTCCAATTTTCTGTTGGCCGATTCCTGTTGCTTTTTTAGGATGATCAAGATTGGTATTCAAATATATTGTTGTTAATCAGCTTGAAACTTGAAATATTTAGTGCACACATTTGGTAATGGCTAATGAGAAAGAAAAAGAAAGAGAAAAGCGATTAAGATGAGATTTGAAGACTTGCTTGGCAGCCTTAAAACGTAATCCAATGTAATATCGTTTCAAGTTGATATTTCTTTGGTTCATCCTACCTCTGAGTACATCCCGAAGGCCGTGTTCATCCCTTAGTTATATTTACATCCAATCGTCCAGTTTGATAGAGTCCAATCTTCTTTGCTCCCTCCTTTTCTTCTGATCGTCCTCCTCCCTCCTTATAAAGGTGCTCTTCTCATACTCTCTCATGAGTTGCAACTTTTTTCACGTTCATTGACCTTGATTATAAAAGTCTCAGCATAATTTCCGGGAATCCAGTTGGGAGTCCTCCGCTCACCGTTAAAGTGTCCAGGAATAATAAAACCTTTGCTTAGTTCTTCAACTATCATTTGTTATTTAGTTTACAAGTGTGTATCTTCTTCATACCATCTTTCTTCACACATCATCTCAAGTAAGAATTTTTGCTAATACATTGTACTTACTTTTAACTTCAGTGTTCAACTTGAAAAGACCAAATCCAAGGAACAGATTTGCTATTTTCCTTTCATTGAACATAACTTGGAGTTGAGACTGTTGTCTTTTTTCAAACACCAATCTGATCAATTGTTTATCTGTTTGATTGTTTACTCTGTAGGATGAAGTTTATCCTTTTTACCATTGCTTTGGTCATCGCATCGGCCTCAGGACAAATTATCCGACCTAATTCACTTCCAGGTAAGCGTCACAAATCAAGTCAACCAGAGTCTTCCTTCATCTCAAACAATTTATATCATCTAGAGATGAATTAACAAAAAAAAAATACCTGGTCATCCATTATCATCAACATTTTTCCTCTCCTCCTCCAGGTCTCATCTCAATCGTCCGATTCCAAAATACTGCTTGTAATGGAGAGAACGGTGATTCAGGTACCTGTTTAGCTGAAGCAGAATGTAATCGTCGAGCTGGAACCAGTATCGGAAGCTGTGCCAATAACTTTGGTTCCTGTTGTTCATTCAAAGTGAGAAAATAATTTATAAATTAATTTAATAATGTTACTTACGAAGCAGAAAGATAAACAGTTGAATTGTACGAGGATACTGAGCAATTAGATGAAAAATTTTAGTCTCAAGCGAAAAAGGGTTTTCCTTTTTCCTTAATCCTCTTGTTATAAGCTGTTAATTTCAGCTGTCCAATAACGTTGGGCTCTTTTCTTCTCCCAATTTTGTTGTTAAACCTAAAGAAGCAAAAAAAAGACAAAATGGTTAACCATCTATTCTATTAATCTCACAATTAATTACTTATAATCTAAATAATAGTTTACTTGCGGAGGAACCACCAGTCAAAATGAGACCGTTTTCGTTAACCCATCTTATCCACGAGGAGAGAATGGAACCGACACTTGTCAAGTTACTATTGAAAAGCAAGCCAAAGTTTGCCAGCTTAGACTTGACTTTGAAGAGTTTACTTTAGCTCAACCAGACGAGAATGGTCTTTGTACTACTGACTCATTCATGGTGAGAACAACTGTTGGTGAACGTTTACCAATCCTTTGTGGTGAAAATGCTGGTCAACACAGTAAGTAGTTTTATTTTTAATCACAATTATATTTGTATCAACCATAATTCAATTAAAAAATGATAACTCTATTATTTTTTAATCAACAGTTTACATTGATATGGGACGAGGTAGTGCAAACCCAGTTGTCCTTTCAGTTGTATCCAATGGAGACCGAGTTACCCGAAGATGGAAGGTTAAGATTAACATGATCCCCTGTAACAACCTTGACATGGGTAAGTTTCAGATTAACTTGAGATTAGCTTGATTAAACATTGAAACATGTAATCAGATAAAAGAAACTAAAAACAGGAAAGATTCCTCTAAACCAGGAAACAAATTCTACAGTTTTTAGTTACTTATTTAAGCTTAAACCTGACCTTAGCTAATCTTTATTTACCTGTTTTCTTGCTTTTTATTCTTCCCCCTGGGTCTCTCTTATTCCTATTACTCCTCTTTTCATCCTAGCCCCATCCGGTTGTATGCAATACTACAGAAGCCCATCATCCATCATCAAGAGTTTCAACTATGGCTCAAGGGTGAGTACCAGAGCAACCTCTAAATAACTAGTTAATACTTGTTCGTTGAATTATTCATCAATTTATAATAATACTCTTTTTGCTCAACTCAGATTGAAAGCCGATCACGATACCTTTCAAACCTTAGATACACCGCTTGTGTTCGAGTTGAAGAAAACTTCTGTGCCATTAAATGGGAAACTGAATCAGCAAACTCCTTCAGTTTCGGAGCTCCATTCGAAGGTTTGTTTCAAGTTTAATGCTAGTAGTTTGCTCAGAGTAACTAATATTTAATTTCGTTTCTTTATCCTCTTTTGTTTCATCACAGAACTCAGTCTTGGTAACCAAACTCGCCTTGGTAAGTTATTTGTTTTAAAAGACATCTCTCAAATTATTATATGATCATATGAAATTAATCAACTTTTATTTATTAGGCGGTGCTACTGGTGGACTCTGCTCACAAGATGATTTCGTAGGAATTGATCAAGGATCCGTTGACGGAACTGGACCCGGTGACGATCGATTCTGTGGTAACCGACTTTTGGAGATGAACTCCGTTATTTCTAGATCAAAGCCATTCATGCTTAAGGTTCGATCTAACCATGATCAAACTCTTAACGCTGCCAACTCACAACAAGGTTTTAGTCTTCGATATGTTCAACTACCTTGTGTTATTTAATTTAATTAATTTATTTGATCCAGTAAAAGAAACAAAATAAGCAGTTAATTAATTTTAGAATTGAGAAACAAAGAAAAAGAAACAAAAAAAACAGATTAATTTATTAACAATTACAGTCATCTGTTGATTAATGGACAATCATCATTCTCAACAACGCCAACATTAAGAACAAAGTATAAAACATAACTACGAACGAAACCCGCCGAGAGAAAACGATTTCAATCAAATTATGTTTTTTCACTCAATTATTTATTATTAAATTATTACTATTATTATAATTAAATTGGCGATTTTTTAAGTTAAAACAAAACGTTTTCCGTAAAATGATTTAATATGCTAAATGCTCGCGAATAATCATCTGGTAAGTAATACAAGAACTAAACCAATTAAAAACTATCCTGGACACTCATTTAAATTACAACGGATGGAACCGCACGGATAGTTGCTTAACATTTATATTACCTTCACCTTAACTTAATGTCTATAAAAATCCATCGATTAATTTTTAATTATATTGTTTGTTTGTAAAGTCAAGTGAGAAAAAAATTGTTGTCATTTTGGATAATCATTAGTGTATTAGCCGGTACCAATTTTACATCATTAAATTGCCTCAACGTAACCTTTAACAATTAAAATAAAATTGAATTTCGTTTTAATCTAAATGGAAATTTACAGTGGATAAGTTAAAACTCATGAGGAAGGAACAATTAAGATAGTCATTATATTGATTGAGTCTCATTGCGCGTTTTTTTGAATTTAGATTTTCTTTCATCTGAATTTTGAAAAATTACAAATCCAGAATAAATAATCAAAATGAATCAGATAGGATATTTTAATTTTTTACAGTACTAAAGATGGGTTAAGAGCATTCTGTGTGAATGTCCATTATCATTCAACCAGCCTTAGAAGATTCAAATTTTCCATTTCAATGATGATACTGAGCAATTTCTCATCATTCAATTTCTCATAAAAATTGTATTGTCAAAAACCTTGACTTTCGAGTTAAGAGTTGGGACTTTTTGGGTTTGTGGGGCATAAAAACCGAGTCCATTAGTGATATTAAAAAAGTCTCTCCGATCGACAGTTTCCGAGAAAATCGATTCCAGAGTTGAAACTTCGATCGCCTTGGATCAATTATGGAACCAGATTTTTTCATGAAACTTCATTTTAATGATGTAACTTTTGATGATCAACCAGAAAATGCACTTATTTTTTTGAGAAATAAAATTTTCTGTTTCTGTAAAACAAATCAGTTCGATTTTCAAAGCAGTCGGTTTTATTGAAAATCGAACTGATCTTCCGCGCTAAAAAGTGATGAAAATCAATTTTTTAATGGTGATACTTGAGACTCAAATTTTCCATCAGAGTTTCAACTCGTTGGCAATTTTAGATGCTATATTTTTGAAACCAATCGATGTACCAGAAATACGTTTGAACCGTACACCATTAAGAGATAAACGAGGAAGTTTACACACTTCGATTTCCCATTGTACTAGAGCGTCCGTGTTAGGATCACCATGAACGCATAAAAGAAGAAATTTTTCTCTTTGCTCATAATCACAATTGTTTTTATCTAACACTTTCCTTATTTCGGCCATAATTTCTGTAGGATCTCTTGATGACGTTGTCTTCATACTCCAAGTGAAGCGTAATGATCGAGGCTTTACCTGCTCATCGTTCATTGTCCTGTATAAAGGTAGGCAAAAATGTAAAGAATGAAAAAATGATGATGGAAGGACAGATTTAAGTAATGATGAGGTGGCGGAGAAAATGATGAAGAGAGATAGAGTTTGGAAAGGAAAAGAGAAAAGATCAGTAGAAACATGAGAAAGAGAGAAAGAGAAAGAAAGTAGAGAGAGAAGAGAGAAGAGGGAGAGAACAAGTTGGAATGAAATTCACCGGCGAAAGAAGAGAAATTCAGCCATCACAGTTGCGGGCCATTTGTTGGGAATAAGGAGTGAAACAAATAACAAGAAGGTAGGAGAGAGAAAAAAAGATAATGCAAGAGAAGAAAAGACAGAAAAAGAAGGGAAAAGTAAAAAGAGATTAATATTGATAATAATTGAACTGAAAGATTTAGCATGTTCTAGCAACCTTTTAGAGAATTTAGACGATAATTTGCTGAAAAACGATTGCCTGGACTGGCTGACAGATAGCGTGTCCTGTGTTTGCAACGGTGCTCCTGCAGAGCCATCAAATGTCATTCGATCGAACCTTCTTTCTCTAGTTTGACCACTGTGAAAGGTGCTACGATTTGCGGTCCCTCGAGGAAAGGCTCGGTTTATCACGGGTTTGGGTGTTGATGAGCTTCCTTTTACCGTCGATGAGCTATAGTTGATGAGTGTAAAGAGAAAAATATATCAGTAACGATCAAAGCAATAAAAAGATCTTAATATATCTAAAATAAGTGCAAAAATACAAATGTTGAAAAAGGACGGGAGTGAAAATGAAGGGGACTGTTGAGTGGGTAGGATGAAATAAAGATAATGTTTAGTGAGCCAGGTATGGGAGGCAGAAAAGATGAAAGAAAATGATCAAATGAAAAAAAAGATTTCAACGGTAGAATGAGTCAATCAATTGGCTATAAATCAAAAATTAAACAAGTGTAAACACTAGGGAATAATGATGAAGAAAAAATTGATTATTGAATAAAAAAACTGAAAGCAAGTTGCATGTTAAAAAAATAAAAGTAAAAAGCAGTCAGCTAAATGTAACAAGCAATTAAATTCTAGTTTTAAGTAGAGATGTGCCTAAAAACGAAACATAAAATAACGACAAATATATAATTGAGTCTGATACTCTTTCTTTGTGATACCTCGGCCGATTGGTTTCAGAATGCGATTCTGAACGGGCTTCAGAGCTGCTTGAAGAGCGTCCAGTAGACGAGGATAGTGAAGCTGATTTAGTATGTCCTTTCGGACGCAAACTTGACGAAGTAGTAAAACAACTTGTAGACGACGTCGTTGCTGCTATAGTAGTCGTCTGAGTATTAGTAGTAGTACTTGAAGAAGAAGTTGCTACAGCTGTAGTTGTGGTTAATGAGTTCAAAGTTTTATCTTTATCTTCAGTTGATGGAGCGCTGGTCAATAAATTTAATAGATCAGACGGAAGAGAGAAAAGAGAAAAAGAATAAATGATGATAGTGATTCATGGCGAAGAGAGTTAGTAAAGGTTAGAGGGATAAATTGGCATGTAAAACATGATTAACAAGGAAAAGGTTAAGAGAGGAAGTTAGCAAAGGTAAGATCAATAGAATAGATATTGGATACAAATGATGAATGTAAAAATCAAAGACTAATTTGAAGAGACAAGTGTAAGATTATGGCGCGATCTGTAAAATGAAGCAATTCAAGATGAAATAAATGCACGAAAACTTCACTGAACATCTAAGCATGTATAACGATGTGGATTCATATGAGGCCAAAAGGGTTCAAGATAAATTACGTGGACACTATAATAGGATATTTTTGGTGCGTGAATACAAATTAAATACCTAGTGGAAGAAGTCTCTGTCACTGCAGTTGTTTTCTCGGTCGAGACACTCTTGTTCTCATTGTAATTGAATGTATTACGGCGCGGGATACCACTAAGTGTATTTTTATTAACTCCGGAACTGGTTACAGGCGACACTGTCCGTTGCCTTAAAGATCCCATACCGGTAAGCTTATTGGTATTAAGTACAGGGCCAAGGTTAAATGGGGCATTTTCCGTTGTCAAAGAAGAAGGAGGAGATTTAATAGATTTATTTGTGGCGGTTGTGGTGGTAGTATTGGTAGTCAAAGGTGATTGTGGGCCGTTGGTGGCAGGAGTAGAAGTCTCTTTTACAGAATTGGTTTCTGTATTGTATTTTAAGAGAGGTCTATCTTTCTTTGAGGTGGCTTGTCCTGAGTTGGTTATTTTGTCATTGGGAACACTGGGTGCTGTGTCAGCATCTCCTCCATGACTGAATCTTCTTTGTTTAGTGCTAGCTGAGACACTTCTCTGTACTTTTACGTGAGATGGTGATTGACTATTAGATGTAACCTCAACACTGGGTCGAGGACCGCGTAATGAAAGACTTGAACTTGATCGAGAGTCACTTTGTTCACTCTGTTATGGATAGCAATAGTAATGACGATCCAAAGATGAGCAGGGAGGAACATAATATAAAGAAGAGAAAAAAAAGAATGAGTAATCAAAAGAAGAATAGTGATACACAATTAAGTTTGTTGCGGAAATTTAAAGGGTAGTGAACAGGTGAGACAATCACTCTTAACTGGTGTGCAATCAATTGGTTGTTGGCAAAATAATAAAACAACGAAATGGAAATGTTACAAATGGCAAGAAACTCACCTCGTTAGTTCTTTTTTGGAGTAATAAATAATTAGCCATTAAATCATCATATTTCTTGCTCTTAAGAGACTCTTCAATTTCATCCTTAGAATATCCCATGGACATTAAAATTTCAACTCTTTTAGTATCAATAAAATCAGTTTCGCCTTCAATGAAAGGTTTTAATTCGTCATCTTCGTAGCCAATATTCATCCATTTATCTTTCATTATTGCCTGTGAGCAAAAAAAGATAAGAAAATGACTTCAATAATAGAGCACTAAAGGTTACAAAATAAAGGCTGGGAGACGCGAGAGTTAATTTGATTAATTTAATTATTTTTATTCTATATTTTTTAAATGAATTATCATCTTTGATGACTGAAGATTGGCTCATGCAGAAGTAACTAGAGCTTACCTCGAGAGATGATCTCTTAACGGGATTGAGAACTAAAAACTTTTTTAGAAGATTTTCACAATCAGTCGACATATAGAAAGGTATTCTGTATTTTCCTCTGAGCACTCTTTCTCTAAGTTCTTTGAGGTTGGCGCCATCGAAAGGTAGGGATCCACTGACTAGTGTGTATAAAATTACCCCTAGACTCCAAACATCTACTTCAGGTCCGTCATATTTTTTACCTGTAGATAACATTACATTTCATTGTATTGTATTGTGCAGTATTGTTGTTTGGTTATGGGATGTAGTTAAGATCATTTGGTGTGACACATGAAACGTAAAAACAGGAAAAGAAAGACCAGAGTAAATGAGAACGTAATCGTTGAGTGAACGTTAAAATTGAAGTTGACAGTTGAAGCACAAACGCAGAAAATGGTTGATCAAAAGTCATAAAATGGTAAGGATGGAATGAATGGCGTTGGAACATCATGGCGGAAAGAAATACAATTGATAACAAATCGATGATCATCACAGGTCAGATGAATGGTAATCCATGTAGCAAAGTGGAGTATAATAGAGAGAAAATTTATGCATGAGTATCATTTAAAGTATAAAGGTATTATTGATTCTACCCAATCAAAGAATCAATTTTTGACTGGGTTACCTTACCTTGAAATAATTCTGGAGCAGCATAAGGAGGGCTCCCGCAGAATGTATCCAATTTTTGTCCTGGACTAAATTCATTACTAAAACCAAAATCAGCTATCTTAATGTTCATCTCGCAGTCTAAAAGAAGATTCTCTGCTTTCAAATCTCGGTGAATAATCCTTTTCTGGTGACAATATTGAACTGCAGACACTATTTGACGAAACTTGGCTCTTGCTTCTTTCTCTTTCATTCTTCCATGAGCTACTAAATAATCAAAAACTTCACCTCCACTAGCATATTCCATAACAAGGTAAAGGGTTTTTTCAGTCTCAATGACTTGGTATAACTTGACTATATTGGGATGGTCTAACATCTTCATTATTCTTACTTCCCTGAATAACTGTGGATAAAAATGGGTGAGAAGGAGAGAGAAAGACAAAGACAAAGAGAAGGGGGAGAAAGAAAGACATGAAAAAAAAGAGATTGAGAGTAAGTTAATGAGTCAAAAAACACAGAAAGGGCAAACAGAGGATTGAATGAATGGGAAAAAGTCAAATAGAAAGAAAGGACGAAACAGAGAAGAGAAAGACAGAGGTAAATTAAGGAGTAAGAATGCATTTTTTATTAGGTTAAGCTGGTAAGATGTAATAGAGGTAGCTGAAGATGGTGATGGTGATGGTGATGTTGATGGTGAATAGGCAAAAGGGGAAAAAGGATATCAGGCTCTCCTCACCTTTTGAAGACTTGATGGATTAAGAAGGGTTTTATCAATTATTTTAATAGCAACTTCTGTGCCGGTTGGAAGATGACGGGCGAGCTTAACTTTGGCAAAATTTCCTTTACCAATAGTCTTTAATAGCCTGTAACGGCCAATATGGTGATTTTCAGGTCCTCGCGCAGAGAAAGATCGCCCAGTTGTTGATCCGGTTGTTGTGGTGGTTGCAACAGATTCATGGACAGTTTGTAAAGGAGTCCTAATACTGGTGGCCATTGTTAATAAGAGAAACGTTTACAAATTAAACAATTAAAAATAGCAACAAATTTTTTACTTATAAACAAAAATCAAAAAAAACCAAAATATTCAAGACACTTCATTAACTGCGGGCAACATCTCACATCCTCATAAGCTAGTCGGAGAAGCAAATCAGACCCAAAAAAATCAAAATGGAGGTGTTAGTTCATCCTTTTAATAGTTAGATGGCAGCATCATATTTTCTTTATTGTGAATGTTTTTTGTCTCAACTTTATTAATGGAATGATTATTAAATTTTACTGTTAATTGATTATTATTGACAAGTAATTATTTAAATCAGTAACATTAGCAGTCACAACATTAATCTTATTGTTTAAGAACTATATTAATTGTAATTATAACCCATATTTCAAGAAATTTATTATTAATTTCGTACATTCGTTGTTAGCTGTTTTAATTTTGGTGCTCTTTTCATCGTTGCTCCTCTTGTCTCATCACCTGTGTTGTGTAATCCATTAGACAATTAATTTCCATTCTCACATTCTTTCAATTTTTGTTAATTATTTCTTCTTTTTTGCCCTGTTTTGTCGATTTTTTTCACTATTACTTTCTATTGTTCAACTTGCAAGTTATTACAGTAACAAAGATGAATTTTCCTTCTTAGAGACTATTTCTTCAACTTTTTTCTCGTCAGTGTAATTGACAAGCAACCATATCTTTTAAAATCAACATTTCAAATCGACTTCAATTATTGTTTTCCTTCTAATGTGTATTAGTTAATGGAATTAACCCATTGGTATTCAATTATTGCCCGCTCTTAAAACATACAATAGCAATAAGAATCAAAGTGATTAGAAGAAAATTGTAAACCTTTCAATGTCTGCTGATAAAATTTTCACCGTCATAATTTAATTTGAGCTTTTTTGAGTTCGTTCTTTTTTCTCTATTTGACTTTCATTAAGACAATCAATTCAGCTCTACCAATTGACGAAAATCACCTAAAGACCCTGATTTTGTGACCCTCAAGTTTAGCTGTTAATGAATTGGAACTTGACAAAAATTTGAAACTTTACCTTTTTTGAAAACCTAAATTTCAAACGGTTTCACTGCTTATCCATCTTATAATCCATTATTGTTGTCGAAATTGTCTTTTCAATTACCATTCTTTTGAGTATTACGTGTTTTCCTCATCAAAGATTTTTCCAATCAGTTCTACTAATCAAGAAAATATCAATTCATTCTTTCTTTCTCTTACCCTATTACCAATCAAATCATCCTTCTAAGGTTATCTTTTCAATCATCATTACAAGTCTTGTTCATGTTTATTTTTTCATTTCAATTTATCGCTCAAACCTGCAATTGAAAAGCAACTTATTTATCGTATATTCAATAAAAGTATAACAGGCAACATTTGAAATAATTATATCAATCAATAAGCTAAACTAGTATCTTTCCTGATAGATTCATTCAGAGTCAATATAATAATTGTTTACCATACAAACACAATCATAAACTCACAGTAAGGATGAAAACAAAAGCAACTTACAACCAGCCTTTTGTCTTTCAAGTATAATTAAGCCATTACCTTTATTAAACAATTGAGTAATGTTTCTTTTTAATGTTAATTCTTGTGTTAATCACTGTTAGGTTAATTTTGTTACCATCAGACTGGAGTTGAACCAGCAACAACATATAAACAAACACCAAAAAATAACCAGAATCAATGATCGGTTCAATGGCTTGTTGATCAGCTACAATAAAATGATCTATTTTTCATTTGTTTAACATTTACTTTTATTTTGTTTTCCCATTTTGCTTCTAATTTCAATCAATTCAATCTTTTTTCCTGCTTTTAGAGCAACTCAACACCATTTTCAGCGTAATTCACCGTCGTTTTTTGTGCAATTTCAATTGGTAACTGAGCCTTATTGAAAACCTTGTTCAGCAATTAACTATATGTTTTAACAGATAATTTAACCAAACTAAAAAGCCTTGGTTAAACCTTGTAGATTAATACAGGAAATTAAGAGCAACACGTTAGAGATGAACGTCAAACTATCATTTTTGTATCCTCTACATTCAAAGGTTTTTTTGTTAAATAAATTCACAATTATTAACTTTTGTTTACCACACAAACCAAATTAATTACAATTAACCATTTATGGTCAAATGTTAAAACTGGAAGATGTAAAAACATGCGGTCAATCGGTCTCAATACATTTAGACATGCATTCAATATGGCAACTACCAAAAGAAGATTCTGGTTTACTCATCCATTTTAACCATCCTACCTTTAACGTAATGTTTGTATTAATGATTACAATTTTCAACACAAACATAAAACAGTAAAAATAGTCATCAATTTTGGAAACAGCAATTGAAAACACTTTAAATTGTGGACAAGATTTGGACGTCAAGTTACCATTCACTGATAGTTTTTTTTGGGTTTGGGTTAATCTGGTTCACCAAAAATATAATGACAAATAAATATTGTCAGTTGGATGAGTTAATGTTGAAAAAATAAGCAACTTGACGGTGATAAGGATTATATAACATTAAATGCTGAGTAAGCTGTGTTGTAGCATTGATACAAAGCCTCCGCTTTTAAAACAATCCAGAACTTGCAACTTGTTAAGGTTAAACTATGATTCAATTTGCTACAATCAGTTAACCTTTTTCATCATCATCAACATAAATGTTGCTTGTTAACCAAACGAACAAAATAGTCAAGTTGAACTCTAAATCAGTTTACTTTAAAGATGACACATAAGATCAATAGATTTCTTTGTCTGACTTTAACTTTTGAATGCGTTTAGTTAGCGTTATATTTTTTGTACCAATCTTTTTCTTTCCAATTCGGATTTAATATACTAAATTTTTTAAATTTCGACCCTCAGGACTGATAACGCCTGTAAGAGACCCTGGATCCGTGCAGTGTAAGCGACATTTTTAGGGCAAAAATTTTTTTCCCTAAAAATGTGTGTAAACTAAATCCGATCGTCAGATATGGTCACAGAAAAAATTTGGTGCAAAAATATCGATGAATGGAATAGTTATCGCCGTTTAGTTTATTGCGTGACTTTTCGGACACCTAGTACTTTAAAGATGACACATAAGATCAATAGATTTCTTTGTCTGACTTTTTCTTTGCACCCCATCGTTTAATGATTTACTTTACCCATTGGCTACAAGTTAAACTGTTGCTGTTGATTCTTGTTAGTCATTTCTTTTTAGTTTAATGTTCAAAGTTCTTTTTTAATTTCAAGTTTCTTTGTTTGGATTGTTGATGAGTAAATCATTCTGTTTGTGCGCCATGTTGTTGTTTCCTGAAAGAAACAAATTGTTTACAGCAAGAAAAGCTACTTGTATTTGAGTCGTCAGTTTATTTGCCTTTACTCTTGTTCATCATCTCTTACCCATCATTCATTGAAACATCAGTTTGGGCGAGTAATTAGCTAATCATCATCAACAACATCATTATAATATATTGTTCATCGTGAAGCATCAGAAGGTGGTAATAAGACAGGAGGAGGATGATTGAGGCGAAGAAGGAACGGAAGAAACTCAAGATGTAAGTGGTAAGTTGATTATTAATGTGTAAACCGGTATTGGTGTTCAATAAATTAAAATGAATTCAACGCCATTATTATCTTCTTCGTCATCACTATTCTTTCTTTTTCATGATGTAATGCTATTGTATCTATCTGAACCATCTTGTTCAGATTGTCAATTCACTTTAACATTTTAAACAATCATTAATGTAAAATTATTTTCAATTTATTACAAACTCACAGGCTGGTTCAAGCACCTCAGCTAACACACACTTGGTAACTCATAAAGCATTATATAAAACCTGGTACTCTGGTTAATTATTTGATCGCCCAATAATAATAACTATTCAATTTCACCATTGCTACAAACTTAAACAATTTACCCATTCGGCCCATGGAGACACGTGAATCTAATTTTCAAGCTGAACGATTGACAAATTTAATGAGAAAATGATGATTCTATTGTAACATGGCTTTCATCCTAATACGATCACAATTGGATAAACCTTGGATTCTCAAATATTTAACTTCATGGTAAATGAAGAGGAAAAAATTCATTAAAAAGTCTACTGGTACAAACGTCGATAAACTAATTAAAACATCAGCAATGACAATATAATCTAAATAGTGGACTTCGAATAGTTGCAGCTATGAGAGCAAACAGAATCGAAATGAAATTTCCGTTCAATATTCACTGAAAAGTAAACAGAATATAATCTTAACCCGTCAAAATATTAATTTACTGATGATGATTCAATTGCAAACATTGTCGTTGGCATTTTCAATTATCATTATTTACTTTTAAAAAATGATTAGTTTACATTGGGTAAGTGATTGCTTGAACCTTACTAACCGCAACACCCTTTAGATTAATGATTTATTAATGAATTATTGTTGGTGAATCGATCATCAACTTTCTCTTTTGTTGAGCTAAAATGTACTGTTTGGTACTAATTTGTCTGTTTTTTGCATCTATCTCTTGTTCAGTTTTGACTCCAATAGTTGATTTACCAAGTGGTCCAGTCCAGGGTGTAGTCACTGAATATGAAGGAACTCCTGTTTACAAATTTCTTGGCATCCCATACGCGAAACCACCAATTGATACGCTACGACTGCAGCCACCAGAAGCTTTAGATCCGTGGACTGAGGTTAAATTAGCGACTGAATTCGGTCCAGCGTGTCAACAAACTTTTCACAGGATTGCACCTGAAGATGTCAGTGAGGACTGTCTTTATCTCAATATTTATGTCTCTGAGCCCACCTTCAATTCCTCTAAGACAACATTGAGACCAGTGCTTTTCTGGATTCATGGAGGTGCCTTTAAAATCGGTGCTGGAAATCTTATGAACGATGAAAGTCCGTTGGTTCCATTACATAATGTTATCCTTGTTTCCATAAACTATCGTCTCAATTCATTTGGCTTTATGTATTTTGGACATGATGAGCCTCGGATTCCGCAGAACATTGGTTTAAAAGATCAACTGTTTGCTTTGAAATGGGTTCATGAAAACATTATCAAGTTTGGAGGTGATCCGGATTTGATAACAATTTTCGGTGAATCAGCGGGAGGAATGTCAGTTTCTGCTCTTTTATTATCTCCACTAACAAAAGGACTATTTAAACGAGCCATCATCGAATCTGGTACCGTTTATACTCAGTGTGGAGATAGAAACCGTCTCATCGAAGCTTCATGGGAGCTTTACAATAAAACTTCCTGTGCAACTCAGCAAAAAGATATTCTTACCTGTATGCAAAGTTTGAAGCCATCTGAATTGTTGGAAAACCAGAATAAGGATACAATGTCATTTTTGTATGCTCCTGGAGACGATTTATTACCCAATGAGCCATGCGAAGCTATAGCTGAAGGACTTTACGATAGCACACCTGAACTTATTGTGGGTGTTGAAAAAAACGAAGCTAGTTTGTTCATGACGATTCTCGACAAAAAACATTTCAATATATTGGATACAGAACCACTAACATATGAAGATGCCTTAAGAATACTATCTTTAATTTTCGATGATCAATCGGTGGACCATGCTCGTGAACTTTACTTTGGTGCCGAAACTAACAATTCAGATTATTTTAGAGATCAATTGGAAAAAGCATACAGTGACGTTTTATTTGTTTGTCCAACTTATATCTACGGTCATCAGTATGCTACAACTAAAGATAATAGTGGTAAAGTGTATGCATATTATCACACTCAAAGGCCCAGTTCGTTTATGCCCGTAGGTGAATGGATGGGTACTCATCATGCTGCTGAGCTGCCCTTTGTTTTTGGCCATCCTTTCATCAATTCCGGTTACACAGAAAAAGATGTTTCATTGAGTCGTGAAATGATGAAAATTTGGGCTCATTTTGCTGAAAAAGGGTAAGATTATTCTGCTGGAATATTGTACTATTATAATTGTAATCAAATATCAATCTACAATTTGCTTTATTTTTCTTAGTGAGCCTCCGCAAATTGGTGAAACTCGATGGGCACCATTACAAGAAGATTCATCAGCCATGATACTGAACATTGATGACTGGGGGAAAACTGATTCTGAAAGGATTCAATTTTGTCTCAAGCACTGGCCATTTATTTTACAACATCGGATGAAATCTTTCTAAACCCATTCTTTTCGAGCAAACAGATTCAATAAAATCTGCTAAATCTTTATAGCTTGAGCATTTAAAATACACAATCTAATTTAATTTACAATTTATGAACTGATTAAATAGACTAGGTATGCAAAATTTTGTAGGAATCTCGATGTTTTTCAGCTTCAAATTAGTTTAACTGTCAAATAGATCCTTTCTAGCAGTTTACTTAAAGCTGTGAAAATATTTAAACATCAGAACCGATTCACACTTATCAATAATCATTTGAACAAATTGTGTTGATCTGTTTAATCCAAAGAGTAGTTGAGTTTCATTCTTTGGGTTAATCCATAATATAAAAGGGATAATCAAGATTTAATGAGCTTTTCAAATTTAGTAACTTTGTATCTGATTACTGCAGCAAAAAACATGCATTAGATCTTAATCAATGAATTTGTTTAATGAAAGTGTATGTACATTACAAAATACAGGTTCACAATTGTACAATTGTACATTGTATATCCTTTTCAGGAAATAAACATTTTTTGATGACAGTTGATAGTCATGAAGATTTTTATCATCAAACCATATCATTTATTGTTAATATATATTAAACTTGATGGTCGTTAATCAACAGCACAGATTCAACACAATTGATGAATTAATTTCGTATTATCATTACCTATTGTCATCATCATCAAGTCCATGTACAATGCTAGCCAGTATGTAAGTACCTTTTGACACTAAACAATCTTTACCAATTCAGTTTGTGCATGAAACCACTGAAAGTTAATTAAATCAAATCTTGAATTAGCTATGGTTATTTAGCCTAAAATAATACACAATACAACAGCAAAAAGGAACCACAATAAATGATAAGATTAAGAAGTGCGTTTAAAAAAAGACAAAAAGACATTAAGTTAGGAATTATAACTTATGATTTACTTTTCTAATCATTACAAGTTAATGACACGTTCAATTTGAAATCAAGTCTAATATTAAAGTACAGTAATAATTGTTGTTAGTATTATCATCAGTGGGGATTGAGATTAGATGACAACTTATAAAAATGGAGGTTGGTAATGATGATGGAAACATGAAACAAAACAATAGAGTAAAAAGGAGTAAAGGTAATGATTAGCAAATTTGGTAAATTACCAAAGGCTGTGACCATTAAAAGAATGGCTTTTTCACGTATTCTGTTAGATGATAACACAATTAACTGCTACCTCTATTAATGGTGATTGTTGATTACCTTGAAAAAAACACAAAATTATTTTATCATATTTTGAGAATAGGCTGCAAATAAATGTCGAGCCTCACTTAATTCATTTATCTATTGTTGAAACACTCCACTCGCCAACTATTTAAATTGCCAATTTTGACATCCACATGAAATAATCAAATTTTGAACCTTAATTTATTAATTTAACAGCAACAATAATGTACTAAGGTAACAATACAAAACGGTAAACACATTTGAAAGGATGTAAAGTTGACTGAGTGAGTATTGATCTTGAAAAGAGATCAGCGATTAAAAAGATTTATTTAATTTGATTTGATTATTGTTATTCTTCCGGTCTTTTTGATCATTACTGCCAACTTTTATATCAAGATAAATACCTGATCAACAAATAAACGATGAAATACTGAACAATTGGAAACTGTTGTAAAAAAATATCCACAAAGTGTAATAAACTTTTAGCCATCAGACAACAGCAACAACATGCAACTCTTCAGCTGCGCCAAATTCAAATTGACTTTTTGAACGTTTAATTTTACTCTTTAAATTGCCTTTAATTTTATTTGATTTTCAACAATCAAATTTATGTTGACTTTTTTTGCAACTTTATATTGATTAAATAATAACAATCAGTCAATGAAAAGGTAAACCAAAGGTCAACTCTAGACTGGAAAGCAAATATTCAATTGTGATGTTAACTTGTTTGCTTTTTGGGTAACATTCAATTGTCTTCTGATGATAAGTTAATTATCATTTTAATGGAAATCTAATTCTTTTCATCACTTACTCCATGCAAAGTAAATTAAATTTTGATTACATTTTGCTTTACATTAATTCGCATTGCAGCCCAAAAACAAGTTTCAAGTTTGGGTTAATGAATGTACATAAATGTAATAAATACATGAATTAAGTTGAAGTCAACAATAAGCCGTAAACTCAACTCTATTTTGGCCATTGATCTACCGTGACTCCATTAATAATCAACTTTCATCCAAATTGGCATTCTCCGGTTAATTCAGTCTCAAATGTCTACCTTTGTCCATTGATTTTGAGCTCTATCCGTTGAATGGGCGTTGAAGTTGGCTGGACAGTTAACATTGATGAATCTAGGGAAAACAAAGAACCATTTTTAGTCACATATTTGCACTTTTACAGGTCAAGGTAGGGCTGCTGATCGAAATGTGTCTTGAGATGATCAAGGAAGAGATGAATGGGAAAAGGAGAAGAAATCTTGTAATCTGTTTCATGGTCCATAATCAATTGAACATTAGCCAAAAATTTGTTTGCCTCTTTAAATCGGATGAAGCAAATCACTTGTAGATCTTAATATTACCATCAAAAAATTGAATCAAAATGAAACGTACCTTTAGACATGTTAACATTCAATAATCAACTGATATATTAAATACCTACATAAAATGTGGAGTTAAGATGATCATTTGGTGTGTGAATTAACAGATAACAATTTACTTTTCTTCTCATCTCATTAAATCTATTTGAGAATGGATGTAAGTGAATTTACTGCAAATTGCAGATAATAAACATGAATTCAATTTTGCTCATGAAAGGAAAAATAATTACACTTTAATTTTTAATCCACCTTTTATTACAACAATCTGTACAAAATTGATTATATCATGTTTTAGTGAATTTGAGTAAAGCCTTAAAGTTGTCTGGGTTTTAAGCTTTGGATTAGAGTTGGTATAAAAACGGGGTTGGTACTAAAAGTACACAATTTACACAATTAACACAATATACACAAAAATACACAAAATTACACAAATTTACACAAAATCACACAACAGTGAAAATTAATATAAAAATTACACACAATGATCTAGATTAATTAAAATAATTGATTTTCGGTAAGGCATAGGTACTTTTCGGCTCACTTCTCTTCTAATTTACATTTATCTCGAAGAAACTGTACCAATGTGGAAATAGCTTATTCTCACTATTTGTAGAGCAGTCAATTTCATGATTTTCAATCTTTCTCAATAGATCAAATTTAGGCAAAAATGTTTTTTTAAACTGATTTTCAGAGTTTTTGGATTAAAATTTCACGAAAGAAATTGAATTAAACTAATTGATAATTAAAGAAATCGAATCTGTGTATTGTATTTTGTGTATTTTTGTGTATATTGTGTTAATTGTGTAAATTGTGTAAAATCTGGTTAACAATTTAACCAGATTTAAGAGAAACTTGAGAAAGCTAGAGCTACCTGGTGTAGACAATTTAAACTAGTAACTGGTTGAATTCGTTCATCTTTTTTTGTAACTTTCATTTCGTGCTTGAATTAGTTTTTTTGATCTTGTAATCATTGACTATTATTGCTAGTTAAAATGGGTTATACAATATGACAATGAATTGAGATCGGCAAATGTTTAATTCATCAGAAGAGTAAGTTGAAAACGTAGATTCACCGATAATGATGAAAGTTGAGAGCAAAACAAAACCTGGATTCATCACAGGCTTTTAACTGGATCATGAGCCAAATGGTTAAATATCCAAGCTTAATCTAGTAATATAAATCAAGTGTTTGCTCCTATGTAAGCTACCAAAATATTATCCATATAAATGAATTATATTGTTTTACTTATTAATAACTCTCAGTGAAAAGCTTTCGGAACAATTCAAAATTTTCCCTTCAAATTACTCAATCATAATCTTTGCCAGAATTTTTTCTCAACGTTTTCTCGGGAAACATTAGAAATAAATTTTACATCTTTTTGATATTTAAAATTAAGTTAATTAAAAATGATTTAAAAAGGACAAATACAATTGGAAAAGTCAGTCTTCGAGAAACAAAACATAAGCGAAATACATTGGGTCAGTGGTATTCAAATTAAATGGAGTCTTGATAGACAATTGAGATTCTTGTCGAAAATTGATTTTTTGTTCATATTTTTTTGATTAATAATTTGATATAAATGATGATGATGATGATTCTAATTTATGCAAAACATCTTGCAAAAGTAAATTAAACCATTTCAACATTTAATTACATTTTACAATAATATACTGATGCAGTTAAATGTATAGCCAAAATGGTTTGTATTTAAGCTCATTTGATAGTTAAATTGAAAAATCATCAATTTATATCCAAATTTATGGAATCAAATGATTAAAAAAATATAAACAAAAAGGATTAATTTCTTGGAGATATTAATGATGTAAACGATGGGATTGGTTTCCAACACAATGATTGATTTGGTCAAGTAAATTGAAACAAACGGCGTTAATCCACATTTCTTAATTTCCCAAACATTCATTTCCAGTGATCACATTTAGTTTCAGATTTATTGCCAATTGAAGATGCACCAATACACATGATTGCCAACCATTGCAATAAGAAACATTGAAAAATAATTAATTTAAATCAGCAATTATTCAACAGCGATTCTGGGAAGATTTGATCCTCCATTTGCTTTCTCCTTAACATCCTTTAAATTGAGATCTGTAAATTGAATGAGAATAAAAAAAATACAATCAATATGGTAACAATTAAAAAATGAATCAAAGCAAATATCATTGAACATTTTACAATGAAGTTTTGTAATGTTTACAAACCAATGATCTCAAGGTAAAAACATGAAACTAATTATCCAAATTCAAGGTATAGATTAATGGTGAATCTAGTAGTTTCATAGAGAAAACTAAATATTAAAATATTGAAATTTGCCAATAAAGCACTTTTTAACCAGTTAAATCCTTCCTCATCTATAACATTGATAAGTACAGTGTTTTGTAAAAAACTGTTAGCTAATCGAATTGGTTTAATAGAAATCAAATTAACGATTCTTTCAATTCATTTCCCAGCCATTGAACATCACATTAAACAAATATTTAAGTGACCGTTATCAAACTTGGAAAATGAATCCATTCGATTTTTATTCAATTGATAGCAAACTGATTTCTCTATAATTCATATTCCAAAATTCCATGATTGTTTCATTCTTTGTTTGACTTAATTTCGATGACAGTTTGCTTTCCACCGGCGATTCCAGTTTTCAATCGGACTGTTTGCAGGTCTTCCAATTAGGGTTTGAAGCCAAGAAATCATAAATTCGTCAATATATTTAGGATGTAATGATTGAATTCAAGGGTCAAGGGTCAAGTCATTGATTTCAGTATCGTCACTCTCCGCTTTCCAAACCATTTTATTTGACTGATTGTTGACCAAACTCGTATTAAGACAAAATCTTTTTTTCCTATTTGAATTGAATCCTGATTCACCAGAAAAGGCGACATTGTTCCAGTTTCAGCTTTGATTATTCTGACAAAATTGTATAAATTGTAACTCTCATAGCTTGTGATTCCTCAGATGATTTATTGGTAATCCTAAATCAATGTTGCTTTGAAATAATGACAGTTTTTGCAAAATACTGTACTATTATCATGTTGCAATGTTGATAAATTTAATGATTTTGCAGTTTTTTATTTACTTTAAATCAATTTAATAGTTGAATTAACTGGTAAAACAATGAAAAGATTGTCAATAATCCAGGTTAACCAGTTCAATTGCAATGATTGTAAATAAACGTTGAATGATTGATTCACTCAAATTCAAGATCAATATTTAGAAAGGCTTGAATTTAAATGATTGTAATAATGAGATCACAATTTGGACGATTACAAATTAATTGTCTGAGAATTTAAACTTGCAGAAAAATCTTTAAATTACTTCAATCTAATTTTACCTTTAATAAACAATAGGAAAAGTAAATTAATTTCATGTAATTCGTTGTTTGATCTTTCACATTTCGCCTCAACTTGACGTTATAATCAAGAATAGTTAATTTGAAACTGTGCTGATTCCCAATTAAAATAATAAAGCTAATTCAGATAGAAAGATGAGATTGGTCCAGAAAGAAAAAGGTTTAATTTGATTATTACGATTGATAAACAAAAAAAAAGATGAACCATTAAATGAGAGAATTAAATTTACTTTTTTTGGTTTCAGGATTGCTCAAAGGGATGAGGAACATTCAAGTTTAATTAGAATTGATTAATTAACTAATCATCATAACTAGATGTGAGAGCACAAAATGTTGATCTCATTACGATTTCAAGTTTTCACTGCAAGTATTTTACCCTTTCCAACCCTGTCAAGTGTCTGATTAATAGTGTAAATTTAAATTGTTTGTTGACACCTTGCTTAACTCAAGTTAATTAACGATCGATTGGTTAACTATTGAGTCAAAAAAATCTTCATCAAGACAAACAATTTACAAAACGGTTTTAAATAAAGCGGGTTAAAAGAGGTGAAAAGGAGCAAATTGTAAGCTTTTTATTGGTGTTAATGCAAGCAAATTTAAGGATTTATAAATTTTGGGTTAATTTGGTTGATTAGAATCAACAGCATGCAAATGGTTTGGTTCAAATTCTGGAAATTAAAATTGTCTCTCCAATAGATGTTATTTAAGGGAATTAATTGAATGACCAACAGAGCCGTAACTTAATTAATCTGATTTCCAAGTAAAGCTGTTCTTTCATCAGCTGAATAGTTTATTTCTTGGGACAATTCATCAATAGAAGTGTATGAATGTCGCTTAGTTAAAGTCTTTTCCTGATTATTATTCATATTATTATTGCTATCATGCATCCAATGTGAACCTGAAAGTAAAGTTAATATTTAAGCAATTTTAATAAGCTTTAATTTAAACTGATCCACTTTTGCAAGGTAAATCTACTTAATCATTTGATTTGTTTTGATGAACACAGTCTTGGCACATAAAAAAATTGAAACATGAAATTTAAATGCGACAAACTCAACTGGATTGAGTTGTTGAATTGATTATAACCATTGACGTTTGTTTAACACTATTATTGAACATTGTTGTTGTACTTATCATTATTAACAGCAATCATTTAAACAGGTAGATTCACATAGAAAAAAAGGATCAAGGATTGAATACAAAGCAACAAAGCAAAACTATTGGTAAGGTACCGAAAAATCAACGGGAAACATGATTAAGTCAATTTCCTTTTGACAAAGAAGAGTTTAATTGTTTCCCATTAGATTAAATTTTCAGTAAATTCAATCGATTTTGATGAAATAGCAAAATTTCATTGTAAATGATGGTTAGGCTTGACTGGATTTTTGTTTACTCAATGTTAACCCAAAGTACAAAAACAAAGATATGAATTATTCCTAATCCAATCTATCCTTATTGGTGGCAATCAATTGATTTTTGTTTTCATACTTTGTAAACAATCTTGCGTAAAATGATTAACAATGATCTGCCAGATTCAATTGATATTGCGATCAACTGATATGAGAAAACATCTGATTTACAGGCAAAAACAGACAGATTATTTGATTTGATCAACAAAAACAGAAATAACATGCTAAGGAGAAAAACAATTTTCATTAAATTGTTTCAAACATTAATTTGAAATTGATCATTGATGAGTATTTACAATCAATGTAAAATGCTTTGAAATTGCTTTCCATTGAACAATCTCAACTTACTTGGTGAAGCTTGTTGAATTATTTCACTTGAATTTGGAACTGAATTGACTCCACTTGTAGTCTCTTTTAGAGCTTCATGGTCAATTGTTAATAAATATAACCAAGCACCGAGAATACCACCAACATGTGGACCAACAATTCCGCTGCCCACCAATAATGTCCACAAGTGGCCTAGTATTTGGAAAAAGAGAAACAAAGTAATCAGAAATCAAATATTGAGATAGTAAGAATGTTGTAAAATGTTATATAGAATCAGATAAATTAAAAGCTAAATAACTTTTCATCTGAAAGCATGGGTTAATCAAATTATTTTCCTGTTCTTTAACAATATAATTCATTGCTCTTTTACAATTTTGGATTATTGAAGGAAATGATTATGTTCAACTTCATTTTTGTTGTTTGTTGACTGGCTATAGTTATTATGTATTATGATGAGAGTTGACTGCAATTTGTCAATTTAATGTTGAATGATCAATAATATTAATCAGGTTAACAATATGGGTTTCATCAGCAAGATCCCTGGAACGTTAATATGGTGATCACAATGGTTAACTGAGAGTCAAACTGAGAGACTTGAAGAGACAACTGAGAAAGATGATTTATAAAAGATTATAGTTATTGAAAGTCAACTAAAAATTTTTCTTGCTTTCTATTGATTCAAATTTTCTATTAAGGAGACAGAAATAACAGCCTAAATCAATTGTTGGCAACGATAATCACTAGAGATGATATTATTCCCAACGCAACACCAATTACCGTTACCAAATAATAACGGTAATAATGGTTCATTTCAACTTACTGGAATGGTTCCCAACCGTATCTAACAAGAGCAGAAAACAATCGAGGAGCAAAATCTCGAGCGGGATTCAGGATGGCACCACAATTATAATTAAATGCTGTAGGGATTCCGGTGATGATGACAGCGAAGAGAGCAGGTTGAGCCTTCAGAGGAGCCTTGATACCATCAGAAATAGCCAGAATACCAAATAATAATAACGATGTACCAATCATCTGTAAAGAAGCACAGTAAGATAAAAGAATAAATTAGTAAAATATTTCCAGAAAAAAAATCAAAACAATTATCAGCAAGAGATACAAATAGCTGAAAGGTTTAAAGTTGAATTTGAAAGTCACCTGGTCAACGAAGGCTCCAGGAATGGTCACAAATCGAGCTGGATAAGTGGCAAATATTTCACCAGTTATATTTGCTTGATGACTTGGGTCAAAATGTTCAATTGCTTCAAAATGATCAAGATAAACTACTGCTGAAGCTAAGATCCCGCCAACATACTGAGCCAGCAAGTAATACCAGACTTTAGACCATTTGAATTTACCAATAGCAGCCATTGCTGTTGTAACCGCGGGATTCAAATGTGCTCCTAGTAACAAAAAAATGGTAAAAATAATTAATTTACATCATTAAACTGCATTTATTGTCAACTAATTAATTACAATTGAATTAAATATCTTTAAGGGTTGGTTGAAAGACGATAGTGAAAATGAAATGGTTCAGTGCCAGCTTTTGCTTCTTACATTTTTGCTGTGATGCAGTTATATTGGCAATACTTTAGGCACCAAATTTAACATTGAATCAATGATTGCCTATTGATAGATGGTATAGTAATTATTAATTATATTATTAATTATACTATTAGTCTAAATAGAAACTTGATAGACGGATTAAGCATCATGTTAATCAAGGCGAAATAAAAGGCCAACCTTGAATATCCGCGTAAAGGTCTACCAATAAACTCAAGATTGAGTGACTTTTTGTTTTAATCAAAAGATTTCATTCACCGATGAAAAAGTATATTGGCAAATCAGTTAATCAACAATGAGTAGAAGAGAAACAAATTAATCAAAAATGTAACAATTTTAAGTGAGAGACATGAAATGAAATACTGGATTAGTTGATTAAAAGACAGTCACAAATGATGGTCAAGGTGAATTAAGGTAATCACCATTCAACATCATCTCAACCTTTTACACTAAAGAAGCTCAATTTTTTTCTATCCCCAGTTCAATGTTAATCAAAATAATAATTTAAGCCTGAAATATTGTCGTAGAATTGATAATGATGATGATTGAGTTAACTATTTGAAGAGCGAAGAAAAAAATTGAGGTCATTTGCTGATGAATCCAGTTTTACGTGTAATGATGATTTCAGAATTGAAATATTGTTTATCCTTTTCGATCACCTGTGATCATCTTTTATTACATCTATTTACAGTTGATTTGAATGACAAATGATGCCAGCAGGATTGACAACACAATTTGCTACAATTGATCAATGTTTATTTTGGTATTTGATAATCAACAGTTAAAGCATTGAAATGAAAGGAAAGAGCAATTGAGACTCATTTAAGGCAATCAAAAATACAAGACTGACCAATTGATTGATTAATAAGCAATTGGTAGTAATAAAATTCAATTTTAATGACTAAATAGTCAGTATTGAGTGAAGTAAAGAGGTTCATCCAGACGATTGTTGACCAACATAATTTGAATAATTTAAACTCCATTTGTATCCATAATCGTTATTAACCTCATCATTGTCGTTCTTGTTATTATTAGAGCTGATCGAAGCAGGTCAAGTTCACAAGTTGGACCAGTTTTGAGAATCCTTTTTTACACAATTTTTTACTATTTTTGTCCATTTTTTTTCTTCACTTTTGTATTTTTTTCCTGTCTAAGTCTTCAATCAATTTTGGTGAATCTTTTGTTTAGGCCCAACCTTTGATTTATCCCTGACTGTTAACATGTAATTGTCAAATAATCAATTGATAAAAGCTGAGTGTGAAATGAAACAAAAGACTCGAGTATGTTGAGGATGAAAAAAGAGGTTTGATTAACTTGAAAATAGAAATGATTTTCATTGATCAAGTTAATCTGTTTTTAGATATTGTCTCGTCTTATTGCTGGTTAAACCATTTGTTGATTGTTGTGCGTGTTAACGTTATGAGGATAAATTGAAATCTTAAAATTGAACTTGAAGCTTAAAGGATTAGACAAGAACAAGAATCAATTGTTGATTTACAATCAACCTTGAATTGAATTGAATTCTGATATTGTTGATGAGGATGATTAAGGTGAGTGAACAACATCATCAACAATAGTAATTAGATCAACAGCAGCATCTTTTCAATTACTAACACATAAAAACGCAACTTTCTTGTCATTACAATGAAAATATTGACTGATTACCACCATCAATCAATAAGCAAAGCAAACAAGAGTATAAGAAATTGGTTGATTAATAATAATAGAGCAAAATGGTTAACCACTTTTGGATAATCAAGAAGTTGATATCACCAACAATCAACGACAATAATTGATCACTAAAGATTGGTGATCAAGTCTGGTTCAAGTCAAAGTCAAATGAAACTCGAAATACGACATTGATTAATATGGACAGTGAATATGTTTCTCATTATCATTGAATAATTAGTTAATTATTGCTATCGGTTTGGGATCAAAACTAAAGGTTAACAAACCATGATTGGAATACAGTTATTCATGAAAACCTTACTGATCCAAATAGAGTTCAATTAATTTGCAAACAAAAAATTAACCAACCATCAATTTCAAGGTGATAAACACTTTTTTTGGCAATTTAATTTAACATTCATTAAAAGACGAAAAAAAGGTTAGAAAAGTCAATTTTTAGTCTAAAATTGGCAGCCAAAAAAAGATGCTAAAGGTTGTCTAAAATTAAGTATTTTACATTTATCATTATGTGAGATTCATTGAGGTATATTAGTTTGATAATGGCAACAGTTAACTGGCAAGTGTCTACAATTAGTGAACCCTGAAACAATCTGACAATAATGGTTACATTTGGCCAATTATACATTACAATTATTCACTAAAATCATCAGCTGTTCATCTAATTTTATTATTCAAATTGACTATTGATGACTAATTTTCTGAGGCTAACCCTCAATCAGATAAGGTTAAAGGTACAAAACCTTAAATCAGCCTCAAATTGAACAACAATTTAGATCACTTGTGTTATTATTATAACAAGTAACAGATGATAATTTTTGTGTCTTATTTATGTATTTGTGACTTTTTGTGATCACAATTAGATGGAAATGTCAACCTTTAGAAGCATAAATTGACAAGATAAATTGTGATTGAATGCAGGCTTAGTCAGGTCTTTGCCTTAATCAGTCAACGGTTTGATCAAGTTTGTCGGTTAAATGATTAAATTGAAAAATATTTTACCTGAAACTGAAATGGTCGCTGAAACTCCAATTAATACTCCAGTGGCAAAGCAAAAATTAACAGCCATGTAATCAAATCTATCTCCTTGTTGAGTCCGTAATTTATATGCTGCTGTGGCTGCATCACCAAGAACCTAAATTAAAGGTAAACAATTAAAAGTTAACAATTGAGATGATAAGAGAAAATTGTGAAAATAATTGCAACAGGAAAAAAAAGTTGTCAAGACAGACAAAAGTCCATTGATTCATTCATTTCCTTCAACAAGGAAGTTTTGTTACGCTTTTACAGGTTTAATAAAGATAATAATGAAATAAGACAAAAAATGAGATCTAAATCAACAACAATTGCTAAATTATGATTCTAATTTCTAGCTACAAATGGTTAACCAGATCATCCTTCACTTCAACCATTTACTGGAATCAAAAAAGTCTTTTTTTCTGGTTTCAATTTTGAAGCTTCAAGTTTTCTGGTTTTCTGGTTACTCTTTTTACAACACGCTTTTTATGGGTAAAATACAAAGCTTTGTTTTGGCAATTAAATTAATGATAATGTTGAGATTGATAATGATAATTAATGTAAATATTGAGACACGTGAGATAATTGGGTGAAAATTATGTTAACAATTGATGTTTCCCTTTACTTTTAACTTCAAGATTAAGCTATCAGGCCTGAAATCGGGTGGAATAGTTTGTCCAAAGATTATGAAGAAACGGAAAATAACCATTGACCTTTTAGGACGAAAATTCAACAACGATAATGAACATCGTTTGTCATCATTCTGATCTTTATCATTTTCATTTGAAACATGACACGAGTTCATTGGCATTAGAAATAGCTTTATATGTAAGCAAGAGTGGTTAACCATGAGACTTGATTTTGTCCGATTCTTGAAATATTCATTAAACTACACGGCTAATTTAGATAATTAACGATTAGATTTATTATCCCTTTCAACTTCCCTGCTTAATCATTTCCTTGTCTAGATTATTGACTTTGACAATGTTTTAATTAACTGCAAAATATTGAATTAGTGATTTATTTCAGTAAATTATCAAGAAATGAAAACATTGGTTTCTAAAAATACATTTGTTATGATAGTTTTCATTGTCTGGAAAATTGTCATTCCATGAACAATGTTACATTTTTAACCTAATTAACCTATTGCGATTCAAATTATCAATTGATAATGAAAGTGATTTAGGGTAAAATAATTGACAAAAGCGATAGCTCAACAATCTGGTTGTGATTGGGTTAAAGTGTGCTTTTAATGTGCAAGTTACCCAAAATAACTTCACCTAGAAATGTCTATGTGCAGTCACAAGGTTTTAAATGATGTTGGAGATACAATTATAATTGCGAGTGGATTGGATCAAGTAAATTAAGTGGAAAATTTAAATTAAATTAAACTTACAACTATGAAAAAGGTACCAATCATCTCTGCAAGAAACTCTTTACTGGTCTGTGATGCCAGTGAAACTTTGACTCGCCTGGAGACTTCATTTGATCGGGATAAAATTGTCTTGGCTGATTGTTGATTAGACTCTGTTGTTGATGATGAGGACATATTAACACAGTCACAAAGCACCAGGACAAAGGTAAAGATGAATGTATACAATGGTTAAGTATAAGTGTTTAGGAGAGGGAAATGGTGAAGATGATGAAGGTGAAGATTTTGTTTAGCACAAAAGTGTTGTTCAGTTGCGAGATTTGATAGTTTTTCAAGTGAAGAGTGTTGAGAAAAGTGGAAACTGAACTTGAAGACACCGGTGTAATGAATGATGAACCAGATGATGATGTTGATGAAGATGATGAAGATGACGCGAGAGAAATAGATTGGCAGTTTAGAAACAGGATGCTGATAGTAAAATGAAGTTACAGTTAAATGATCAAGTTGAAGCTGAGATTCGATGATGAGGATCCTTTTCTGTCTGATGATGATTATCCCTCCTTCTGTCTCTTTCTTTTACCACATGATCCTTTCTCCCTCTTTCTTCTTCCATCTCACACACTCTCTCTCTCCTCTTTTCCCTCCTCTAACGGTTATCTTCTCCTTCTTTCCCCTTTACATTGAAACTTGAATTGTTCCAGTTTTTGCCATTAATCGAAATTAATCTGGACTTAATAAGCTTCTGATCCATTCTGTCTTTTTTTACCATCAGCTATCTTTTGTGATGTGAAACGCACCATCCAAATATATTACGCCCAGCCAAGAAAGGAAAGCAAATGGATAAATATAACAACAGGGTTTAGGATTGAATCACATCAACAGAATTGCCGTCCTATTATTCCCTTTCTGGTCACTTCTTGAAACCTGACTTGAGGAGAGAGAAGGGTTAGAATATTGTAATACTTGAAAATTAATATCAGCCATATTGAGATTGAGATTCAATTTTTCAACTTAAAATCTACTTTACCTTCATCACACTCCATTGTTTTGAGGATAAATGAAACTTGTTTGATTGCTGAGGTTGATTTTGATGGTTAGACTAGCCATTTTATTGTCAAATTCAACATATAATTTCACTTTGATTAAAATTGACCCATCCTTGAAAGGTGTCAACATGTGTTGTTTTCATTGAAAACAGTTAACTCTCTCAAAATGTCACAGAGTCATGGAAACCGAGTAAACAATTTTTCAATTCAGTTTTTTTAATTAGATTTTGAAAGGATCTTTTTAATTCCTTTCAATACATAAATATTCAATTTAAATCAAAAATATTGAGATTTAATCAAATTCTTTAAAGGTTATCTTACCTAATGTGATTTCTGAGCAAAGAACTTCATTTGAAGGATGAATAACACCACAAATAATTGACACTGAAGAGATCGACATTCTGGGGTTGATAAATATTGGGTTTCCATTCTTGATAGCGTTTTTGTTGACCAACTTAACCAGTGATGTAAGGTACAAAATACTAACATCATTTTTTGCGCGTATTTAAGGAGATTTACACAGATGCAAGTAATGAGTGATAAATAGGATAATTTTAAAATTTGGAAGATTAAAAGTTTAAATTTATGAAAAGTAAATTAATCTAATATAAATGGTTTTTTACTAAATCTTTTTCAAGTTCAGCTGAAATTATTTCAAGCCTTAATCCCTTTACGATTTGTCCGCTTAAAGTTTTTAAGCGTTTAATTTTTACCTTTAAACTCCAGTCTAAAATGTCTTTGGTCAGAAAATGTATCATTTTATGTAGGATAGTTACACAGACTACAAAATAAACATAAAAATTTGTTGATTCAGTTCAAAATTAACTAACAATTAAAATTGTAAATTAAAAATAATGAACCGTTAAGTCAATGAATTACGCTGAATCGAGCGCCATCCTGTGTTACAAAAATAACTTATTTAAATAATAGCTTTTTTTGTAAACACGAGGTGGCATTTTCCTTTTACGAGTAAAATTTATATTTTTATTAATTCTTTCATTTTAAACTCTTGATTTAGACGAATTTAATTTTCAATTTTAATTTCCAGATTTTTTATTAATCAATTAGTCAAACAGGAACGATTAATTAACCGAGTTTTATATTTTTGTGGAAATAGCTGTTACATTGATGTAATGATTGGTTTACTATCGATTTAAAGAAAAATGTAAGTACAATCCTAGGTGATTCACCTTTTATCGAGATTATCAAAAATGAAATTATTCAGATTACAGGTTGAGTAAATTGACAGAATTCAGTTAATTTTGATTCTGTTGATTGAATGAAATTTAAAGAGTCGCGCCTTTGCTTCAAAATGGCAACCAAGGGGGCGGTATGAGCCATCCAGGCATCTCAAAATGGTATATATTGAAGCTGCCACTTACTTGTTTCTTTCTTCTTCATCATCTTTTTTCAAGTGTTTGGAAACAAGCAAAATCTAATGCAGGCTAATTTCAATAGACTCCCTTTGCTCAATTTGAGCCCCATCGACTGTAAAGAGGACATTGATGAAGTAATTATTCTTTAAATAATAATTCAATTTGATTGTAACACATTCAATTTTACCCTCTCCTCTCCCATGTCTTGAACTGTTTTTGTCAACTTCTTGTCATCAGTTATTCTCATCTTCCACTTTCTCTTTTCCTCTCTCTCTCTCTCTCTTTCTCCCTCTCTTTCTTTGCCTCTTTCTTTTTTCCTCTCCTTCTCTTTCCATCCCTTGCACTTTTTAATATTTTTTTTCTCTTGTAACCACTCTCAACCCTATCCACATTTTGATTCAATGTACCTGATTCGCAATTTAACAATGTTTTTCTTGTGTTTCCTTCTTCTCTTTCCAGCGTTTCGAAAAGTCATACACACTGCTTCAAGAATTAATCAAAGGATCTTCAGAGTCAGAGGCTCATGATACTTTAATAGCAACTGTACGTTTTTATCTTTATGTGAATGTAGTTTTTTAACTTTTAATGATCAACAAATCTAAATCTACAACATTTATTTTCCAGGTCTCCAAAAGTACTCAAGATCATGATAATGTTTGTCTTGGATTATTGACCAGTATTCTTGTTGACCCACCAAACGCTCCTCGAGTAAGTAAACTTTGATATAATAATAACTATCGATTTTAATCATTTGTTTCCTTTCCTTTACAGTATTATCGAGATTTGACCTATGTTTCCAGAGATGGAATGAATCTTGTGATATCCCTCTTAAATCGTATTATCTTGGAAAGATATCCTAAACTACACGATGGGTGTCGTGCTCAGGTATGTACACTAATTTGTTAACTTATTTATTAGCTAACTTTGTTTCATCATTGTTTAACACATTTTTTCTCACTCTTTAATTGCAGTTGATTTGGGTTCTCCGCGAGTTAATAAAAAATTCTATTACTGCTTGTGAAACTATTGCTATAAGTTTACTTCGTTCAATTGCTGGCGGAGATGTATCAGCTAAAAATTTATGGTTAACAGAGAAAATGTTGGACCTTTTAATAGACAATCGTTCTTGGCTTGATAAAAACAGTTTTCTCATAGCCATATCAGTTTATACCTATCTTAGATTAATTGTTGATCACAGTTCACCTAGTTTAACACTTTTAAGACAAAAAGAAATTGATTTGTGCAGTTCGTTGTTGAGAGAAAAGTTTACAGATTGTCTGGTCATTGGACGGGATTTAGTCAGACTTCTACAAAATGTTGCCAGAATAACAGAATTTGAAAAAATTTGGAAAGACATTTTCAACAACCCAACTTCACTATCACCAAATTTCCAAGGCGTATTGCAACTTATGCATTGTAGAACCTCACGAAGATTCCTGCAATGTCGTTTGACTCCAGACATGGAAAAGAAAATTTTGTACCTTACATCACTTGTTAAGTTTGGTCAACAAAAACGTTATCAAGAATGGTTCCAACGCCAATATTTATCAACTCCAGAAAGTCAATCTCTTCGTTGTGATTTAATTCGTTACATTTGTGGTGTTATTCATCCTTCCAATGAAGTTCTTTGCTCAGAAATCATTCCTCGTTGGGCAATCATTAGTTGGATCCTTTCTTCATGTACCTCTAGTGTAGCTGCAGCTAATGCCAAATTATCATTATTTTATGATTGGCTATTTTATGACCCAGAAAGAGATAATATTATGAACATTGAACCAGCTATTTTATTGATGTTTCATTCTATGAGAAATCATCCACCGACGGCAACTGGATTATTAAACTTTTTATGTCGAGTAAGTCTTAGTCTTTGAAAGCTTTCCGGCTTTAAAAAATCTTTAAACTGAGAGCTCTTTTATATAATAACTGTTTACTTTTTTTACAGATTGTTACTCAATTCTGTCCCAGTTTAACACCTCAAGTAAAACTAGGAGTTAGCACATCATTATCACAAATTTTAGAGAAAAGAGTCATACCGTAAGATACCATCTGTTTTTATTCTTAATTCAATTTGTTTGTTTATTTCATTTTTACTAATTTTTTGTCTTTTATTTGCTACAGTTCTTTATCATCACTTTTTGAAAGCCCCAAATTGGATCGTGAGCTTCGTTTATTAATCAGAGAGACTTTTCCTGAATTTTGTAGTGCTGTTAGTGACCCCTTGCACAATTCAATTCCCGTTAATGCTGAAACAATCCCTATTCGTGATAATTCTGAGATAATCATTGACCCACCGAGAACAAATAATCACAATGATGTTGATACATCTGAAAATCGATTTAGTGACGATGAAGCTGAAGGTAGCTCAGGACCGAATGGTGGTTCTGTTCCTCATCCAGATGGGATCGATAAAAAATCAGTCACTTCTCTTGCTGAGAATAATATAAATTGTATAGATAAAAAAACAATGAATGGCCCAACAACCTTTTCTAAATCTGCCTACGAAACAAATCTTGGGCGCCTCAATGAGGAATTAAGGTCTACCGTAATAGCTCTTGAAGAGTCAAAGTAAGTAGTAATTAGTCTGCAATTCACGAAAGGCAAGATAATGAAATGTAATCACACAATTCTTATTTATTTTAGGGACAATGAAACTCGATGTGAAATGATGGAAAAAATTCTTCAATTAATTTTACAAGATGATGAATTCGGTATTGAAGATTCTCCTTTACCTGATTGTATTTTATATGCATTGCGTGAAGAAATTGCCAAATCAATATTTCCTGAATGTCCTGATGAAGAAGCTCTCGAGGAGTCTATTGGCTCTCCTTTGTTTGTTATTTTTCGCAATTTATGTCAAACACCGGAAGAAAATCCAAATAGAGTTCCTATTCTTTCTCTTCTTAACGAAATGTCATCAAGTCAGCCTTCCATAGGTTATCTACTTTTATATTACATGAAGGTTAGCAAAAGTTATGATGGGAAAGTATCACCTTATCGAGATTTTGCTAAATCTCTGGGTAAAGATTTAAAAAACTGCCTTCTCACCGATCTGAAAGCTTGCGCAGATTATGATGATATCAACCTATTCTGCTATCTGATACCAGATATATACAATCATTTCCCCATGATTGCCTTAAACAATCCAGATCTATTACATCTTATTGTATCCTGTATCGATTCAAGTCAACTCCAAGAACTGGTTTGTCTTATTTTACAAGGAAATTTAACTATGTTTCGTAAAGATGGTCTATTACCTCTTTTAAGTGAGTATTTTGAACTTCTATTTCTCTTTTTATAATCATCTTTAATAATATTAACTGTACTTTTATCATTTTTTTCTGGATTTCGCAGATGCTAGTCTAGAATGGGAAACTTTTGAACAGTTTTGTCTTTGGCAACTTTTTATCGCTCATTCGATGCCTGTTGAATATATACTACCTATCCTACCGAAATTAGAATTTCAAAGTAAATATTTTCAATAATTTTCTTACTAAATTTGTTAAGTTTATCAAATCAGTTTATTAATTCACCTTTATATTTACCATAGAACATTCTGAAGCCCTTACGAATATATTATTGCTTATCAAGCGAGAAGTACCGAGTCAAGAGCTTTTGAAGCACATAATCAGTCGTGATGTACGTGATAAAGACCATTTTGTTGTTTCTTTGTTAAAATATTGGACTAGTAATGATAATTGGGAGAAATTAGCTGAATTACTTGGCACGCAGTTAACTAAACCAAACTTGACTAAAAGGAAAAGGTAGCTGTCGTATTTTCTGTTAATTTGTTATAATTTATTTAATTAATTTTTTTACTTTCAGGCCTGCAAACCACAAAATTTCATTACCTAATAGTACAGAACAAATTTTAATTTATTTGGACCAGCTGAGGCAAACAAATATGAATAGTAGGTGTAAGTGTAAATTATTTCTTATTTTCTGCACGATAAATATTCATCTAACATCTTTTTTAATGTTGAAATTTTCATTTTCACTTTCTTCTTGTTTACAGTTTTTACTCATGAATCCATTCAAAAAGCTTTAATATCTTCCCAAGAGCTTAGCAGTGATTCTCAAAAAGCTAGGTAAGTTGTAAAACGCGCTGAAAATAATTTGCGGTTAATTTTTATCAATTTTGCGCTTAGAGAAAGCCTTGAAGTTCAAATTCACTTTCATGTTAAACTATGCAAAATAACGCTTATCAATAGACTGAACTATCTGAAAACATTATCAACTTAACAGTAGCAAACTTATCCCGTGATGCGCAACTATAAGAGATGTAACCCAATATTATTATATAAACTCTCGATGAGTATCTTCCAATTTTTGACCATTATCAAAAGAGATGTCTGATTGAATTGGACATTTCATGGATACAGTTATTCAAATTTTGAAAGATTTCTAACTCAAGAGATTAATTCGCATATTTGAACAAAAATTAATGTTTTTTCTTCTTTTTTTCAGATTTAGTGACCTTTTTGCATTGATAGAAGATCATGATTCTAAACCAAAAAGAGGGAAAACGTCAAATAAAAAAGTAAAAGCTAAACCAATTGAAGAATCAAATAGTGATACTGAAGCGTCTGAGGTGAGTTTCATATATTCATGAGTCTTTAATATGCAATCAGATTCATCGAAATTATTTCAAACACAAAAATATTGTTTGTTTAACTCTTAAGTGGTCATAACATTGTCAACTAAAGGGTGTTCAATGTAATTGCTTCCAAACTGGCGGAGCTAAAATTTTGATATCACACGATAAGCAAGATAACTAGAGTGACATCGCAATAACAAAGGTGAAGGATGAAAGGTTAAATGTGATTTTACTCTGGTTATCTTGTCTTATCATGTTTTTGATTGTGATTATCAAAATTTAAGCTCCGCCAGTTTGGAAGTAATTACATTGAACACCCTTTACTTGTATTGAAATTTGATACAATATTTACTCCATAAAAATGATTTTCATAAAAAATCAATAGATGGCAATTTTTATACCAGAGTTTAACAGCAATATAAACTAGATAAAAATATCAAATTTACGTTGATCATATATTAATTTACTTTTTCTCAGGAGGAAACAACACCAGTGAAAAAAGAGAATAAATCATCGACTCCTAGAAAAAAGAGGAAAACTATAGTACCTTCAGATTCGGATTAGTATCCGGACAATATTTATGTAATAATTGTTTTCTTTAACATCTCATTTCATTTCATTGCTTATAAATTCGAATGAAATCGTCATCCTCCTTTTCTTGTGTTATAAGTCCTTCTCATCAATCAAAAGACAAAATATACCACCACTTTGATTACAAACAAACAACATCATAATTCCCTCATAACGATCAAAATAAATCATCAAACCATGACATTGTAAATACTATGCAATCATTCTTACACAAATGTTAAGAAATCATCAACTCTAAATTTAATAAATTGTTTACGCTTTTGCTATAAGACAAGCTATGATATTTTTCAACATGAGTGTTTGTTCATTTCAAATTTTCCATTTTTATACCAATTTCATCCAACAATTGTGTCCATCTATAATTGTCTTGTTACCGGAGTCGACCTAAGCTGAGATTGATAACGAATGGTTCAAAGATTGAAAAGAGACTTGATCTTGTGTTCATCATTGCTGACCTATGAATGGAAATCCCTCAGAAAATCATCCCTTGGATCAAGAAAGAGCGGAAAAAGCTCCAGAAACTTGTCTAGGATTAACTCGTCAAGAGTTAATCAAAACACAGCGATTAACACACACTTCAATTGTTTTTTGTGTAGTTTATTTAATTTTGAGCATCTATTTATTCAGCTTATACCTTATTTCAAGTTTAAAGGTCAACTCACCTAAATTGGTCAACATTGATTCAAAAATCATTTTCCGAATATTAATTCCCATCTTTGCCTTTAACTTTCTTGGTAAAGCATTAACATTCTATTCGTCTTATACTTCATCTGCTGCAACAATGAGATTTGCTGCCTTCTCTCAATTAGCTGCAATTTTTCTGGATATTTACTTCTTTCTTAAAGTAATTGGAGAAGGTAACTAATAAAATTAATTATCCTAATTACATACTTAGTCAAGTTTTGACATTTTGCTTTTTTATCTTCATTTTTAGGTCACAGAATTGAAAGTGGATTTATTTACGATGATCTTTTATTTGTATTATTTGTGTATTTCTGTATCATTTTTGACATAATTTATTTGTTCTCGACAATAGTTTTAAGCATACAATTAACTATTTATGGATTAATTGTCAAGCCTAAAGTCCAACTAATGACTGGATCATCGCCAATAGGTTCAAATTGAATCTAGTCTAAATTAGGATATTTAAAAATCGAACCTTCAAACTATTTAAATTAACATTTCAATAGAAAATCGTGAAAATTATTCTAACTTCAACAAATGTCGTTAATTAACAATTTTATCAATGCAATTAAAATTGTAAAATGTCAACATTTAACTACATCAAATCAAAGGCCAAATTTATTATGTTCAAACATTATGAGTATTGAAAAGAGGATGATTCAAGAGACTCAAGAATGTTAACTTTTAGCTGTTTTAAATTATCCCTTTTGCCTCTATTGAATTTAGCTCTTGAGAACCCAAACCGTATTCATCATTTCCCGTTTAAAATTAATTATCAGAGCAATCAACAGATTTTGTTTATAAACTCTTGTTTATAAATTATGTTAATAGGAAAGGAGAGGATAAGTTACGGAAGCAATTGAGATAAGATTAAGATCATTTGTTTCAATTAATCTAATAGTAACAATTTTCGGCAGTTAATCAACAAATTTTTTTAAATTTATAAGTAAATCTCACTTGAAGTAGAGTTTTTGTTTTTGTTTGGCTGAACTGTACATGGTAGTTTACATACTTGACCTTTTCAACAAAAAAACACTTTAATGGCTTAATTGAGAGTTGCTTAGTGATTGAAACCTCGATCACTTTAAGTAGTATAACCATAGCTGAAATTAAAATCTTGAGGTCTTGAGGAATAAACTAAAGCATGAGGAGGTTTGATCAAATGTCCTTGATTCGGAGAAGGTGTTCCTCGTCGAGAATCACCTCCTCGAGTATAACTATCAGGTGTTGATCCTCTTTCATAGTTCATGGAAGATTCGCGTTTAAGAAATCGTTTTCTGGATACTTCTGAGCTTTTACCCACACCTTTACCTGAAGATGCCTCTTTGGCAGGCTTGGAAGATTTTTTCAAAGAAGCTTTGGCCATTTCAATTTCAACAGAAGACGGAGCTGATCGAGATAAAGATGGTGTTACTGAGGCAGTGTAACCTTGGTGAAGAGAGCGAGGATGAGTTTGTTGCGAATGTTGAAATGCTGGCAAGTTTGATGATGAAGATGCTGAAGGAAGATGAGGTTGAGATGTGATAACTTGAGATTGTTGGGAATGGGAAGAAATTTGATGATGAGGAGGAGGCTGATGAAATTGTGGTTGTTTTTGTTGGTAATGTTGCTGCTGATGTTGCTGTGAACGGATTTGTTGCTGATATTGTGGCTGATTTTGGTGTGCTTGGCGAAGATGCGCTGCTTGCTGACTACTTTTGCCCTTTGCAGACCTGTAGGGACCACTTTGTTCATGATAACTTCTTTGATATTCACTTGGAGGAGTAACTATTTTAGATTCAATTTCGACGTCATTTTTTCTCTTCTTTCGATTATCTTCCATCTTCATTTCAGTCAATCCTCTTTCAACTGTGTATGGTGTCGCGTCTTGATGAGGTTGATGGTGAGCGGTTGAGATATCATACAGATGATGTTGACTTGCCAATGGAGTACACTGATGATCCGATTCAAAACTTGATGCTTGTAACCGTTGAGATCTTTGTTCTGTTTCTTGATAATTTGAATATTGAGAAGTTAATGATGATTGCTGATAATATTGCTGTTGATGTTGACTAGGGTTTCGCTTAGTTATTTCAGAAGTTTTCTCAGATTGACTATGAACTTGTCCTTCTGTAGGCTTTTCGATTTTATTTGGTTGTTGAGAGTCTACTAATTTACTTGAATAAATCTTTTCTGATCTCAATTGTTCTTGACGAAGTTGCTCTTGACGAAGAGCATGAATATTAGTCCGATACAGGCGACGCTTCTAATGAAATTAAGATAAAAAATTGTAATAGTTAATAAATGAAATAAATAAATAGAGTAGTTAGTGTAGCTTTTACTTACTTCAACAAATCGTTTCCATTTTTCACTAGCAGCTCTTGCACTTTCCAATTGTCGTTGTTGAGAGACTTGTCTCTTTTTGTAAACAACTTCAATAACAATTAAAGCAATTCCACCAATAATCCCAGCTCCAAGAAGTATGAAAACTCCAGCCATATTGCGAAGTCCTAAAGTCGTTGGAACAGGATCATTTCGATTAAGACACATATCATTATCCTCTGAGAGAATCCATTTATTATCTAGGTCAGTCATGAAGCCTGATTCGTGCATAGAAAGAATAGCTGAATTCATTTGTTCGGTCCAGAAAGAGTTTTTAACCAAACCAATTCCATAACCAGACCGACCAAACTGTTCAGCAGCAGTGATTAAATCACAATCTTTTGCCGCTTCCCATTCCAGACGAGCAGAATCCCAAAACAGTGCAGAAACTTCATCTAACAATAAATAATAAGAATGATAAATAATAAATAATGAATAATAAAGTCACAAGCTGTAAATAGATAATAATTTTTACCATTTTTAACAGCAAAAACAGCATCTTCAACAGTAGGATAATTTTTATCAAGCATATACTCGTACATTTCCTTAAGTTCAACCTGTCTTTTAAAATACATTTCAACAGCACTCCCTTTTACAGTTGCATAAGTGAAGCTTTCCGTTGGATTACGAAGACGAGGATCGTTGATACCCGTGAGAGAAGTCGTTGGTCTTTCAAGGACTAGAAAAGCAGCTAAATTGGCAGTATAAGAAGCAATAACTATCATGGCAAAACCAGCCCAAACCATTCCCAAAACTCGACCTGAGAATGATCTGGGTGTGCCTTCACCAATACCAGAGTTAAGCAAAACACCCCAAGCAAACCAAATAGCAGAAGAAAGGTTGAGTGCATCTTCCTCTGTAACATCAGAGTTGGGAAGCTTATATCGGCCAAAAGGACTGAAACGATCTAAAAGGTACAAAGCTAAGGCCACAACATGAACCGAAATCATAACTAATAACCACAAACTTTCTTCAAAAGGCTGCAAAAATGACGCTAAACCAGCACGTTTGGGTAACTTTTTTTCCAATATTGTGATTCCCTGATATTTGAAAGGTTTACTGAACTCTATAAAAAGAGAGCGCTCAGGGTTTATTGTTAATGGAGCCACAATCATATCAGCTTTCTTGTAAATCAAATCACCAACTAATCCAGTCCATACTTTAGGTTCATTTGTACCATTTACGTGTTCAAAATTACCATAAACACCATCAGCAACTTGGTACAATGTATAAGTAAAATTTAGTCGTCGAGAGAGATCGACGAGGAAATCGATGCAATAACCTGAGCAACAATACATTCGTTCGACTCCAGTGGTTGTATCAGTTTTGCCACAAGGAAAAGTATCACCGATACATTCTTCTGCCCCTGAAACGGGACCTTGAACAAAAATGAAGGGCTCTTCTTCGAGTGTAACTATTCGCAAATGATTTGGGCGAACATAACCAAGAGGTTGAGTTGTTTGGCCACCAGGCCATGTAATCTCATTGATATTCAAAGAAAGGTGCATTTTCATTTTAGATTGAGAAAAGGCATATTGACCAATAGTCACTGAACGACCTCTGACACGATTGATAATTTCATATTCGGCATCAATGCGATCACCTTTACCATCGAATGCAACTCTACCAGTTTTACCATAAAGAAGAAACTGTTTTCTCAGATAATTGTAGAAAGTTGGTCCAGTTTCCCATGAATTAGCTGACAAATCGCCACATTTTGACGGTGGACGGGTAACATTTTCTATTGGTAACATATCACGAATGGCCAAGCCAATAATGTAAATTGAATCAACAATATGACTGGCTCGATTGTTTGCATTGAACAATTGCAAGGCTAAAACGCCATCAGGAACATTTGTGGCTCTAAGTGCTGCCTCTGAAACAATCCAAACATAACCGGGTAAAGTCATATTTAGTTTAAGAACTTCTAAAAATATTGATTGGGCTTCTAATTCATTGGCATACAAGAGGTAAACACGACATTGAATTTCTTCATCAGCTTCTTCCAATTCGTCAACTATATCTGTCACTCCTGTTTCATATTCAATCACTGAACGAATTTGAATGCCTGATTTTTCAGCTAGACTTTGAAATCGAGTAAAAGTTGTTCTCCCATCATAATCAGCGCCGTGAATAAAAACAACATGAGAATAATTAAGAGTAGTTAGCATTTCAATCCAAACATCAACTTGATGGGAATAAGGCGGAACTGTGCGCAAGTAGACAGAATGCATATGAGTATCCGATAGATAACTGTTTCGATTAGATAGTCCAATTACTGGTATATTCAAAAAATCACAAGTCTGAGAAATAACAGATGCTTCGGGTGAGTCAACATCATCAATAACAACAGCATAAACCTGAAAGGAAAAGAAAGTAAATTTGAATATAACAATAATAATTATGATTTCTTTATGATAACAAGATTACAAAAAAATACCTCTGATTTAATCATTTTCTCACAAAATTCTTGAACCATTCGAACCGGATTAGGTGAAGGTGGATTACTAATTGCATAAAGTGATACTCCAGGTGGAAGTACATTGGGTTCCATGTTGACCTCTTCGATTGCCTACAAGTTTAGTATGAGAAGCACAAAGTTAATAAAATAGATAGAGAATCAAAAAGTAAAAGGAAAGCTTTAAAATTTACCTGAAAAAATTGGCCGATACTCTCACTTGTTTCAAGAACAGCACCAACATTGATTACTTTCAACGATTCAGATGAAGACATTTTATTTTGATGATGACCTGAGGAAGGCCAGCGACCAACTGTCAATGTAGGAAACTGACATATCAAACTGATAGTCAACCATAGAAGACTCCAATCAAATGAACAATATGAAAATATCATCATACTGTTGATCTTACAGCTTCTTATGAAGATAAATTGATAAAAAACAGTTGACTAGACCAAAATGAAGTTGAATCACTCAAAATTTACACATGATAATGTTGTTATTTATACTTGATTTATAAGAATAATTATCCATCCATTGGAATGAATAAGGGAAGCGAAAGTAAAAGTATAAATAAAGCAAGACTTCAGCAGATAATGAAGATAAAAGAAACAAACGAGTTAACTTGATGACATTGCATGAGATGGTAACATTCACAAGGAAAGATTCAGAGGATGCTATAAAATGTTCAGTTGTATATCTTCGCGGATGCCTTTTCATCCATCTTATTGGACATGGAATCATTCCTAGCATCTTTTCAGATAAAACTCATTTGAAAAGAAAGGCATAAAAGGCGTCAAAATTGCTACTCTTTAGTTACCATAGCAATAATCCTTTATAAAAAATATTTGTTATCAAATTCAAATCTGAATTAATTATCATAAACGTTTCATTAAATTTTCATTAAAATTTTCTTTTCCACGAAAGCGTCAACGGTAAATCTTAACTGATGACTCTAAATAATCTAGATAAATAACATTATTTAAATGAATGAAAAATCAATCGAATAACCTTTTTTTTCATAATTGTATATTCATTTTCATATTGCATACAATGTGATGCATAATTAATAAATAGGATTTACAAATAAATTTGATTTGTATACAATAATGTTGGATTGATAAAGTATATGCAAAAACAAACTGAAAATACAATGATATTTGTGTGAAGAGTTGAATGTCTTGAAGGATGAGAATAGAGATGAGGATCAGAAATACATTGAATTGATCCAGTGCTTCTGGTTTTGAATAAAAAGTATGGACTTTTAGAGGAAAACAGATTAATTACATTTGATTTCAAGACTAAATTTAAGGTTAAATCTGGTTGAAAATTAAACAGTTTAGTTTAAAACAAGATTAAAATAGGTTTCTCGACTACCAATTGAACTAACAGTTTGCCTATTGAGTAGTTTACAGAGATGTACCTGTTCAAATTTTACAATTTATGGAGACAAATCAACGGTTAAAAGCTAACAATTGTTAAGAATTAGTTTGTTACAGTAAACAATATAAGACAATTGAAACAAAAATGATTAAAATGATACTCTGTTTAAAATACTCGTTAATTTGATCTACAATTTTGTATCTTTTTAGGTGCTTGGTTGTATTGTAATACCTTTGGTTCATTTGTAGCTGAAGCAAAGAATAGAAGATTTCAATTTCAATTTGATTAAGTTTATAAGAGACACTAAAAATTATCAGTTTTTGTTTTTGTAATCAAAATGGTAACAATTAGTAAATTATTTGGATAGTATAAATGGTCAATCACTTTTGAATTAGCTCCAATAGTTTAAACAGTTCAACTTGAGATTTATGTTTGAGTTTAAATTGGGTTTGCTGGTCAATTGAAATTGAATGTGTTTACAGTTTTAACCCGTGTTACTATTAAATTTGATTTAATAGAGAGACAAATGAGTTGATTTAACAACAGAAAAAACAAGTTGTTTTCATAAATTAATAACACTTTGTATTTAACAATCTTACATTTGTATAAGTAAATATTTATAGAGATTTAAATTGGATTCTGGTTTTGGTGTAGATAAATCATTTGAATCAACCAGTTGTGAATTAGTAACACGGTCAATTATTACATCTTACAACAACAATAAATTGTGCAGATTTGACAAAATATTGAAACAATAAAACGGATAACTGTCAACACTTAAATGAAAATGATTGAATGCAAAAGAAAAGCTCATTGATTAATACAGTTACAATTTAAATGTGCATTATTGTTTCATTTTCTGTATTTTAAATAATTATATTAATAATTATTGTGACTGTTGATTTGGTGATAAAAATACCATGGAAAGATGAAATGGCAATGGATTAATGATGATTATACAGATGATGATGGTTAGTTACATACAATTGTAATCACTTGGTTATTTATGATTTTCTTTTAAATATTATATCTTTCTGATTTCAACGATATCATCAAGAAAATGAACACCAATTAACCTTTTTTCATTGAAATTGTGCTTCTCTTGATTATACTTTTTTGGCCTTTTCCTTTGAGTTAATCATTTGTCACTTGATTTGGTTAGACTTATTATCTTTGTACAAGTTTTTTGCTTGATATTTCAGTATAACAAAATTAATTCGGCTTATGAAGTTTGGTTTAAGGTTTTTGGATTTCATTTGAATTAAATTGTTAATGGAATGGATTCAGTGAGCTTTGATCCTCTTCTTCGTCTTTGCAGGTTAACTTGGCTACAGTTTAATCAACTGTTACTGTCTTTTTGTATAAATTGCTTGGGGTTAAGTAGACAATCGATTAAACCAGAAGTCAAAGTTGATAGTTTATGAAAATTTTGGCTTTTCTTTGTGGATAATGTTTGAGTGGTTATGATGATGATGGTGGTGGTAATTATGAAGTTGATGATGGATATTATCCTGAACAAAGTGAAGATGGAAGATGAATGAGGCATCAAATTATGATCAATTACCTTTGAAATGCCAATTGAAACGTTATTTTCAATTCTGTTAATCAGATACTCATATAATGAATACCATTCCCCTCCATTTAAGAGGTGCATCTGCAAACCAGTTTTCACCATTAATTTGGTCCACGAGTCAGATTAAATCAATTGAATCGTAACAAGAATAATACGAATATTAACAATAGCTATAAAACATTCTTATTTTGTTCCTCTGAGTACAAACATTTGCTTAGACAATCATAAGCATCAGGATTTGGAGCTGCTATTATTTAGCTGATTATCACTTTTGCTTGAAAAACAGCCTTTTCTTGTTTTCCTTTTTCCAGTTCACGTTGAAATTCAAAGTAAAAGACGAATCAAAATTGTTATTGATGATATAAGTGAAATCAATTTTCAATTTCCAATCCTTGAACATCTGTTAAAAGCTTGATTAACATCTTCAACACTTTTCCGTTTTAATTCCATGTTCCAATTATTTCTTTTCCTGGATTAGGCATAGCATTTGATTCATCATATTGGTTCAATTTTGCTGCATACATAACAGATATTTGTATATTTATGTGAATATGTATAATAATAATTTTGGCTTGAATGCATGGTTTCCATTCAATTTTTAAGATTATTAATAGTTAAGATCCCGGAAAGTGTGATGGACTGGTTCCACTGAATGATGAGCCACCAGAAGTAGGTGTTATTTTGGTCCCTAGTCTTGACAGTCTGGGTTCAAGTACCAATGAATGTTGATACAGTTCATCATCAGATAAATGCCTTGAAGTGTCCAATAAATAGTTGATTGCTCGAGGATTCATTTCAATTTTGTAAGGTGTTTGTTGATATTGGCGAACCTCTCTTATCACATGAGCAATCTAAATAAAGAAATAGCAACAATGAAAGGTTAATTATTAATTAAATATAAAGATTTCATTACAAAATGTGTAGGCAAAATCAACCATTGAAAAGATATTTTAAATCTTTCTGATAATCAATAGATTATCATACCTTTTCAATGTATTTTTATTCACAATTTTCATTTGATAACATATCATTAAAGCAATTTTTTATCATCATTCCCAGGCAAAATATAATGATTGAACAACAATAATTTTTTTTGTATTCATCATAAAATCTATAAGCAAATACATGCACAGTATGAATTAACTGGATACTGTTAATGTTTGAATAAACAAAAACTATACAAAACGTAGATTCACAAATATCTACATTTTAATGTAACTAAATACACAAAGACAAAGATAGATGAATTTCATCTTCCATCTTTGGTGTTTTCAATAGATTAACCCAGAGGTTGAGAGTCTTGAAATTGCAACTGTGTAAGCAAATATGAAAAGAGACAAAAACACTGGCTTTTAATATTTCATTTATACATTGTATGAACTTCATAAAGGTCAATGAAGTTGGATTTAACGTAATTGAATGTAATATAATTACATAATATGTTGACTGGTATTCAGCGCAGTTATATTATCATGCTTATCATTGAAAGTTCAACGAAAATGTAATGATAATTCAACAATACGCAATATAATACTATACATAATATATAATGATATAATCTGAATGAGAGAGAAATGCTATAAACCTTTCAAAGAGATTAGGATAATTGATCTGAGCGTGAAAAATAATTTGATAATCATGATTATGACGATGACAGAGGAGAGAAGATAAAAAATAACATCAATTGCAATTGTATAATGTCATTATTATCAAATTTCACTTCATGGGATTAGTTCTTATACTATTTACCCAGAATTTTACCGAAAAATAGCTTTTAAATTTATTAATTTTTGTCGTAATTAATAATCAAATTGACAGAAATTTGATATTTTATGTTGAATCTCTTTAGCATTGGATTTTGATTACAATTAGGTTAAATTTTGTAAAAATCTTGCACGAAAAAAACGCTGTTTGATAATAATTGTCTGACAATGGGACATTTCGGGAAAGTGACATTTAGACTGTATTTAGATATATTCAGATGAAATTAATCTAACTGGAATGATTAGGAAAACATCAGTTAATAACATTGTTACATGTTCGATAATTATTTTACTTAAATTATATGATTAGCTACTGTATTTATAGCAATCAGACTATTTTTGTATCGATTGATTGATTTGATTGAGATTACAATTTGGCATTTGTTGGCATAAATTTCCGGCATAACAATAATTTGTTATACATTGTTACAATTTTAAAGCTGATTGTTCCAAATTTTAGCCTTTTCACTCAATAGTGATAATACCAACAATAATGAAATAGGTTATTATTGATCCTTAATATTATCATTGTTACGTTTTGTTATGAATGCAAAATCTGTTAGGAAGGGCTTTTTAATGATGAATGGGATAAAAATAATGATACTAGTCTAACAGAATTTTGATAAAATTTTGTTGAATGATGCTGCTGCTTGATTAACTTGATTTTTTGCCTTCATGATCAAAGAGTTTCATTAGAAACAGGAAAAATAACTAAAATTATATTTGTAACTGTTGAGGTTATGTATGAAGATTGGATGAATGGAAAGGAAGATACTAGATATTAATAGTTTGGCTTGTTTGCTTTGCTCAGTCATTTTCTCTTCATTTTTTTGCTGAATAAAAATGAGTGAAAATTAACTGAATGACTTTAAAAATTAACATTCATGCATTGATGAAAATAATCATTGAACCGATTGAAATAGTCAAATAATGTTTACCATTCTCATCTTTGAGAAATTGAGTAATCCATCTTCAGTGAAATTTGGTGTTCCCTCTTCAATGAAAGATAAATCTGTTAGATACATTCCCAGATATGGTATGCAGGGTGGATCACAGCGATGCAAGGCTTCACGCATATTCCTAAATCGTCCATCAGTATTGACTAATGATTGTAATTTGTTTATACTTTGTCTAACCTGTGAAATTTAAAAAAAGCATGAAAATAGAAGGTAAATAACTAATTCGTTGTCGAGAGTTTCCAGAGAGATTAAATGAATTGGAAAAGATAGAGTACAGGTACCGTTTTTTTAACACGTTCCCAGGTCCGTTTGAGTCGATAAACTGACGAATTAGTGAAGGCAGCACAAATTTGAAGAACTCCGTTAAAATTGTGAAACATTCGACAAATGTCAGCTACGGCGGCCCATTTTTCAATGATCATAATACGTTTTTGCATATCAGTGGCTCTCATTATTTCAGAGGCAACCAAACGAGAAACCTCATTGAACCGTCGAGTCATCAATAGTATATGAGGTGCTCTAGTTGCTCTATCTGATTTCATCCATGCTTGACCGAGAAACTCTTCACTTTGTATTGAGATGAAAATCTTATGGTCAAGGTAAGTCATTGATTCAGCTATTTCCATGGCCGACACAGTGTCAAAAGTATCTTTACATCCCATCTGTGGTGGTGCCAGTAAAACATCAAGATCAACCTTTTTAGATGAATCTTCTTTCGATATCATTGTGAGCAATTGACTAGCAGCTTTATGTTCAGCAGGCAATAAACTTGAATTGTTGACAAGTTCTTCAAGAAATTCTGTTGTCATCTGCATCAGACGAGGATCACTTTGAAAATCTTGCGAATGTTTAGATATCCAATGCCTAAGAACATTTAATACTCTCATTGTAGCAGCTGTTGATATAACTGATTCTCGTTTCACTCGATTTGGTGTTGTTGGTATCTTTAAATCTGACCCAACGGCACTTGGATTTCGACTACCACGTTGAGACTGTTATATGAAGAAAAAAGTTGAATATTAGAAACATGCAAGAAAATAAAAACAAGAAATGAATGTTTTTTCCATTAAATTAAATTCACTTACTCCATATAATTCAAACGCTGCTCTTGTTCCTGGATCAGGCGGGTTACTTGATGCTGCTGTGGCCACAGCGAAAGCAGATGCAGCTGATGCAGTTGAAGAGCGACGAGATGAAGCACGAGATGATGTAACTACCACACCAGCTTTTGACGACATTACTGGAGTTTCTGGAAGTTGAAAACTACTTCTAGGCGTTGAAAGAACTGTTGTTTCCGTTTGGAATGAGCTTCTCGGTGTTGTTGATGTACTTGCATAGCCAGTGCTTTCAGTATCACTTGAACCTCTTTTACCAGTTGCACCGCGAACTTTAAGATATTGTGGACCAGATGATGTACTCTCCCCACCTCCACCTTTGACTGAATTTTTGTCTGATGAGGTTGACCCGCGACCAAAAAATTTGGGCGATGATATACGAGATGGGAGGATGAAAGACAATGTTGAACCTGATGGGACAGATGTTGTATGAGTTGGTGTGGTATGAGTTGAACTTGGGGCACAAATGGAAACTGATGCTCGGCCTTCATGGTGATGATGATGGTGATGGTGATGATGTGAGTGATGTTGTGGTGAAGATGAGGCTGACGACGAAAGAGAAGATATTGAATTTACCAATATTCCTTTAATTGGAGAAGGTGTTGGCGATTGGGTTACATTTTTGCAAATATTCTTATTACATGTACTGAAATTGACATTAGTTGAATTTTTACTAATCTTGTTATTATTACGTGTATTTAGAGGACAGTCGTTTTTGGTGTTATTGCTACTACTGGGTTTATGGTTAGCAATATTATTATTACTAGCTGAAGCTGTAGGTATATTGTTGCTACTTTCATCAGGACTTGTATTTGTTACTGTATTGGTGTTAGGACTTTCAGATGTAGGCAATTCTTGAGGAGCATCTTTATTAACAGGACTTGGTCTTGGTGAGCCACTTTTAGAATCAGCACTTCCCACTAAGGTTCCTAAACTTGCAGCAGCACTAATAATTGTTGGCGATGTCGGTGAGCTTTGATCTGCTTTAAGAGTTTCACTTGACTGACTGTGACTAGGTACACTCAATTTATCCTCGGCTTCCTGGAAACTTTCATTTTCACTTTGAGGATCACTTTCACTAGTGTTACAAACACTCGAGTCTTCAGATGAATTCTAAAAAAGAAGAGAAATATTCAAATTGATTAGTTTCAGTGCAAATAAGAAATAAAAAATGCAAAAGACAATAAATTCATAGTTCATCTCTAAAGTTTATCTTGATGAAGTTTTGCAATGATAATTCAAGCGATTTACCTATTGAGTATCATTTCAACGAATTCAAATCATGAGAAATAAACATGAATAAATTGATTGATTGATTCAAATTAACACATCTTAAAATAACCGTTTGTTAACAGTCAGAAGATAACAAAAGCTAAAGCCAATGACTTATTTGTTTACTTCCACTATGATTGGTTATTGGATAAGCAACCAAAAGATTGCATAGGCAACTTTATTCTAAAAATCCTTTCATTGTTAAAGAAACTGTTAACCAGAATTGGCAAAACTGGTAATTATTGCAATTTTTTATCAGTGTTTTTAGATGCGAGCCTTAAAATTATAACTCACCTGTTCTTTATCGGACTCAGTTACAAAATCTGGATGAAGAAATGAATCAGGAACTTCTGGGCTTGGCGGTGGGGGAACAGGAACATTAATCTCTGGTCCAGGTGATAAAAGTCCACTTGAAACCGGATCAGTAGTAATTGTTAAACGTTGAGAATTCATCTGTTCTTCAGCTGATTTAGCAAGACTAGAACGCGTTCGAGCTTGTTCCTCTTCAACTGTAAACCAAATGAAAAAAATAACAATTAAACAACAACCAATAACCAAAATAAAATCAACAAAAACATCAACCACTTTTTCAAATTATCAATACATTGGCCAGTAAATTTACAAGATGGCAAGACATAAATGCATTTCTTTGAAAACATCAAGATTTAAATTAAATTTCAACAAACATTAATTAATTCAATCTGATTATTTCTTGTTAATTAACAAAACTAAATTATTAAAAAAGTCCGGTAAATAAATAATTGTACAACAAAAATTACATTGATTAATGCAATAACCATGTTCCATTGGCTAAAAGCATAAGAAGCAAAGTTAACCCAAACAGTGAGAAGAAAAGCAAATCTAGAAATCGCGGTTAACTCAAATACCATTGGGAATGAAAAGGTAAAAAATGATTTCAATATGAAATGAAAAACGTAATATTAGAATAGAAACAAAAAAAGTGAATTAAATAAATTGAAATTTGAGGACAAATTTCCAATGGAAAAAGGTTAAAATTACAGAAAAAAAACAACTAAAAAGCCAACAAGTTGAATGTGCAAATATTCATCTAATTGTACAAACAAAAAAATGCTGCAAAAGACAATCTTAATCAAGTTTAATTTCATTCTCTGCTTGTTTTTTTTACTATCTTTTATATTATATTTCTGTTCCATTTCCTCCATCCCAAAACTGTATTCTCACTGAATGATGAGAGAGCTGCATCATGGTGACCTTGATTCCCTGGATTCTGGATAACTTAAATGTTTAATATCTAGGTCACCGGGCCAACCTAACCCAGATCATCATCATCTTCATCTTCTCAATTTCTTCATCAAACAGATGAATCCATGGCTTTCACCCATAAATGATTATCAACATCTATCGCCATTCTCTATTCATTCAATACTCAAATTATTGCTGCTTCAAAAATCAATCTTTACAATATAGTTTGTTTCTTTCCATCATCGCAATCATTTTGGCTGCAAAGCATTTCATTATTACATTTGCAGAAGAGGCAAAAACCCAAAAAAGACACCAAAAAATTGAACAAACATTTGCAAAAATAAACTCTTTTGCAAGCTTCACAACTCGGATCATCTTTCAATTGTATCTTCATTTTGTGAACAATTATCTTAAAAATCTGGTTTCTACTAGAAATTTTTCAACTCTACTTCTTCCAATTCAAACTAACTGTTTCAATGCAATTGGTAAATGAATGCAATTTACAGAAGAGTTTTTTGCTTCAATTCTGGCTTTCAATGTTTGCAAATTTGAAAAGGTTCAACTTGATATTTTACGACATTTCAAAGATGAAATATTGGTCAAGAAAAAAAGCAAACCTTTTGAATTTATTTCTGCATCTCGTTGTTGTCTCCTTATAACGAATGTTATCTCATCTTTTTGATCTTGAGTTTTCAATTGCACGTTTTATTTTCACATGATATGTTCACAAAGGCAAGAAACGCGAAAATAAAAGAGTGAAAAAATGATTAGATTTTGGGTTTCCATTGCAATTGACAAAAAAAACATTTTCACATCAAAACTGGTTAACAATAACTAATGATAATTTATATTGATTGATTGATGATTGGACAGAGTACTTACATTTACGGTAAGACAGTCTCCAGTGTTGGTTATTACGTGAGATTAATTGTTGTTGGGCTTGTTGAAGATTGTGCATCATTTGGGTATCCGAGTTGGTTGAGACAACTGATTCTCGGTGAGCATCTGAAATGTCTGATATTTCCGAGGTTGAACTGATTCGACGGGAATAATCATAGTCAAGAGTAATGATATCATGTCCTTGGCCAGTTGCACCAGGACAGGCGACATCAACGTGCCTATGAAGATCCTCCAAAGAGCCTGTTGAATCGTGTAAAGATGCAGAAACCATTGAGCTTAACTGGGTTTCAGGATAATAATGAACCTTTTTCAATGCTTCCAGCACTGTAACACCATCCGTGAAAACTCGATATGTTAAAAGAAAGGTATTCAAAAAGTCGATACTCAAAAATCGAAGGTCCGTCAGGCGTTCAAACAGACGCTCAGGTGAGGCATAACGTATTTGAGGTAATTTACATGAGTTTAGGGTTCGACTAAAGCGTATATCAACATCATCCTTGTACAGTCTTGGATCATTTCTAGATTGGAAACAATGAAAGACAAAAAAGCAAAACATTAGATTTTGATTGGCAACAAAAATGGTTAAATCAGTTGCAAGTAAAATGTCAATTGTTATGGTTAATGGTTATCTTATGGCTGACAATTAGATTGTGCAAATTGACTATTATTAACATTTCATCTGTGCAAATTAGAATGGATTAATTAACTCTTATTTTTTAAATGTTTGCTTAAGCAGACATTTTGTTTTCTGGTAACATTTTTTTAGACCTACACATCTGAATATACAGCAACATTGAAGCTTTTTTTTTGTACTTGCTTTTACTGTGCATGATTATTTAAGCCTGTTAGTTAATTGCAAGTGTTTGATGTAATAATAATGGTATTAATGGTTGGGAAGAAGGAAAAATAAGGTTACCAGAAGATGGGTTCATTTGTAAATGTTTATAAAGATGCACCTTACCTGATCGATTGAGGCATCGTTACAGATGATGAATCACTCATAGTGCTATGGAAGAGATCATTGAAATGTACGTTATCAATACACTGTAATGAAAGATAATAAGATAATTAGAGTTAATCATTAGTCAATTTGTTGGGTTAATCAAGGAAACAAAGTTGAAAGGGAAGCGATTTCAGTCTAAACTGAAAATTGTAAAACAAAACCTTTTCTTGACACCCAATAGCAACATAATGGATGTTATGCTTTTTACCAAGAAACTTGATTAAATCCAATTGGCATCATGTTTAGTGATGGATATTAATGATTACAATCAAATGGTGATTAATTTAGACTACTTAACAATCTTATAATGTTATAATGTGTAGGTTACAGTTGGAAGAAGCAAGATTATCGCGTAAATTCAAATCAACTGAGGTTAGAGTAAAAGATGTATGAACGAAATGATAGACATTTGCATCTTCAAGTACATTTTCTGGTAAACTGGTTCAATGTATCAATGGATCAACCTTTCATTTAGACTGATTTACTCACAAAATTATTGAATATTCATGATTAGACAGTGAATGGAACCAAAGAAACACTTACAATATGGTTTACAAGCCATAGAGAGTCACAGCAATTTACAAAACAGTCGTCACTTGTTTTGTATTGTTTTAAATATCAACCTGTTCTTTAATCTTATTTGTTTGTCACACCATAATTAACCAGGTTAAAGATGAACCAAATTGTAATGTTTAAAGATGGTGTAAAGATATCATGTAAAATAATGAATTTAATCTACTTCATTGTATTAAAAACTGTTCAAGTTGTCACTTGACTCTCAAGATGAAGTGAAACAATTAAACTTGTCGATAATCTAAACCGTAAACACATTATCTACACAATATTAAATTAACTAAAAACAATAATTAGTCCAAGAAAAGTGAAATTAAAACACAAACAAAAGAAGCATCTGACAAAATATGGTTAATGTAACAGTGTAATGTCAAAGGTTTACATTGTTTTCCCAATCTCACCATAAGAAGTAACTGCGGTTGCCATTGCACTTTTGAGCGGGTTATTCAGTTTAATTTAACAAACACAATTTTCTAGATTACAAGGGAAACACAATTAATAAAAAAACTCTACTCGATCCATCTAATGTGAATTGGTTAATTAATTGAACAATTAATGAAGCATCGGTTGACAAAACAACGATGAATAAAAAAACCAAGTAAAAGACTGTAAAATGATAACATCTTTGTTGCTATTGTTGTTGCTATTGATGGGACTGTTAGGTTGCTTTTTAATGGGTAACAAGGCTTAGACTTTGGGTTGTGTTTACTTTGTCCGATTGGTATTTTACGGAGCAATTGTGGGTTGAAGGTTAAGTCTTGATGGAGACAAGGATGGTTTGGTTAGGTTAACTGTACTATGGTAATGAGGGGTAATTTGATGGCTTGTTCATTATCGTTAGTTGAATTTTGGACAATTTTAGGTTATATGCATTTGCTTACCTGTGAAATATCACTTGTCCAGGCAGCCTTTTCCTGCATTGTTGGAGCAACCAGATGGATTGAAATGGGAGGACCACTTTTACAGTCCCAAATTATCTTGAAGTCAAGTCCACTGTAAATCTGTTTATTGGCTGGTAAATGTAACGGTGGTAAAGTTGCTTCATTTGCTCGTGAAAAGTAGCTTATGGATCCCTCTATCAGAAGAAATTTAACATTCAATATTGATTTCAATTGCAGCATGCGAACAGGTTAGTGAACATCATCATGTGTAGACACAAGGATGTTCAATACATGGTGAGATGAATGATGAAAAGAGAAAGAAAGAAAGAGAGAGAGAGAGAGAGAGGAAGAAAAGTGTAGACACAAATAATAGCTGGGAGTGAGAAATGTGCATGACTGGGAGTTGAAGGGAAGGATTGAATAAGGATGACAGAGATGATGATAGATGCGATAGAAGAGGTAAAGAGGGAAATCAGTAAACAAAATATTAATCCCAATCTTAAGTTTCTTAAGAAAAAGAAGCGAATTTCACTGCAACGACTCAAAGCCAGGTAAACATCGACATTGTTTTTACCCTTTTTCAGCATCAGTCGAAACAGCAAAAAAATGATCTTCTCTTCCCATCCTTTCTCAATACAAACATCATTTTTCATCACTAGAAACCTTGTCAGAAGTCACAATAATTATCACTCCCAGCTGGTCATTATTGGCTTTACCATTAGCTTTACAAACTTGCAAATTGACTCCATTCAATACTCGATATAATATCCTTTTTTATTGTTTCCCAATGATAAACCTTTTCAACTGCACCTACACCCTAACATAAACTCCCAGCTCAACCTACGCAACATTGTATCAAGATGTACTTTACAGCTCATTTGCTGGTCAAAAGTCATTCAAAATTAAGCCTTTTGTACTTTCGTTTTTTCTTTTGATTTTTTTTCTTCTGTTTATTCTTCTTCTTTTTCCCGGGCTTTACTTTGGTCAACAGTTGACCTATTTAACTATCACTCCAACGCTTAAACCTTTTTACCTTTTACAAAAGGTAAAATTGATTCTCTATTTGAGTCTACTTATCTTAGTCATCATCTAAATTACAAGAATCACTGTTTAGAGAAGCAAAAAATATTTGGTTACATTTCTCTTTCTTTTGTTCTCACTTTCCTTCTCTTTTCATCTTCTTTAATCTATTTATCCATCAACATTCTCTCAGCAACTCATGATGATGAAAATTGTTCCCAGTGAATTTACTCGGATTCAGTTAGACTCTTGCTTCTGTGTCAACCCAGAAAATATCGATCAGTATACATCTACTTATGACCAACCTACACAAAAGTGTATAAGAGAGCGAACAGAGGAAAGGAAAGAGAGGGAGGAAGAGAAGAATGAAGAGTAAAGAAAATGAAAAATTGGAATGAAAATTCTATTCACTTGATATTCTGTTAATATCACAACAGAATATCATAAAAACATGAACATTGAACATAAAGAAAACACATTAACACATGATAATGTGAAAACAAGAAAATCAAGGCAAATAGAGAACGCATTTGCTTCCATTGAAAGGCAATTCAACTTCACGTAAATGCAAATTATTCACAAAAGATGAACTAAAATGTTGATCAATTTCACGTTTTAATGTAATCAAAGTACGACTCAGCCTCATGCAATATATTCTGAAACTTTTAATGAATATAAACAATCAAGTCAACCAGTTAACCAGTAAGACTTTCAAGTGAAACGAAATGATAAAAATTGCTTTCGAAAGTCACTTTCGAAGTAACAATTGAAATGCAAAATAACTCACTAATGATTCGATGACAGTTTTGCATAAATTGCATGTTTTGAAACAATCAGAAGAGACAAAACTGGCAACGAAAGTTTTACATTTCGCATAATGCCGAAACTCGATATTCAAAGGCTTGAGGTTTGTGTGCAATGACAGTCTTTGCAAAACAGAGTCTAACATGAATCGAACTCAAAACTTGCGATGTTTCGCTTTCTTCATTTTCTGCTTTCTGTATTCATCAACGATTTGGTTTGCTAATCGTCACTCTGTGTTTTTTGAAACCCAAAAGTAGGACACAATGTTCAAGGTGAAACACTTCTGGGTTCTCGATTTTTTATCCCTTTTCTTCTCTAATAGTATTAATCTAACAAAGCGAAAGTGAACAAAGACAGAAACATGAAACTGATCAGATGGCGCACTCGCAAGATCAACTCAACTATTTGCACATTATTATTGCTTTTATTATAATAGTATTACAGTTCGTTTTAATCTTGTTACAACCAAATCCTCCTTACATCCCAGTGCTTACCTTGCCACCTTATTACTTGCAGTTATTATCATTGTCATCCTCCTCCACTTTCCTCACAAACATTATCATCTAGCACCAAGGACGTCCATTAATTATAGCATCTTTATATTATCACAATAAAAGTTTGCAAATACTCTGTGCTCTGAACACAATAAGACAAATTAATCGATTAACAAAGGCGTTAAGGCTGACTATGTTATATTCACATTCAAAGTGGAACCAAACTGAAGCAAAAATTTGCAAGTTAAAATGAAGAAGCTCGGGAAGTCAATATTAATAAAATTCGTCGCTATTTTTGAGCAAAAAGACTTCAGATAATTGTATAATGCATTGCGATCTATACAAATGTAGTTGTCTTCAGATCTGGGAACAGCAATGCAACTTGCATAATGCTTAAATTAGCTTTTTGAATAAGAAAAATAGCCATTTTTGCAGGAAAATGATCAAAAATAAAAACATTTTTGGTCAAACTAATTCTTCTGATGAAATTTTAAATAACCTGACACAAAAGCAAAGAGTAAAGTAGTCTACTCTTTGCAGAAAAGTTACTTAATTTGGGAATTATATTTCGTTTGCAACAGAGGGCTTCGAGTTATAAAGAGTTGAAACTTATTTTCTCCAACAAACATGATTCCTGGATACTTTGGACATGAATAGTTTTCTAGCGTACGATAGTTCACTGTTTTGAAGAAACTGCATTAATCAAGTTTAAAAGCTTTCATAAAAAAGGTTTGACTGAATGCCACTTCGTTGGCGATTATGTGTTACAACAAGCAATCATTTGCATCTTTACATCGCTTTCAAAACCATTGAATTGATTAAGTCAAAAAAAAGTTTCTTCGCCTTGAACAAAGCGTGTCGAGTTCATCTGATGCTGTCTCATGTAACTATTTCATGTGCGCTTCCAAAAAAGCATTGTTAAAATGTTGAGAATTCAACGCCTCACAGATTTTCGAACATCAAAAAATGTCAATCGAAGAGCATTCTCTACCTATCAATCTTGTTATACTGTTAAAGCATTGCAAGAACGATGTAGATAAATTTATGAAACATCAGTTAAGTCCATTCAAAAGCGTTTCATATCGTTATTTGTATTGCAACTTTGAATCAAAACGTTGAATTGACTTTAAATCGAGTGTTGGTCTTGAAAATGCGTTACAAAAAGATGATACAATGGTTCTGTTCATCTTCCCGTTTTAGATTAGTAAAGGAAACTGAGAATGACAGACGAGCAATTAGCAAGACAACTACAAACATCTGAGCCATTAACTAAGGATTGTTTAAACAATCATTTAACTCGAAATCAATATGCAATGTTGAGCTTAGAAATAGCAATGAAACAAAAGTTTGATGGCATTTTTCGAATCATGAGTAGAATGAAAGCCTCCAGATGGCAAAACAAGTCATATATTGAACATCATGCATGCTCAAGACTTCATGGTATGCTGATATAGTGAATCGAACTCCAGGAATCATGATTTCAATGAATAACCGCCATCTAGAGTATGATTCAGTTGCTATCAAACTTAGCTTTTTAAACATGAGTTTATTCTTGAATACAATGAATAAGCAGCAAAATAAATGTGCGAATTCCCATTTTTCCTGCTTTTTTATTCTTTCATACAATTCATTATTTGCAGTTTTCCAGTGAAAGGAAAATGATTATACCTAAAAGTATACCTTGCTAAAAGTCCTAAAAACTCATCTAAATCTATGGTAATTTTCGAATCGTTTTGTGTAAAGTTATCGTTGATATCGTTAGCTTTGTTGTATGAGTTGATCTATGCTGGAGTTGTGATGATTGTAGTTCTATTCGGGTCAATAAAGTAATAGAATGTTGTAAATCTCAGCGTGCTGAAAGTTATTCTTCCAATCGTGGAAAGGAAAATGGAAGGTTGGGTGAAATGAAAACATGCAAGGAGTTAAATCAACTGTTGACTTTTTCGATGCTTACCTGCAAAATCATCAATAATAAAGGCAAACTGTTCAGCTGGTTCCTCAATCAGAGTTGCTTCAGTCAATGGTATCCGTCCAACACTCTAATTGCATGGAGAATCAATTGATGGAGAAAATGTTGAGAATTGAAGTTTCATTTCAAGTGTATACTTCTTCCAGCGAAATATAAAACTTCATTGCACTCATCTTTTCCATCTGAAAAGCTATTCAACTTTAAAACATTTAAAACTTTCTCTTCAATTTCACCCTTCAGCATTCAAACTAAAATAAACTGTCTTTTGCTATTCCAAATGAATGCAATAAAATGCTTTTCCAAAGAAATATTTTGTTTCTAAACTTGGAACTTAAAGTGACTGCAAATAACAAACAGAATCTCTCAACTAGTCTATTTTTACCAATTCCACTTTCCATTCCTTTCGACTCGCACTTTAAGCGCAAACCTCGAATCAATTGATTCTTTTAGCAAACAATATCAATAGAAAGATCCTTACCTCGACAACATTGAGTTTACCATTGGAAGCTCTGATGCAGAGTAAAATGTGGTTTGAAAAGAGGAAACACTGTCTAACGACTTCTTTATCCCCTTTGTACGAACTAATCCTTTTAATTACTTTAGGCACAGGTAAATGAAGTACACTTCCTTGTCGAATGAAGACTTGATTAACATCAAGTAGCACATCACATCCACCAATAATGATCCTCTCAATGGACAAGTTTTTTCGAATATTTTCAGTCTCGGAAACTTCATCATGCATTTGCTGCAAAACACAAATGAAAACGGAATCAAAAAGCGACCTAAAAACGAACCTCGAAACTTACTCTTGACAATTCTTCCAGTTTACTTTTCGCATTTTCAAGGCTTCTCCTTTCAACATGGTTGTGAGGTGTGTGAGCAAGTAGTTCATGTAGTGTGATTATATAACGAGGTACCTGAAATGCGAAACGAAAAAAAGGTTAATTCTCATTTGGAAAAGTCGACTAATGACTTACTTGATGCATTGGATAAGTTAGAAAAGTTTCCAATGTTCGATTAGCGATTACAGGCTTTTCTTCCAATCGCTTCAAAAGTGTCGCAAATTTTTCTTTCGCCTTACATTCGGCCAAAACTTGCAACGAAAAATGATGATTGCGAACATATTCTTGGTAAATGCAAAGCATTGGTAGCAACATGTCAAACAAATCTCCTATTCCCGTAGGTTTCAATCAAAAAAGTCCAACAAAGTTTTGTTCCACATTTCGAGTTGGGTGATTTTCGATCAAGTTTAGATCATTTGATATTATTTTATTGTGAAAATGAAATTTGATGAAAAAATGTGAAAATGTGTGTGTAATGTGTTTTGGTGTTGAGTTGAGTTGAGTACAAAATAATCAAAAACAATTCAAATTCAAATTCAAGACAAAAGTGCAAAGCAAACCATTTCGAGTTTTTTGTTTAGTTGATGAAAAACGAAATAATCAAAGCAAAGAATCATGAATATGATAACAAAACGCAATCATTTTGTTTCCATTTTAGTGTTCAGTTTGAAACACACACACGGTTTCGTTTCATGTGCGTTTGTGTTTAGTTTTTTGTGTTTTATGTTGGTTATCAAAAGAGTTTCAAGTCGTTCCAAGAAAAGAATCAGGAAAATGATGCAGTTTTTTTGGTAGTTTTGGTCAGTAATCAGAATGGTGTTTCATCATGTTTTTCGTGGTTGTATTCATACGGAAGGAGAAGGTAAAGAAACCAGAAAAAGGCAAACGAAGAAGACGAAGAAGAAAAAAGAGAGAGAAAAAGAAACAAGACAAGACAAGAAGAAAGTGCCCAAAAAAAGAATGGTTTTTGTTTGGAAAGTTTGGAATTTCGAGTTTGATTTTATTGTTCAAATTGTTTCATTTTGTTGTGTTTGAAAAGTTTTGAATTTTGGACATTTCAGGGCAAAATTCAAAGAAAGGAAAATTTGCAAAATTGGAAAAGAAAGTTCAAATTTTGTTCGATTTCAATTCGAAGCATTTGTTATGTTTAGATTCAAAGTAAAATTTGTCAAGATTCAAAGAGGATTGAGTGTTCATGCAAAGTGTGAATCAAGAATCGATTGAGGAAAGTGAAAGCCAAGGTAAGCAGGAGTAAAGAGCAAAGTAAAAGCCATTTGCAGGTGAAGCAACAAAAGGTGAAAGGCGAATGTTGGAAGTAAAATAGTTTTAAAGCAAAGGCAAGCATTTCAATTGTGATTAAAGCGATGATGATGATGATTATGATGGAATGAGGATGATGAGGATGATGATGAGACAAAAAATAAGAAGAGAAGAGTGAAGGTAATTGGTTAATACTACAAACTACATGTAAATGAATGGACAAGAGCGCATTTCACTAAAGAGACTAAAGTGTGTGTTCATCTAAAATCTAATGGCACATTTTGGTTGACAAATTTTGTTTGTTTCCTCACTTCACGCTTTATTAGCCTCTGGTTTTTATCCTCGTATCTGGCTCGTTATCAGTGTCTTTGGAGGGACGGGAATGGTCAAATTACTTACCTAATACTAGGGTTGGCCAGGATTCCATTCGAGCTGTTAAACCTTTAAGAAAGATTTGATGTAAAAACATTATTGTCTCACTGTTAAGAAATATCGAGTTGAGCTCATCATGGGAACACGGAGGCTTCTGTGAACTGGCTGCCATTTTAAGTGGCCTTAAAAAACAAGAGACTAAAAGTTGAAGTTGTTCAACATATTCTTCTTCAGCTTCGACCATACGAAACACAAGGCTGGCAGAGACGGAAAACAAGAAAAAAGAAACAAAAAGGTTGATCATTTAAACTCTTTTTCTGGTTGAATTGGATCGAGTTGGGTCAAGTTGCCGTTCGTGGTTACCTATTGCGTTTTCGCATGTTTTCAGCGTGCGGTGAGTTGATGTACTCTTCGACTATTTGTTTCCATCGGCGACGGCAAAGCCATCCTCGGAAAAAGGATTGAACTTTTTTGATCTTTTTAACCTCTTCCGATTCATCGTCAAAGTCAATGCTATTATTGCGTTTATAAGGAGTCAATTTCCATTCCTTTTTCAATGAGCAAAGCTGTTTAAGATTGGAAAAAATCTTGATCCAATTAATTTTAAACACAATCAGAATACTGATCATTGATTTGTACAAACGTTAAAGCAAATAAAAAACTGAAATCACGCAACATTTGAATAAAATATTACTTTTGAATATTTGCTAAACAAACGAGAGTCAAATATTCATCAAAACTGGCAAATTAATTTTTCATCATTCAGCTTCTAAATTGACTTTCTCAAAATCTCACACATCAGTGTTGTTCAGCAGATAAATTGAAATTCATTTTAACATAAAAAACATTTCTTCGAACCTGAACATTTAATGTTCGAAAGGTTTATATTTATTCCAATGGATGGCGCCTTGACAGCAAATAAACTGTCAAATCAAAGTTATTTAAAACAAATTTGATTCAATTTAAGGAACAATTTGTTTCCAATTGTTTCAAATTACTGTTTCACTAAACTCTTTTTTTATCCTCATCAATCTTCCCAATAGACATGAAGAAAAGACAATTTGCCAATTTTTATTCAATTCAAATGCTTGTTGGAACGAGAAAAAATGAACTTTTTTCATCTCAACTTACCTCAGCTCGCAACTTTTTTATTTCAATTGTCAGCTCTTCACATTGCTGTGTATAATGAGATTTAGCGGTTTTTTCAGTCTCGACAATTTGCACCAAATGTAAATGTTTTTGTTCCAATTCCTCTTTTAGCAAAAGCATTTTACTGAAACTATCGTCAGATGAACGCAAATAAAAAGACAAAAAAATGTTGGAATGCGACGAAAAAGTAGAAAATGAAAAATGTCTCAACTTGTATTAGCATTATTATCAAGGTAAAGAATGAAAAATATTATTTCTCCTCAGCAGGGCTGGGATTTACATTACAATATATTTTTGCTTTTATAAGTTATTTTGTTTTCTTCCAGCAAAACACGCAAATCGATTAGACTACTTGTGTTTGGGTTCAACTTTTTTCATTTTATTTTCTTATATTTTTCCTCATTTCTACTCCCAGCAACATTTTGTTTGTCATCATTCCCTTTAGTGCATGAACATTGATATACATGGAAAAACAGACTCAATATTTTGTGCAACTTTGTACTAAACAATAATCATAATAATAAAAGAAAAACATTTTTTTTTCTTCTTTTCTGTATCTTTTCCTTGTAAGATTATTTTCAGGTTGTGAGGTTTAAAAATGATAACTGAAAAAGTGTTTTCTCATCATTCCTATTATCATTATTATTGCTATTATCATATGAATAAAGGTAGAAAAAAATTCTTGTTCTTCTTTTTCTGGAACAAGAATAATTTCATTTTCCTTCCCTGAGTTAACATTTTACTTGCAATTTGCATTTTGTTTTTGTTTCCAGATTTCACTTCATCTTTCATTACTCTTAAAGGGTTGAATTTTTCATTGCAATTTGATAACAGAAACAGATTTCAGATTCGCCAAGAAAATTCTTTTCGCTGCTAATTTCTTCCATTCAGAATTTGATTCAAGTTTGGATTGGAGGATAAACAGTGACTTACCTTGCAACGTCAATGCAGTGAACCCAAGCATTGCATTCCGATTCAGTTTCAGATTTAAACTCATACTGTTTTGATCCTTCCTTTGGGAAGCTAATTGTAAATACATGCTAAAAATGGAACAAAATTTTCATTAGAAAAATGATAAATGATTAAAATGAATCGGCACTTTATCACATGAGAATAAACTTTCATCTTCTCTGACACAGAATTATCCTGAACGATGCAAAAAAACGAATAATCATTTCATCTAAATTTTTGTTTCACTTTTTGCCTTTTCAGTTATTCACATTGTCCATTGTTAATGGTAAAATGTGATTGAAATGGTTTAAGAAACAATTGTTCATCAAACCATGGAAAGGATAATTTCATTATCTTGTATTAATGAGCAAATTAAGCTAATTATTTTGTTCAAAATGAGATTCAATTAGACTGATAAACAATTCATGGAAACATGAAATGAATAAACGTAATGAAATGATTTATATTTGAATGGCAAAATTGGTGAAAATCCCTTAACATGGAAATGAATAGTTTAAAGTTTTCTTAAGAAAGGCAACAAAATATCAAATGAAAGGTTAATGTAATAATGGTTGAACCATTGAAATGATCACATTCATATTAACCTTTCGTGACTAGATTATCAAGGTAAGCAGTTTCATTTTATCCTGAAAATGGCTTCATAATAATGATAATGATAATGAGAGAAAAGAAGAAATTGTTCAACAGATAGAATAATCAAATGCCGAAGGGAATTTTATTTTCTGCATTGATCATGAAAGATGAAGGATGATCATGAAGAAGGAAATGAGCACAGATACCAAGATTTACAGGGTAAATTCAGTGAGGAAAATCAGTTTAGAAAAGTAGAAAAAGATTGATTCTCATATTCATCATGAATGGTGAACATGAACAAAATGTGAAAAAGTCAATATGCGAAGTAAACATTTTTTTGTGCAATATTTTGATAAATGTTTTCCTTGTAATGAAAAGAAACAGAACAAGAGAAAAATATCTTTTTTTTCACTTTTCCATGCATTACAGACAAATAACATTATTATCAATAATGATGTATAAATAGGTAAATAAATTGCTGGATAAATCGAGTGAACAACGAAAAGATTGAATCTTTAATCAATCTGAGTTAGAGAAATGAATTTTCCATCAAATTTAATAAATATTGATATTGTTTTTGCCTTCTTTTGGAACATGAAAAATGCATGAAATGTAGACTGAGTCGATTGATTTTGGTCGAGAATATTTTTCATTGACATTTGATCTGATATTTGATTTCAGCTAATAGTTGAAGCTATGCAAGTTATTCAATTTTCAATATCAAATTCCCTTCAATTAGACTGTTGAAGTTGAAGGGAATTTTCGGCTTGATTTGGCGTTTAATTTGTTGGAAAGTTTGAAAGGGAAAAGAGAAATTTTTGGAAAATTTTTCATGTTCTGATTGTCCTGATAATTGTTGTCTTTGTTTGTTTTATCATGTTATTTGCATCATCAAGTATCTGTGAATCAAGTGTTTTGATCAGCTCTTGTTGAGAGCAGTTTTTGTGTCAAACCAACACTTAATGAGCATATTCATATTAAATCCAATGGTGAAGAGTAATTGAACATTATTGAGCTCGTAAAGGATATTGCTATTTTTAATGAAGTTTGTTCATTGCTCAATGATTCAGTCTATTACGGTGCAATTGCTGGGAATATTTCATTCTTATTATTCAATTCCAGGTGAGTTGACTGGTCATGTAGAGGGTGAAAATTGAAGAAAACGGAAATGAAAAAGAGATTCGATTCATCCGATTTCCGCCATTTACCATTCATTTTTGCAAAACTATTTCATGCAAAAACGATAATCATGTTAGATAACGATGTTCATCAATTGGTGATCAGAATAGTTTAAAAAGAGTCATTTATAAGCTATTTATTCAATATTGCATCTTACTCCAATAGAACCATTGAATAATGATGAGTAGAAAAAATTTTTCCGCTTTTCAGCCCAAAACTTTTTCTTCTTCTTCTTCCCATTCCTTTAATGATGAAATGATGTGAATAGAAGAATAAGGTTCATCATGGATAAAGATGGGAAACCTGAAGAAGGATAGGTTTCCAGTGAATTTAACCAAAGAAAGGAGTGATCAGTTTGCTATTTAATGATGATAAAAGTTGACTATTTGAATGTTAATTTACTTTTTCAAATGTAAACCGAAAAACAAAATTTAAAACAAAAGTTTAAATGAGACAAAAAAAGTCATCTAAATGACCATTTGCATGTTCATGGCCATGAATATGGATCAACATTGAATGATAAAAAAAGTCGACTTTGAAGCTCAAAAGAGGCCGAAGTCAAAGTCAGTCTGACCCAAGCAAGGCAACCTCTTGGGTTGACTTTGACTTGATCATTAGCCTCTTACGAAGGAAACCTTTTCACTCGACAAAATTGTCTATTCAATTGTGGTTTAAAAAGAGCTCAGTTTTATGGAGGAAACAAAACATTAAATGTTGATAATCTTGTAATACAAGTGCAATAATAAACAATGAAAATGTTTCAAAAGGAAATAAAAAAAGGTTCAAAATGTCCTTTTGTTTGTTGACCAGTTAAGTACTACTGGCTCAATAAAATTGTCCAAAGTTGCCTTGATATTATTTCTTATTTAGGTTAGATTTGTTTCTCCAAATCCAGCGAGACTTTCATATTCAAGTTTCAGTGAACATACTTTATTATCATCTTCATCTAATGGATTTAACCTTCTCACTATCATCATCAACATCATCAACCTGGTCAACTTTACCTGGGCCCAAATTTCATTTTTACCCAGCCATACTTTTTAATACCATCAATTTGATCTGCTTTTCAATCTCATTTCATTTTTCACTTTCCCAATCTTTTTCCTTGGCTCATCATCATGTTCATGGACCAGTAAAAGTAACCTTTATGTTATGAATAAAAGAGTAACTTTTCCCATCCAAACATCTTACATGGTAAAAGCCTGAACATTTTCAATTACAATTCAATCTCATCTTTCACCATTAACCTTGCAAATTCCCATCAATCCAATAAAAGATTCAAGACTCGAGAAAATACAAAAACTTATCGCTAATGAAGTTCTGATGAACAATAGAAACCACTTGTAAGATTCATTAATTAAAATGAATTGTAAAGACGAGGTAAATTGTTAACATTGAGAATAAACTGATTGAAGATTGAAATGAATCAACAGCTTTTATTCAATTTCAATGTTACCTCTAATAATAATGAATAAGCTTGTGGAATAAGTCAATTTAGCAATTCCATTCAATCTGTATGTTCGTCATTCTCATGACCATAATGAAAAACTTCATTCAATGCAATTTCATGGTTCAAATAATTTGCTTTCATCAACCAAATTCAATTTTAATCTGTAAAACATGGAAACATCTGACAAAGTAAAGCAACAAAAAATGATGAAAAATTCATAAAAGCAAACAATAACAAAGTCAACTTAACAACCATTAAGTAGTTCAAGTTTCATTTGCGTTTAAAATCTCAGGATTAATCATTGTCTTTCAATTTCGATAAATAATGATAACAATGGTGAGGAAAAGAACGAAATTTTTTTTAGTTTCTCTTCTCTTTTCATCACCCAATTCTCTAGTCAATTTGATAATTTCAATGTTCACAAGAGTCGCAATAAGAGCAAGGAAAGTGTTGATAATACAATAGGATTTAAGGAATAAGAATAATGAGAATGCCAAGAAAAGAGAAGATAAAATTTTCTTTTTTTTCTCTCTCGCCTTTTTTTTCCTCAAACTCAACAAGCAATTGATTCTTATAATCAAATTGTATTCAATATTTAACCTTTTCATCGTTGGAATCACAAAAAAAGTGAACAAAATTATCAATCATTTAGTTGCTTCCATTGTATTTCAACAGCTATTAACTAATAACTCCCTGTCGAGTAGCGCCATCTTTCGACATTTTTAGTCTGGAAAATATTCTTTTCCATTTTTTTACTCAACTTGAGATAGAATTTGTTTTTTTTCTTCTTCTTTTAAACACAATTTCCATGCTCTCTATTTGCAAATATCATGGTTGATTCAATTGAAAGAAAATTTCATTTAAAATAAAGTGTTTCTTGTTTGTTACATTAAAGGAGTTAAAAGGGAAAATCAATTTTTTCCTTGTTCCATTTGTTCACACAAATAAATTAAGACATTACTATTCAACTGTAAAGTTATTTGGTTTTTCATTTCACTGTCTTTTTGTATTAACTTTGGTATTCAGGTTGAGTCTTGGTAAGAGTTTCAACAATCAAATCAAGAGGTAACAGGTTAAAAAGTTAAGGTAAACTTGAGATGAAGTAAAACGAAGAGAAAAGGAAAGAAGAGAAGAGAGAAAAAAAAGTTTTATTCAGAAGCTGTTGCTTTTGGTTACCTGTTTGAGAAGTGAAACTAATGCAAAGGACAAGGAAGTCAGGAAACAAGATCACTTGGTTATATTGGATATTATTAAATTATACTTGTCATGGGGAAAGGTAAAGTAACTATTAGAGGTTGGTTAAGACGAGCAACATGTTCAGATGTTTACGACGAAACTGAAGCTTCATCCTCATCAAAGTTCCTCACCTGTTTTCATGCCTACAGTGTGTTGCAAAAATGATTTGCCGATGCGAATGTAAATGAAAATTATCGAGTTAAAAGTTTTTTTACGTGATTCGATAAATTCCAGAAATTTTACTTTTCTTTTCGAGGTTCCATTTTGACGTTTATAAATTGTTAATTTGCAAAATGAAATCAAATAAACCTTTTGTCAAGATTGCGAATCAATTTGGTTCTAAGTTGATTAGATGAAAAAGTAAACTTGAAAAATTTAATTCCACTCGAATCTTGAATTTTCTTTGCTTCAGGTTGTTGAAGATTATTGAAGTAAGCTTTTGAAGTTTTTACGAAGTCCTTTGAGCTTGGGCAAAACTGGGCAGTCTCTTTTAGGAACAAGTTATCGTAAAATATTTATTAGGATAAAATCAACTTTGAATCTGGAATGAGAGTCAATATGGTTTGGATATCATTAGCTTATTGTGACAACAATAATGCAAAACAATCCAATTCATGATAAACATTGAGA